ATGAGGATGTGGATTGCATGGATTAGAACATTGGATGAATATAAATCTTTTTTCCTGTACTTCAGGAACAACAAACATATTGTGATGCTGACTTAAATTGCTGAAGACCAAACTCAAAAAGAAAGGTCATACGAATGGCACGAGTTTTATTTGGCCACTTCTCTCCACCTGAATTAAACTCGTTTATGCATATTCTGAGCCCTTTGTTAGGTGCATTTGCAGGTGTTCCTAATATTGTGGCTATATCAATCTCCAATGCCGTTTGCAGTCACGTGTTAGTTGGTTCAGCTGGCCAGCTTGGCTTCAGATGTACAACATTGCGGCTTGCAGCCTGCGTGCCACATGCTAAAGTCAGATGTGACCCGAACAGAGCCGCTGGTCTATTTAACCTCAGTCAGGGGCCACGAGCTTCAAAAGAGCTTCTGGCCTAAGGCTGACCTTTTATGGCTCGCCCACAGAATTATATCTCTAAGCCTGATGCTACCTCGTAGTGGGTGAACTCAAGGCCAATGGGGATGAATAATCTTCCAGGGATGAACATCTGTAGTTTTTGCAATACCACCAATGAACCAAAGGGCCACATGGTCTCACCTTAAAGCCGGGATGGTTTCATGAAATCCATTAGCAGCTTGTTTATGAACCAGATGAGCACATGAACTTTGAGGGGAAAGATGAATGGAACAATGTTTATCATTCGGCTCAACACGCTCTCAAAACAGTTGGGCTAAAAATAACTAATTTTGCGTTAAACGGTAACTCAAATCTCGAGTGGAGGTATTGAACCGTGTTTGTGACACCAAATTTCTCAGACAGTTCAATCCTAATATCCCAAAATTTCATCGATATGAGCAAGAATGGCATGAGTTGGTCGGATTCCTCTGATTGGAAACGCCAGAGCAGAGATCACAGACCTACAATGCACTATGACAAGCTGAACCGAACAAATCTTTTTCTATGTATCTTTCAAAAACTCCTTTCAGGACATGTGCAGCTAAGGCGAATGAACAGGAAAAGACAACAAAAGAAAGAAAACTGTTCTTTCTCTGCAGTGTGTAGTCAAACATGGCAGATCTCCAGCCTACTTTTACCCTGATGTCATCTAACATGTCTCTGACCTCAACTAGCATCTTGTAGAGCAGCCAACAGTATGGCCACCAGATGAGTATTTTAGAAAAAACAAAACTGTCCACATTCACCGTACAAGGAAAAAAATTGCGTTATTTTAAACATTTCTTTTATGCCTAAATAGTCGTTTGCAATGCAGATGCAAACTGCGAGTGTTTGTTGCTTTTAGCATTGTGTACCAGTGCTCCTCGCTTCCCTCGACTCTTCTTCCATCGTCACACCCCACCCCCGTCGCTCTTCCTGCCTTCTGTACGGTCCTGTTCCATTCACATTTCCTGTTGTGCTCAATGAATGGCACTACAATAGTTCTCCACTTGGAAATAACTGTCGCTGGCCATTTAGTATACTTTTAACATAGCATCCAAACTTGAGCAGTGGCCTTTTTCACAGTGTCCATGGAAAAATACATTTAACTGCACTATATTCACACTGCAGATCGAAGTGGCCTATTCTTATTAATTGGTCTGATTCTTTTTGACTGTCTGTTTATGTATAGCAAGATGGAGGTTAGTGGTTATCACATCTGTCTCACAGTTTGGGGCTTCGAATCTGGATTCTGTCTGTCCTTTGTGAAGTTGGCATGCTTTTCCTGTGCTCGCGTGTATTTTCTCTGACTTCCTCCTACATTCCCAAATCATGCATATTCAATGAAGACTATATTTGGCGAGTCATTGTCTCTATCTGCACTGTGATTGGCTGATGATCGGTCAAGGGTGTGCCGTTCGTCTTGCCCAGAGTCAACTGGCTTAGGCTTCAGTTACACGCAACCCAAATGAAGAGAAGCAAGATAGAAAAAAAGGGTGGCTGTTTGACATCGACAGTACATATCTGATACTACATCTTGTACATAGAAAAAAAAATGCTATAACAGAAGACGTTCATCGACCTCTGCATTTTTTTCCCCCCTGCATCACTGTTCTGTATAAATGGCGCAAAGGTCAATGGAGCAAATTTCCTTCTTTAATGGTGCTGTCAGAGCCATAACAGCGGCAGGACAGCCCTTTTGTCTAAAGCTATGGTGTGATGCCCGGACAGGATGTAAAGTTGCACTTTTCCCCCCCTTGTCATGTTGAAAGCAGTTGTCACACCAAGGCTCTGACATCATCATGGACACAGTTATCTGGGATGAGGGCATTGTCGTGTAAAAACTCAATATCCTCCTTTGCTGAGTTCTGTGCAGATGAGACACGGGCAAATAAATGTCAGAACTTCTGTTACAGCTCTGCTGTGCCTTTTTTATGAGATCGCCATGCGAAAGGGGATAGCTGAATATACAGCTACATTCTGCATTTCTTTCAATTGCTTTCAACACAACAGGACAGGAGAAGTGAGCGGTAGGCGTTAAATTTCACACCACCGCCCCAGGATGACTGACTTTCCTTGCACATAAGTGTCATCCCTACTCTGTTATGGCATGGATACTACGTACCAAGGTGGAAAATGGCGGGTCAACTTCTGTGTCAGTGCTGTTAATACGGGGCAGTTATGTGCGAAAAGGGTCTTGGGATTTGGCATCGGATGTACGTGATCATGTCACTTCAATGAAATCGATAGAGAAGTCTGGAACATGTATATGTGCCCTGCAATTTGTTGGCAACCAAATCGGACATGTTCATTTCAGGTCTGATACAGATACCGATTACTCGTAGTCGAGGAGGCCATTAACCAATATTTGGAGCTGATACATATTTTTATTAAGTAAATAAATCAATTTAATATTGGTGTCAAAAATAAAAGAAAACCCACACCAACTCTTAACTTTATTGAAATATCTTGAAGCATATTACCATAGACGCTAGAGATATTTGTTTTAAAATTCAAACAAAAAGTTCAGGAATTTCACAGGATCGATCATCAGCATGCCTTAAAAAGTTACATTTAAACAGCTCCCGATAATCGTCGACAGTAAAAGCGTATTTTATGAAGTTAGCTGAACATTCAAATAAATAATTCCATGAAGCTAACACAGTTTGAAATTGATCTTTTATCGGCCGTCATATTAAAAAAAAAAAAAAAAAAAAAAAAAAAAAAAAAAAAAAACCCCAATGCTGATATGTGTCAAAATGCCGAATAATCCGTCTATCCCTACTCCAGGGTGTACCCTGCCTCTCATCCCAATCCACCCGGGATAGCCTCCATATCAGCCACGACCCCAATGACAAGTGCTATAGCAATTGGATTGATGTATTAATGTAAGTATGGAAAATGTACAGCCTCGTGTTTTAAATACCACCCCACTTATTGAAAAAGCTTGACTGTGATGGAGGGATAAAACAATGAAGATTTACAATAAAGATACCGAACACAAAAGTGCATTTTAACACCGGTAATCCCTTTCGGATGATAGCTTTGCTATCCATTTCTGTCCTCAGACATTAAGCAATGTATTGGGAAGGCGATGATGCCAACAACTCATGTCTGACAGGGATTTGCAAAGTAAAATGGATGCTATTTAGGTTATGTCCTGTATATAATCTGGAGAATCAGTGTGGATTATGGGGCAGGGATTAGAAGATATTATATGTTCAGGCCGTCTTTGTTATTGAGATTAGGTCACTCATATCTGCTTTGGTTTTATTTACCGTGTGAAGGGAAAAAAAAAGTGAAATCCATTCTTCCTGCATGTATACTGTACAGTATGTGGTATGAAGTCTTCCACAGATGAACGTTGATTCCACAGTGAAAGCCTGTGCTCCCGTTTTGCTCGTTGAGGAGAGGTACGGGGAGGGAGGGGATGGGGCTCCAGAACAAACACACCACTGGCTTTGCAGGTTCACAAAACAAACACAACCTTGATTGTTATCTGGACTCCATTCTTGCCTATTGGGTGATGGTTTTGGAGGAACACGCCTCCTCCCCCTACAGCACTATACAGTACTCAGATTGTGTGTGTGTATGTCTGTGTGTGTGTGTGTTGAATAGGGAAGTGGTTTCTTCTAATACAGTGGAGCAATTTTTCCCATAGGAATTCCTTTGCTGTCACCATCGTCAAACAATTTTTAAACTCTAAAAATTACTTAGCCACACATACGATCACATTAGAGTCTTACTACCTTCTCTAAGTTTTTCTTTTAATACTCCTTGTTGCGTCTTTGCTTTTGTGAAGCACGTTGAGTTGACTTGTGTATGAAATATGCGACATAAAACTGCCATGCTTTGCCTTGCCTAGGAATAAGTCCCGAAAAGGCGAAGCCCCGGTGTTAATCCTTTGGTGTTCGTTGAACAGAGCGCTTGAGCAGACTGTAAGTTCTGAATTGAACATTTTCACCTGAAATACTGGAGTGAATGTGGCAAAAAGCCAAAAAGAAAAGCAAAACTTCGGCCTGGAGTTAATACTTTTGATGCTCATTGCATTGACGCCGTGTAATATGTTGACCTCAGTTTATTTCTTAAATTCTGTGCAACAGAAATTAAATTAAGTATTGAATTAAACAGTTTGGTATCACACTGTGTACACTTGACATTTTAGCGCCATGAGCTCGCTATGTATTAGTAAATGTTATGCACAGTGTGAGCTTGGGGGCATGCGTCGACTTGAGTGACAGCTGGCAGTTGGGAAATGGGCAAGATGTTCCTCTTCTAACCGCTCCTTTATGCAGAGGCAGCAGGGATGGAATAGTTTGGATTTAAAAACGCCAATGGGCGGCATGTAAATGTCGCAAGTTGTTGTGACTGCGCCTACACGAGCCACACGGGCAGCAACTGTGCACACGCACGACACGGAAAATGTCCAGCCCACAACAAACGCGCAAACATTGGGCAATCCGTTTCCTTTCTTCCTGTGGATCACGTGACCTGCAGTAACTCATCCATCAGCTCGGGGCAGATGTGACACAAACATGTTTTAAACACATTGAAAACAACAACCGCGACAGCTGTTTCCTCAGTGGAACACGTACGCCGGGGCTGTGTGTGTGTGTGTGTGTGTGTGTGTGTGTGTGTGTGTGTGTGTGTGTGTGTGTGTGTGTGTGTGTGTGTGTGTGTGTGTGTCATAGCCCGTTTAAAAATGAATACAACTATTTTTATGAGCTTTTCTGATATTTTATTGCGTAATAAAGCCATTATTGATGTCTTTATGCAAAGAGTTCTGGCTTTGACAAATTACAGTACACGTCGCTTTATGCTGTGGCTCCATCCACGACAAACACAATCCATTCTCTAATGCTGGTTTATTTTTTTTTAATTTCAAAACGAGATGATTGCCACAGGAAACAATGTAAAGTGCATGAATTTGTTCCCGGCTCACACTGTTGTTAGAACAAACCGTTTTGTTTTTTCATTGTATACTTACCATTTTAACACTCTTAACTGTCAGAAAGATTCTAATTGAGATCTGTCATAAAGTTTCTGTGCATGCATTCCCGCCCCCCCCCAAAAAAAAATAAAAAAGCATCAACCGATTCTCCTTATTGACATATATATACACTTACAGATAATGCTTCTCAATGGGCATATGAAGGATAGAGAAGAATATGGAATTCGCAACATTCCGGCGGCCGTTCATGTCCTTTACTTCCTGCCCATACCCACTGAACAGCATTTACTGGTTCATGAGAAAGTAATATTAAAACTCCCACCGTTTGTTTTTATTTTTGAAAAGGTCTTGTATCGGCTGATATAATTGGCCGGGGCGTAATGAAGACTCCACATAGGAGAGTTTGAGCCGAAATTTGAACCCACAACTAGCACTGTGAGGCAGACGTGTTAACCACATGTCACTGTGCCCAAAAATAAATAAATAAATAAAGAATAATAATAAGAAGAAGAATAAGACAAAGCTTCCTTCAATATGTTGCACACTGCTTCAATTTGGCTTTGTCGCAGTTTTCCTCTTTGTCATGTAGAGATTTATCCTTCGTCCCAAATAAATATCCACTCCGTAGAATCCACCCTCCCGCAAGAAACCATTCCAAGAAAGTCTGACACTGACTTGGAAACTCCCAGTACTTCCCCTATTCATTTAGCTTTAATGCTGCAAAAGGATATTCAAGAAAGAGATGGCAACGGGAATCCTGAACAGGCTGCGAAGAAGGCCGATGGAAGGTTTTAAGATGAGAGGGCGGGAGGAGGGGAAGGCAATAGATCTGTTTGTTTTCCACATCCGTTATGTAGGAGGGGATTGTCCTCACAGGACCCATAAACCAAGCATATAGATGCTGTGCAACAAGCGAGCTGTCTCTGATTTTATTCCCGCCTGTTAATCCAATCTCTATCGCTGTATTCATTCGGCCTTCCTCGGTCACACACTCATCGTGTTCCCCCTCCCGCCCCCTCATCATCCACCCCTCCTCTTCAGTCAATGCTCCTGCGACGTGTGTTGGTTATTAGCTTATGCACTCCCAAAGACGTTTTTAAACGTCTTTTCAGACTTGGTCCAGAATTGGCTGGTACTGAATGAGTTAGTTATTGTCACGCTCCCGTAAAGCATCACGAACAGCTGAGGTGGTGAGAAATTAGGACCTCAGCAGTCTTTCCTTTGGTAATCCACCGATACTTGTCTTCCTCAGGCTCTACCAGGGTCAAAACTTTTTTTGCTGACCAGGTAAACACCTTCAGGAAGAACACATGCAAACGGTTTCCGAATGAGATTCTGTGTTTGAAATGATTCCTACGCCTGAGTGGAGGAGCCGCATGGTTTGTTTTGTTATTTTTAAGAGAGAGAGAGAGACACTCGCGCATTCAAGCTGTTGTGTTAAAAATACTCTTCTTCAGTTGGCTAAGATTCATTTTTATTGCGGTTCCGTATGGAACTTCAGTCACTGGTTTCTACCACAAATGCCCCAAAAAAAAGGGGGTGGATTGAATTGTATGAATAAATAAATGCACTTGGCTAAAAGGGCACCCGTCACTCACTTGGGCATCCAGCATTAGTTGCCCCCCACCCTACTAAATAACTACATTAGATAAGAACACGCAACACTTAACTCGTTCACGGGTTTGGGTGCGTATAAGTGCTCCTACAAAATCTCATATACAGGATTTAATTTGGGTCGTAATTCAAGTAGAATGGAAAGAAATGTGGTATTAAGTGTGAAGCTCGCTAGAGCGCAACGTCTCAATGGGCCGCGTAACTCATGTGACCACAACACAACTCGGCTGTATTTATAGAGCACTTTAAAACAACCACCGCTGTATACAAAGTGCTGTCCATGGAGCAAAAATAATTCATACAATAAAACAATAAATGAATCATAAAGAGACTGAAAGGAAATATCGCTGTTGAAGGGAATTTGTGTTAACGCTTTAATGCGTTCATTTTAACAGCCCTAATTTGAGGCATATTTCTCCTGAACTAATCCAATATTGTCTAATTTCGAGGCATTCAGAATTTGGGATTCCACAGTAGAAACCATTTCTGTCCGACTTTTGTAACCTTTCATAAACGTAAGTCAATGCAAATTACAGTTTCTAGTTTTCATTGTACTTTAGCATACATGCTCAATGGAACCAGCAAAGGCCACATGCAAAGAATAATAAGATCATCATGTACAATATTTGGTTGTTTGTGTCCTCCCCAGATGATCTTTTGAAACGCAACACTGACATTTGACAACTTCCCTCTTCACCTCAAAGAATTTATTGCACTCTTTTGGACATCCAATCTTTTCAGCTCTGGCACCTCCCCTCCCTTCTCGTTTCCGTCATTTTCTTGACCAGAAACCCGTCTGTCAGGTGGAACTTGTTTTTGTGGGTGTTGGTAGCAGTATGTGCTTCATTTGGCTCACTGTACTCATAAATATTGAGCTGGTTTATTTTAATCTTCTTTTCATTGAGTGTTGTGATGAACGAGCCTCATCTTCTAGAGGCTGTCAGCTACATACGACGGAGTAAATGAATAGATGGAGCGGTTTACTTAAAAAAAAAAAAAAAAAAAAAAAAACCCTCCACATTTGCAGTGGCCACGGTGAAGACATGAATCAGGCTGAACTGGCCGGACAAGATGACAGTCTGCCGTTGATATGATTTCGCTGTGATGAATCTTAAAATTGAATCAACTGAACTTCCAGAGACAGCGTGGTGAAGTTGGAGGATTGACTCTCAGTTGGCAGCGGATAACAAAAGACAATTGTACAATAGTAGAAAAAGTGACACGATAAAATATGATGTATCCTTTTTGCCATACATGTCATCATATCATATCGCACAGCTCTACTCAAAAAGAGGAGGGATAGGCTCCAGAGTCCGCATGATCCTGCTAGGATGAGTGGTAGAGCAAATGGATGGATGAACAGTGAAGGAGCCACAACAGATTAAATTCAATGTTTTGCATGAGTGCTTGCTACTTTACTTGGATAGCAAATTTTCTAAAATAGGTATCTACGTTAAGGCCGTTATAACTATAATACAGTTGAATTTACTAATGCTCGTGCAGGTTTGATTTGAGCTTTTGCACCAACAGCTGTTTTTAGCTTTGTCTTCAGATTCAAAAAGCTATTCCGAGAGTCTTCAAAGGACTTTATGTTTCTGAAATTTGGGAGGAAGCCAGAGTACCTGAGAAAACCCACAAAAATACGTGTGAACGTGCGCTCTTCACATGGAAAAAGCCCAAGGCAGGATTCCAACTGAGAAGAGACTGGTGGGGCAGACATACGGACCAGCACACGAACCTTTCTGACTTCATTAAGAATGTTTGATATTTCTTCAACAAAAATAACTTGAGTCATTTAAAGGCACACTTGAGGCTGAAGTACACATCCTACCACTTTTGGCCCTTTCCAGTTCCCACTGGATTAGATTGCTGACCTTTTACAAAATTAACCCATCATCTCATGGTGTCATCTTTCTGTTGGCACTGCAGTCTTACACCTTAGCATGTGTGTGTCTATGTGCTAATCGTCCAAATAACTCTTGTGTGCATCCGTGTCCCATTGTCCCCCAGCCCCCCCGCCCCCCTCCCGTATCTACACACATTCCTTCCTACCTTAACAGGAAAGACAAAGGGGAAACAAAAAGGCCACTTCCTGTACTTGCAACCAGCACTCCACACAATAGAGCAGGAAGTGAGTGGCAACTGTAAGCAAGTACATGAGTGCGAAGGAAAGATAATTGAGAGATCTCCTTTTCCCAGTATAAAGTCGTTGGGTTTAAAATCACAATTATTTTCCATTACGCCTCAAGTGTCATCCTTTTATGGGGTGTAAAAATGTGTGAAGCTGTTGGATAGCTTCCTTGTGTCTCTGGTGCTGTTCCCTGAAAGTTGTTTTGTTTTGGAGCTTTGTGATGATGACGCCAAAATACACCCCCCCCCCCACACACACACACACACACACACACACACTTATCACAATTGCCCATGTGTTAAAATACCCAGGCGAGTCTATCACCATGGTGGTTGGTGGCAAGCTACCCTACGAAAGTAAAAAAAATGGAACGTGGCCTTTCTGTGGCCTGTCAGGTTTTAGTGGTATAGGCTGTATAATTTTCATATTTGCATAGAAATCATCCTGAAAAAAAATACACAATTGGACCTGAAGATGGTGGGATTTGGAGATCGCCAAAATGTGAGGTTAAATATTCATGAAAAGAGGCACTTTTCAGTCACGCTTTCAGGTTTGTGATGCCACCGCATACGGTTACCGGTTGTGTTAAAGAGGAATAACGTAGGGATTACCATTAAATCAAACGGGGAGCCTTTTGCTACATAACTGTGAAATCATAGGACCGAATCTGGTACATACATGTTACTGTCACAACACCGTCATGTCTCTGATGTTATGGATAACAGTTCCCTGTTGGCTCAGAGGACTGACCGTATATAATAGCTAAGAAGCCGTCTATAGCTGCTCTGGAGATTTGTTTCGTCCTCCCTCCCTAACCCTTTGTAGACATTGCATGTGAGCAGGCTGATATACTTCAAAGTGCATTGAATCGCCCTCTTTTTTTTCCTGTCTCAGATCTCTTCCTTTATTTGTCTTGTCTGTCTTGTTTCCCATTGCTCGATCAATATACCTCACCTCCAGCGAGCTTTCTGCACCCCGTTTCCTGCTCTCGCCCTTCATCACCCCCCCCCCACCCCCCAATTTGATCGGGGGAGCCCCCACCCCCCAATCCCACCATCCCATCTCACTGCACTTCAAAGGCTCGTCGTCTCCCCCATGCTGCCACAGTCAGGTTCCACGCCAAGGCCAGGTACCCTCGGGGGGAATGCCGAAGCGTGTAGAAGTACTCTGTGCCTTATCTGACGTAAATAAGAGTGGAAAAAGTAAAGGCCCCTTTTTTTTTTTTTTTTTTTTTTTTTTTTTGGGAAAGAGTTGAGGTCACACTGTGGAATGCATACTCTGCCTTGTTTGGTTGGGATGAAGAAAATAAGATGTGAGAGGCTATAATCCAAGAATGGCTAGATGCTCTTTTTTTGTTGTCGTACTTTTGTCGTCGTTATCCGCCCTATTTTGAGCGAAGCCTCCTACTTTTGAAGAAACTCTTGGAAACTATCTGCCAAAAATAGCAAACTATGCGAAAGGCAGGCGGCACAGAAAAGCTATGTAAGGACTGGATTGTTTATCTGCCCTCAGTTGGGACTGTATAGCAGATTACACTATACAATCACATGCTTCCATTAGCAGATCTCTTTGCTTGGAATCTTTTTACTCACAATTTTCACAACATACGCTAGAATTGGGGGAAATGCAAAGTTTTACAACCGAAATAAAAGATGACTGAAAATTGGTCTGACATGTTCAGTTCTCTTGAAAGTACAAAGTCATGTTCTTTTAGTTTTATTGTCATTTACTGTATGGATTTATTTTATGTTCTATCCAATTTTTATATTGCTTGGCCTTACGTGCGTCATGTGTAAGCTGAGGCCTATTCCAGCTGAACCTTGCAACGGGCAGTGTGCGCCCTGCAGTGTTTGCCAGTCAGTCGCTAGGCATATATGGACAAACAGTCATTAACATTCACACTTAATCGAATGAATGAACATACAAATGTGAAAATAGAACGAAACACCCACTGAGAGTAATAATAAAGGGTGTCGTAAAAGTTGTGGCAGATGTATCAACTCCTCGACTTTGACCAACTAGGGCTGAAACAATTAATCAACTCACTGAAATGGTTACAATGAAGTCACAGCAAATCACAGTCTCACACATTGCTGCGGAAAGTCCCGTTACAGTTTTTGCTGCTCCCACTTTCACAGGGATTCGACAGCAACAGTGGCCCGCCCGGTGACTCGGGTCACTCTGAGACTTTGTTGGGCCACCCGAACGCCACTGACCGTGCCCCCTGCCCCCCCCCACCCCGTACAAATTTCATGAATACAAATGATGAAATCAATTTTTTTTATATTCACCATTTTGAGTTTTATCAACTTAAATTGCTCAAACGTAATTGACCTCGTTGCCATGCTGCGCACATTTGTTTGTGTGTCAGGTTCAATCCTTCCATCAACAACAGCTTGAACAAGGCATGAAGCCCAGAAAATGTAAAATGTTAAGTATTCATTTAGACCACAGGTGTCAAACTTAAGACCCGTGGGCCAGATCCGGCCCGCCACGTCATTTTATGTGGCCCGCGAAAGCAAATCATGTGTGTCAACTTGCATGATCATTACTAAAATATGTCATGAAATGTCAAATTGTCCTGTAATAAATAACGTTAAGATTCTGCAATAATTTTGATCCTGTTTTACGCTCACTTGGACAATAAAAAAAAAAAAAAAACTAAACAGTTGACTGATATGAAAACTAGTAATCCATTAATTTGGTATACAAGTAATACCGCGATGAGACGACTAAATATTTTAGTGGTTTCGCTGTCATAACGACCCTCCAAGGGAACTCCAAAGTGGCCCTCAACAAAAATGAGTTTGACAGCCCTGAGTTAGATTCACAGAAAAAAACAAAAAAAACAACCAAAAACCTTACAAGCAAAAAAATAAAGAAGCTAAATATAAAACTTAGCATATTATTACATGACTATAGAGAGCCAGTCCAAATAGTCGGAATCTCCCTCCCTCTTACCATGGCCAAAAAGTAAATGCAGGAGACCCTCGTTCTCCTCCATTGTTGTTGTTTGTCAGGCTGTCTCCAGTTTCTTTGAGCAAAAAACAGTTCTTTGCAAACAGGAGCGAGCCTCCAGGTCATGTTTTATAGAAAGATGGAATACATATGTATACAATTCAGAGACATTAATCCAAGTAAGAAATACAGCAATGTAGTGTCATTTATTTAGCGAGAGATGACACGATATGAGTAAATGTACAATTAACCAGGATTATCTGGCTTTTACTCGGCAATAACGTTGATGAAAAATAGTCTTGGGACGCAAATTCCAATCTCTATTGCGGTAATATATTCAGCAGAGTGTGCAATTTGCAAGTGATTCCAAATACCAGCCTGACATCGATTGGTTGGTAGTGTGTCATTTCTTTTCGGTTAGAAAGACAGATGAATCTCATCTGAGAATGTCCAGCTGAAGGAAGGACGTGGATGGAGTTGTCTCACACTCCTGTGAATAATTAACTTGAAGGTATTTTTAATTGCCTGACCTTTTAGTTTAGCTCTCTGTAAGAGCTAAGCCTCGTTAGGATCCCGCTCGGTGGGAAACGACGACAAAACGACAGTGCTGCTGCTTGAGATGTATTCCTAATGTTAAACCGAGCAGCCCAGTCTATTAAAGGGAAGTCCACCCCACCCATTGTATCTGATATATGATAACTTGTAGCCTTACATGGAGATGTTTAATTTTAATATAACCAATAAACTTTTATTTTTTTTCAAAAGATTTGCCGAATCACAATATAATCATACCAGGGCTGTACAATGCCAGCTGATTAAAATAATGCAATTTACTTTTTTAGAAAGTAAAAAACACCATCAGTTTCATATTCAACCCAATTGAGTTGCATGTAGAGCTGGCAAAATTAATGGATTAATCGACAACTAATTGATTTTAAAATCAATAAACTATTTTAAACAACAAGGGGTCTAAACAATGACTCGGTTAACTTAAAATTGCCCCCATACAGCCTGTCAACAGTAATTATGGATTGATATCTTTAGTCCTCCGTGAAAATAGACAGTTTATTATTGTTTAATCAAAACAAGTCATTTGCAAACATCTGCTTTTACTTTGGAAAACAAAGATTGAACCAGGAACTGAATCCTTTTCAGAATGGCGGGCGATTACATCAATGCCTCACATGTGATATTGTTCATTGTTTAGTTGAAATCTAACAAACACTGACACTGGGTTTCCTTCCAAAGTCCAAGTTTGACTCAGGGACGAAATGAACGTCACCCCATGCCTACTCACACAAATGCATTTGTGGTGACTGGCTCAGTGTAAAATGAGTATCTGTTCGTGCACCCTGAATTGGATTCACCATGTTGTCGATGTTGAACTTTTTGTGTGGGTGATGTTTAAAAATCCGGAATCCGCCGCCCCGCCACCCATGGATATGTCGCTATAGCAAGGTGTTTTATATGCGTTTGTATATGCAAGGCGCTTAATGGCTAAGCTTGTGTTGGGCCAGTTTAAAACATGTTCATTCATATGGTAATTACCATGAAAAGAAGACAATAAATCTGTCCATGGCGTCTAAAACCGTACAGAGCGTTGAGAAGTGCCCACAGGGCCGCTCGTATCTCATGCACCGGGAATTGTGTGTAGCTTGTCATGAAGTTGCATTAGCTCGCAGTAGCTTCCTCGTCCAAGTAGATGTTTGTTACATTCAATTGTGCAAGCTGTCAGATAGTTGCCGTCCTGTTTGAAAGGATCGCTTTGATCTGCATCTTATCAATCAAAGCTTGATTCCGCAAAAATGGACAATTCGAGATGCAACGGTGCGATTACATGACAGATGAAATATACCATTAAATGGCAGACATTCAAGTAATACAAAGGTTGCCTTTATTTGAACTCGAGGCGTGGAAGAATCGCTCCATGCCTCCCAAACACTAACATTATTTGTAATATTTATGATTGTTTATTTCGGTGTGGCTTCTGACACTGAATTGTTTCCATGTATTTTGGGCATTGTTTGTTGTTTTAGGTGAACACAGTCATATCACATAGGGATATGAAAATGTACACTCTAGAAAATAAGATTAGAGGCATCATAATATGTAGCCTCACGTTTCTAGCATGAAGATAGAATTGTGTGTTATTATTGGCAACCCTGGAGAACCCAGGAACCCTTTTCTTCTTTCGAAAATGATGAATTATACATTAAATGACTGCTCTATGTTCACTGAACACCAAAATATGTTTTTTCAAATATTCAATGTTTTAATCCTAATTTAGGATGAGGGCCAAAATTGACCCTTTGGGATTTAAGGGTAGCATTTGAGTAGCAGAATTTATATGGGCCAAATTAGACCCCGTGGGTTCTCCAGGGTTTTAATGCCATATTGTCACTGTAATTTTATATCACACCATGTGGGTTTCTACATTTAATAATCACCTAGAAGTTCTTGTTCCTCAAAAGCAAATGAACGAGATTGTGTGATGTCTGAGCTGGATTTAGGTAGCCGGGAAACCCTCTGCCACAGTGTCTATGCACCCCCCCCCCAAAAAAAAAGTAATTCATATACGTGTGGCATCGATGTGATCAAGATTTACATGAGAAGTATTTTTGTAAATTTTGAAATAGATCAATCCACATACAGCACATTCACTCAACACTGTATTTAAATTATGAGAAGAATTTAAGTCTTAATTTGAAAAACCTACACACCGACCATGATACCAAAGAACCAAACTATTTGGCGTCGTTAAACTATAATCGCCTGCTCAATAGGAAATCCCCCTCACAAATACCCTTAAACCGGAGCTTTACGCTGTGTTGAGTGATATCAATCGGTCTGGCGGGGGGCCGCAAGAAAAACCCGAGTTGGTCTCTGGCGCACTCCACACATCAACGATCGTGAAGTCTGCGTACCTATGTTGTTTTTGCTACTGACACCATCTGGCATCTGTGCAGGCATCAGACATGCATGGGAAGGTGTCATGTGCATACAGTTCTGGTGCGTGCATCGCTAGCTGTTAATTATGACCCCCTTCCCCTTCCCCGTCTCCTTTGCTAATCAGTGCACAGCTGCAGCTGCCTCCCAGGCAACGCTGCATCTAATGACTCATTATTCACACTGTCTGCTCATAAGCCTGGGGGGGGTAGAGGGGCCCGGATTTTGGACTCTGTGTCCGCGCGCGCACATGTGCTTTAATGTGATGAGCAGGTTATGTATTAGCAAAGTGGTAATCGAGGGTTCGTTAAGTCTCCTAATTCGTAAGCACTACTTAATTATTTGAACCCTTGTTGGATATTGATTTGAGAGGAGTCCTCTATGCGAGTATGTGACAGATGAAAACAAATGTACCACACGCCCTTATATTCATATGCCAACTTATTTTTCCTCCGTCCCCGACAACCCCACCCACCGACCCCAACGACTTTGGTTTCTTCAGCTGGTGTCATGTTGGTTGTCATCGTCAATCAACCCGTTTTTTTCCTGCAGCCGTTCCACCCACCTTGACCTCTCCCCAAACCTTTCAGTATTGCACTTGTCACAAAATTCCACATTGCACATTCATGCCATTCAAAATGATGTGAGCCATTTTAAACATCTCAGTGGGCACATATTGGATTTGGCCTTGAGGTTAAATAACATCTGATGGATTTAAACGGATTTTGTACGTTTTTGTAAAATTACATTGCGGTTGGGTCTGAAATAAAGCTTAAACCCCGCCACATACTGGGTGTCAGTCCTCGTTTTATGACCGCCTCAACATACAAAAAGTATGGAGAATGACAGCCGGAGTAGTGTACACACCAAACATGTATTCGCTTCCTTCATGTCACATGTAACAGATACGAGGAGGGGCTTTCCCTTCAATACCATTTCTTATATTTTTTAAGTGTCTGTGAACGAGTATGTATAATGTGTGGCTAATACTATTGCTAGCTTGATTCAGTGTAAAGTAAGCTACGACCAACAGATTTACTGCACCAATTTCCTCATTCACCATTCTCCTTTTTTATCGTATGGTCCCGTTATTGGTAGTAAGACTTTTCAAAAAAAATTTGGGTGCCCATGACCAGGCACAATCATTTCTCTGCCTTTGTTGTTGTCGACGTTGATTAACATAGCGTGACCTGACTTTGATCTGTATTTCAATCATGATTATCCAAACGACGACGCCAATGTCAGAGCTGCTTGATTCTTTTTTTTTTTCTTTCCCCCCTTGTTTTCCAAACATTATTGTATTACCGATGTGCCGGTCACATTTTTTTTGCACCCAAGTCTGAGTGCAAGTCATTTACTTTTAAGTACTTGCTGAGTTTTGAGCCAAAACCTTGGCAATGCGTTACGAAGTGGTTTGAATTAAGGAAACAAAATATTTAAATTCTTGAAGTTGGAATTTGATGGCCTGGTACCCTGAATGATTACTTTAATTGTTCATTTAAAGAGGACAACATTCAAAAAAGTCAAATGCTTTTTCCAGTATCACCAGTTCTAAAATAGACAACGCAATTCTCAACTCAACTCAAATGTATTTATAGAGCACTTTCAAACAGACTAATTTTTAAAAAATGTAATATTTTGTTTACAATGAAGTTGCTAACTTCTTGTGAATTTCACATAAGCCATGATTGGTTGTTACCTGAGCCCTGAGCACATGCAATGTTATTTTTCTGTCGACAGCAAGTTGCAAAAGGCGTTTTTAAAGGTGCTAATTGTCCATAAAAAGTGCCATTATCCAATTCATTATAAACAAAAAAATTAATATTTTACCGCTGAAAATAACAAAATTAGTAAAATATCCCCTTTATATGAAACTGGGTGTTTTATTCACTTGTCTCTTTATCAACATGTATATATTTTTTAATGAATGTGACTAGTTTGTATTTACCTTTTGGCAGGGTTATTGACTCGAATGACACTGGATATGTTTTCAGGGGTTGTATTCTATTTAAGATGTAATTGTGTCACGGTTTGACCTAACCCAAACGTCCGAAATGAGTTGACATTTTAGCCTCAATTAGCAGGAAGACACGAGAGGATATCCGCTGCGCTTTCTGGTTTGGAGTGTGTGCACTCGGGCTCATTATTCTGCTTACTATAGCAATAATTGAGCCCAATTACTTCAAGCGCTCCATAGAAATGTCATGCCAAAGGGTGAATAGGCCAATAATTTCGGGCATAAAACACACGCGTGCGCGCTCACACATACACACAAAGAGCGACATACCAGCTGGGGCTACGACAAGAACTCCACCTCTTCCAACATTAAACCTTCATGACTGGACTATAATTTAGTTTTTAGACTTCCACTGTCATTGATCCGGAAAATAATTCAAAAAATACAAATGGACAAAGAGATTTTAGTAGATTTAAGACTATAACAGAGATGGGCATTCCGTCCCTGGGATGGAACGGTCGGTCAAAAAGAGAAACAAACATTTGAATTGAGGTTAACAGGTTACAGGCCACATTCATGATGGAGAAATCATATGAAATGATTTATCTTGGTTTCATTTTCCATCACAAAAGCCGATCCACTTTGACACATGGGTGTGAAAGTAAAGGAAAGGGGTGTGAAAAGTTTTTTTATCCAGTGTGGCTCAACGTTGCTATAACAGAGATGGGCATTGCGTCCCTGGGATGTTGTTTCTTTTGACAAGAAACAAGTTGCGTTCAATTAACTGTACCTTTCTTTGCGGTATACTTGACTGTCATGACTCAATTAATCAACAATCAATTCAATAGATCCAGTTTGACACATGCCTTTGGAAAGGGGTGTGAGGAGTTTTTATATCCAGTGTGGCTCAACGTTGCTATAACAGAGGTGGGTATTGCGTCCCTGGGATGTTGTTTCTTTTGACAAGAAATGAGTTGCGTTCAATTAACTGTACCTTTCCTAGTGGTATGCCTCACTGTCATGACTCAATTAATCAACAATCAATTCAATATGCACAGATGTTTTTCTCCGGATCGGTTACACTGACCAACAAATTTTTACTTTAAAAAAATGTTGTTTTTTTTAATCAGAGATGTAAGTAAAATGTCCTCGATATTTTTTGCGCTGATTATAAATCTGCCCTCACATGAGTTGCGTTCAATTAACTGTACCTTTCCTAGTGGTATGCCTCACTGTCATGACTCAATTAATCAACAATCAATTCAATATGCACAGATGTTTTTCTCCGGATCGGTTACACTGACCAACAAATTTTTCCTTTTTTTTTAAAATTATTATTTTTTTAATCAGAGATGCAAGTAAAATTTCCTAGATATTTTTTGCGCTGATTATAAATCTGCCCTCACATCAGGTTTTCAAACTATTTTTACAATTACTACTACTACTACTACTATTACTACAACAATAATAAAGAATAATAAAATAAAAAACATTGATATACATTTTTGAATTAAGGGTTAGGTTCATCATTACGTAGATTTATTTTTTCTGAAACCTCATGGCTAAAATTATCATCGCATGGCCAAATCTGTATCGCGTGAGCTTTTACAGGTCAAATTTAAAAACCAAAAATTAAAATATCTCAAAAACCTGATGTGCTAGGAAAAAAAAAAAAGTAAGGACACTTTTGAAATCACTGTCAAAAAATACATTTCGGGGACACATAAATCCATCTCTGCTTAAAATTTGCTGTTGACCAGTGTTTATTACATATGACTGTGGCAAATTTTTGAAAAAAAAATCACCCTATTCTATGCTCAGGAGTTGCGATGAACAACTTTCTCTTGACCATGAGACAAGTTCACGCGTCATGTGTACGTTTATCTGCAACAAGCATGTTGCAACAAGCACAGTTGATTTCCGGTGTTTTTATGTGTGTCGGTGTGTTGTGAATTGGTATGTGTGGAAGGTGGGGGCAGGGGTCTTGCTTTGACAGCCTAATCCTAAAGCCTAGCGGCTAGCCAAGCTTTGTATTGGAGAGGGAGGGATGGAAAGAGTGCGAGGAAAAGAAATGGGGTTTGGGGGGGGGGTGGCAGTTGCAATTGAGGAGTGGGTATTAGCAGCAAGGGAGGGGTTGTAAGGGAAGGGAGAGTCAGGGAGATGGGATTCATTCACTCGACTGCAAAAGGAAACAAAAGGCTACTGAAGGGTCTGACTTATGACAGGAGCACCTTAGACTGCCTGTTAGCAGGGTAGCCTTTGCTATTTGTTCTCTGCCACTGGCCTCCTCATCTTCCTCGTCTGTCCCCCCCCCCACCCCCCGTCTGTCCGTTTGTCTTGGAGATGCATCCTCTGCTTCCTTCTTAACACGTGAGTCATTCAGCCTGTGCACGTCTATATTCGTCACTGACTTACCCGGGCCGGCAGCTGCTCGGTTATTTCTTTTATCATCTTGACATGTGGTCACATTTCTGGTTTGGATCTCCCATTTGTTAATCTTTTACTTTCAGCCCAGCAATTTGTTTTGTTCAGAGACCACAGAGCGGTCCAAGTGTGAGAAGAATGTTCAACTTTGCGCACCGTGTATGCGTGAAATAGGTCAACTTCAGTGTTTCAATAATCCGTCAGATGCATGTTTGCTCTCGGGGGAAAGAAAACAACCCCCTCCCCAAAAAAATCCCAGCACTGTCTGTATGAACACTGAAGCATAAAATCAACATTTGAATTGTTTGGGGAGTTGATGCGATGACAGCTGGGCACATCAGCCTTTGTTGGCACACGTGCCCCTTCGCTGTTCTGTCTAAATATGAAACAATTATTTTTCCCTGGCAGAAGAGCAGCCAGCCTCTATGCTGCCCTGGCAGCAGTGTGGGCAGATGAAGCGTCAATTTGGCACAGGGACTGACTTTGTGGATGGGGAAGAGCTTCATTGTAAAGTGTCTTATCCCAGGTTCAAGAATGAGTTGCTGTTCTCAAGCCATTGTTGTCATCATTAGTCATTGGATGTCTGTCATGATGAGTATGAACAACGTTCTTTTTTAAGATCAGTTGAACAAGTCGGTGTTTCTCAACTGAGATTTTAATTGCAATTATGTCATGATGGTGTTGGAACTTGATTTGTTGAGGGTTGTAGAAAGGCATTTAAATGTTCCACAGATCAACCGGATTCAAAATCAGTCGTTTATTATGCCTGTTCCTAATATATGGTAAATACTGGATATATCGATACGATAACCATGGCTATTCTCTAAATAAACCAATGCTAATTAAAGTTAAACACAACAGAATGCTGTTTCATTGAATTTTATTTTAAAACCAACTCGGCTTTACTGATTCCAAAATGTAGAAAAACAACATTGCTATCAGTATGCAATCAGTCATTCTCTTAATATCTCAGCACAAACAAAGAGGAACAGAACAAGATAGTTCTCTTTGTGCACTAACTTACCTTGTTATTAGCGAAAGGTGATTATTTTTACACATTAAAAAAATAAATGTAAACAAACCTTTTTGTAAAGTGCTTCATTTTTCTGAACAATATTCAACATTTTTGTGGAACAAAAAAAAAAACAAACACAAGTATTAAACTTGTATATTTTCACATTAAATTAACCAGCTGCTGTGATTGTTCTGTTTCATAAAGGGAGAAAGTGGGTGAGGATACCCTCACCCTACTTCGGAGAAACAAAAAGAACTCACCTGAAAGGTGGTCTTTTGGCTTTTGAAGCACCTCAAACATCCATTAAAAGTCAAGACACTACAATGCTGAGAGAATAATTTAATTCCATTTAATAATCCCAAATGGTTCAAAATACAATCCGAACAAATTTCTGGGAGAGCGTCAGAGCACTGACCTCAACCCTCCGAAACAGCTGTAGAACAGGGAATGACACAGCCGCAAACGTTTTTTGTTTTGTTTTGTTTTTCGGATGAATGTATTGCACTTTGCACAGACACACTTCAGCATACTATTTGTTTTTTTATTTTGTTATTTATTTATTTCTTTTTAGGATGAATGGATTGCACTTTGCACAGACACACTTCAGCATACTATTAGACGTCCACCCCCAACCCCCACCCCCCTGACTGAAGAGATCCATCTGTGCTGATGCAGGGTCATTTGCACTGAATGCACTGCTTCGTCCAAAAAGTCATCAGTCACTTACTCAATAGCTAGCCTTCAATTAAGCCAATACGACAAAGCGGTGGATAGTGACTCTTTTGCTGTCTCTCTTTAGAGAGCACTTGGGGAAATTGGGATTGAATGCCGGGCCAGAGGAAGCTTTTCACGGTAACAACTTCAGAAACGAGTGCCAGAGCCGGAATCTAAAATGCATTGTTTCTTCAGACTGCGTTCAGCTGCGCTTGAGCCAAAAATGTGGACATGACATCACCCCAGTCCTGCTGTTTCTCTTCCTCAATGAAAGACCCTTTGAATGTGCTTCAATAAAGACTATCCGGAGGTCAGAACAAGACCATTACGCCTTGTATGTGTGGACACGCAGCCCTCAAGAGTGGACAGGACAGTGGAGAGGTTCGATTAAAGGCAGAGGGGAGGCTCAAATGAACAGGTTTTGTATTGGGACAGGGAAAGCAAAGGACCTCTTCCAGCTGAGCCCGCTCAGGACGTTCTACATCTCACTCTCGCTCTAGCCCCTCCGCTGAGCTTATTGCGCAGCTTTACCAATTTCTCACAGCTCAATTACGACATAAAGCCTATAGTCAGCGTGAGGGAGCGAAGAGGTCAAACAAAGGTTTTTCTCCTGTGTTTTGGCACTGTGTTGACTCACTGAAAGCTGCAGTCTGTCCCTTGAGACGGTAATTTGATGGAGGTGTGAAGCGCACGCAGACGCAACCTTCCTTGAGCTGTCCTTCCATTTCCAGACTGCATCCTCAGATAGCCCTTCTTCCTGCTATTTATTTCCCAGGCACTAAGCTACATATTGACCTCAGTCATCTCATTCCTTTACCAAAAAAAAAAAAATCAAGTCGAATTTGTCTTTTGGAATTTTTACTGTAGGAAATCAATTAAAGGCACACAGTGTTGCGGGGTGTAACCGTTGTAGTCATACAACCTTTATTCACTGTGCGGGCAATTTTGAAAGTAATACAGGTCCTTGGATCATTATACTGTAGTCCAGACATCTGATATTTGGAGTTTATGAATGTCACACGATGAACTGGTTTGCAATGTACAAATACCACGTCACTTGGCACAAGAAGACACACTATTTGTCTGTAGGAGAATGAAGATATATCTTTTTTTATTCCTGTTAGGGATGAAAAAAAAAGATCAAATAATAGTAAATAATTAAAATTAAAATCATTGGGCAGCACGGTGTACAGTATTAGTTGTTAGCACATATCTGCATCACAGTCCTGAGTTTGAACTCTTTGCATATTTTCCCTCCCTCCAAAATCAGATGAGATTGTCTCCAGATGGAAAATAAAATGATTGGACAGCGACAAAAGATATACTGCCATACAATAAGTCAGTCAGTCTTAACCGTTTCAATGCATCGAAATGTTCCCATTTACACGCTAACTAGCGCACAGGCGATAATGTTGCTCTTTGATGCGCCAAACCTTTTGGTGTGCTGGGAGATTCTGGTAAAGAGTCATTGAAAGACTTAACTGTTTGTTCCCGACTCAAAAGATTAGCTTCCACCGAGGCATAACTTCATGGATAGAGGATGCACTCGTCCTCGAAGCTCCACGAGCTACAATTCGGGGAGGGGGGAAAACACTCTCATTGTGTGCTCATCAAGGCGTAATGCTGTGGTGCGTTGCATACACGCTGACGCCCTGGTATGCACACAGACATCCGCCAATGTGCACGGACACACAGAGATAGAGACGCGTCACGACAGAAGAGTCAGTGTTGGGTCAGGAGGCGCAGCCTATGGAGAGCCTGGGTATTGTTAGACATTAAACAGTGCAGCCATTCAGCTGGCAGGGGTGACTCAGGAGAAGCGTGACAACAACAACACCTGCCGTCACACTAGCGCATTGTTGCGCTCCACGTTAGAGCGGCAGAGCGGCGGCAACAAAATCAACACAGCCCGGTTGTCGTGTACTCAGCAGTGCAACAATTCCATCATATGGACAGTACGGTTTTATGTTTTTCCCGTTTACCGTAATGCCCCTAGCAGGTGGGAAAGGATACATAGTGACTGGTCACTTATTGAATGCCTAGAAAACAGTCAATCACAGTGCTGGAGAGGACTTGACTTCGTTTGAGCCGTTGGTTCCGTTCAGACGGCTTGGTTGAACTTTGCCTTTTAACTTGACCTCAGCCTCCACTCGACCCCGGCTGTGAGCGTTCAAACAATTCAGAGTCATGCTCTGATGATCCCTGTTCACCGGACATGAGTGAAAATATGACTGCTGAGCTGTTTGCGTTAACCTTTTGAAAGTGTTTCTTGCCTCCCGTCGACACAATGAATATGTCATATCGGTTGACTGTTTTATCATTCATAGCGTTCTTTCCTGACAGCCGAGATTTTTTTTCTTTTCCTCTTCTTTCACACAACCTGCTTAGACTGCCACTTGCCCCCTCCATATTTATTTTGTATTTATTTCAATCAGGGTTTTCGCCGACAGTGAGTATCTCACAAGAGGCTAAACGGTAAACAGTGTTGTCTAGTTTTTATCTCAAATTTGCTTTTTATCTTCTCATGGTTTAAATCATAGGATAGGAAAAAAACCATGATGGGTTTTAATTCAAACATTGGTCGACATCGTTTTGTAGCACAATGGTAATTTGCGCTTAAATGCGACAAGCGATTAAGTGTTCTTTTCTGGAGACCTTTTCCCCCTAAGCAACTTCCACATAAAGTCGGGGAAACCTTATTGTTTGCCCGTTGCTTAAAATATCGTCGCCATTAAAAAGGTTTTGTGCAACACCCTTTCATCAAGGCTGATCAGGAGTAACCTATGTTAAAGATGGGTACAAGTTGAATCACGGCACCTTTTGCAGAACATTTTTAGGATTTGGAAAAGTGCTTCTTGGTCATCTCGTTTGGATAAGATAGGAAAGGAAAAACAGTTCCTATGCACAAAGCAATATCCAAAGTGTCCAAGATAGGAAAAAAAAACAGCAGATATACAGAGAGGTATCTCTGGTATCAGAATTAGGCTCATGCGTCTGCAGTGTAAGTTAAAAAAAGGATCACTTTAATGTGAAAATTGCTTCGGGACAAACACCAAAATCAACACACACACACACACACACACACACACACACACACACACACACACACACACACACACACACACACACACACACACACACACACAAGGCCTCATCTAAGCTAATGACTCATCTCTCTCTGCCCCTCTTCCCTCCCCACCCCTCTGTTTTTCATCTCTGTGCAGGGGACATCACTCAGAAGGGCTATGAGAAGAAAAGAAGCAAACTGCTGGCACCATACATCCCACAGATACAAGGTAAGGATATTTGTTGATATTTTAATCACACATCACATCTCCAAAAATCACCAAATGCAAATCAAACAAACAAAAAAAAGAGTGTAAATTCAATATGAATGCATTTCAAATATAGTAGCTTCTTGTTGGCAAACTGTGAAATGAAGTGAAGTGATCAGGTCATATGACTTTTTTCCTCGGTTTGTAAAAAAGGCGTGCAGGAGCTGAGGCACTCTCTGACACCTCGGGTCGTGTTGGCCGGTTTTTGGCTTCAAAACTAGACTGTGAAAACCATCATTTAAAATGAGGCTCTAACAAAACAACAACGGAGAACGAAAATCTCGTAATATACTTCTCGACGTGGCTTTCCTCTATGGTAAGGAGGCAAATCGTCTCTGAGAAGAAATTGCATTGCTGTGTAACGCTGCTGTGTTATAACTCCACAGTCTCCACTTTGCTGCAGTCATCCTTTCTCCATTGGGAGATGAACTACATAAGATACTCCTTTATTGATAACCCTAGAAGATCAATAAAGGACACAGGGATCCGACGATTTCTGCGAAGACAATACAAAAACAGAAAGCTAATGGGAGAATGTGTGTTGATTTTCATCCTTTGTTCCTGATTAATGTGCCTAACCAGTGAGTGACCAGCACTAGTTTTCATCATCCACACGATATGATTTCTACACGCTTGTAATCCTTGGCGGGTAATCTTCCGTTACTCTTACAACTTTATGAATTTGAATGTATTTCTGATGCATCAGTAGTATGAACTCTGATCCGTACACATCGGATATGTTATGTCATCAAAAGCCAAATATGTGGGCCACGCAGGCGAGGGTGAGTGCTTGGGAGACGAGTGACAATCATCCGTGTTGTAACTTCCTTAAAACTCCAGAATCCAGCCAGGATCCCGCACCGTACCCTGTCCCAACAGGCAGCACAACGGATGTTTTTTCGTTTTGGTCCCATTTTTAATCTCTCTACTTTGTAACTAGCCTTATCCTAGCTAGAGCGACGCTAGTTTGTCTCTTAGGTCCGGCGTCAAAGTTTGAAAACTGCTTCGTTTGTGGCTAGCAAAGCGTTAGCTGGCCAAAGCTTCTCTTTGCTAGGACGGCTTTAGCTGGCCAGCATCGAGTCGTTAGTTGGTCAAATATTTCCATAACTACCTCCAGGTGTTTGCTCAAATGCAGCGTGTACATAGCTTTCACGCATTTGCACTCCCCAACGTAGATGTGGCAGACATCGGGAGACGGGGACGTGCCATCCAAACGTTCCTCTCTGACGACACCGCTATGATGTGTTCTGACTCGAATGTGAAGCTTTTCCTTTTTTAACGTAGCCTCAGTCGAGATGTATCACTTCAGCAATACTTCCTTGGTACCATTTACTACTTTCCTGTTCGCCTTAGTGCTATCATGTGGGATCTTGGGTAACAGAATGCGCGGAAAAATATCTGGGGATAACTTCAGCAGAAGAAAACGTGAATTTAAGAAGACTGAACCATGAATAGGCGGAGGTTCTGTTCGTTTTTTCCTTGTGTACAAATGTCAATAGCAATTAGAGTTGCTGTAGTGCAGTAGAAAAGAGGCATTCAGACCCACCGTTAAAATACAGGACATGAACCGAAAAGATGCACAAACATCATGTTTTGGCTGTGGACCAATAAGTGTATCTCCTGTGCTAGGGCATGCGACTGATTGGCTTAAATGAAGTGCCTTCTGCCCAGCAACCCAGTCTGAGGTTCTGGCGTGTGAATAAACCCTTCTCCTCAAAGAGCTGGAGAAAAGCCATTGTTTTACTTTGTGTTACCGGCCATTAAAGCGGTACAACGGAGCAGCATACAATTGAAGTTCTCGTCCTCGCTCACAGGATGCGTGTCACGCTCATTCTTAGCCGTGTCCTGGTATATGCTAAGAGAATATTGAAACTGATGCACTGAACGCAGCTTGTGGTGTTTAGTGGATTGAGTGAATGTGTGTGAGGCTATTGCTCAGCATTGCAGCATGTGAGTTATACTGCTGTCTTAAGAGTTGCTGACAACATGGAGCTCAATGAGCCTGACTAAGCCGCTGCCATGGAAAGGCCGGGGCAGGCTGACACATATCGGCCTCGCTTGTCTCTACACTGCAGGTGTCCACAATGTAACATGGGATATTTGCACAGAAAGATTTTGAGTGTTTGAATTTGGAGGATTCACTGTACTTGTAAAAGGAAAACGACAGCTACATGAAGTGCGGTATAAAGCCCTGCCTGCCCAAATCACAGCTGTGCATAGATGACAGCTTAGACTACTGGTATCTTTTTTTTTTTTTTAGCTGCAACATGACGTTTTGAGATTTGCGCTACTGTACTTAATCACCTTCTTTGAGCTTGGCATTTCTCATTTGCTTTCCCTTGAAACATGCAAAGCTGCTGCTCATTTGTAAGTGAGGCGGGATTAATTCAAGATGAAAACTTTCTCATCTAAGGCAGCGTAGTGAATGAGTGGTTAGGACGTCTTTGTCGCAGTGGAGTTGTTCCAAGTCCCAATCTCAGACACTCCTGTGTGCGGTTTGCGTGTTTATTTGCTTGCCTGGATCCCTCCAGGTTCCTCATCTTCCTCCAACATATCACCAAAAACGGGCATTTGAATCGGGTGCTTATTATAATAATGGTGATGATGTTTATTGACCCTTTTTTACCCACTGTATGAATGATTCATTCATGTTTTTTCTCCGCAGGTGTCGATCCCGCTCTGCAAATAGACAGCCGGATCCAAGCCTCCTCCCAGGCTGTTCTGTCCGCATCCAAACACAACAAATCTCGGGCAGCCAACACGAGGGATGAACGCTTTCGCTCTGGTATCACATCTTCAGTACTTTGGATGAGAGTTTTGAATTCCCGTTGGTGCTTTTTAATGGTGCGCCTAAGCCGTGTACTCTTTTGTGTGGCCTAGATCTGCACACAGAAGCCGTCCAAGCAGCTTTGGCCAAATACAAAGAAAGGAAGATGCCCATGCCGTCCAAGAGACGATCCGTACTAATCCAGTCCTCTGTTGAGGCATGCACTCCGCCAGGTGAGACTTTTGAATCTATATTTAATGCGCTGTGGTTTACGAACCTCGGACATACAGTATAATTGGCTGTGCACACACTCACACACACACACACACCATTCTTCCTATTCCCTCACGACTCACGAAGCACTGCAGTGTAGGATGCGCCAAGATTGTGTTGCAAAATATTCCACAAGAACAAGAAACATTCCAGGAGATGACTATCTATTGTTTGGGCTGACAAAGGACTCACTTGTCAAGGGCGTGTTCCCAGCGGGCCTTCCCACATGTTGCATACTGGATGAGCATTGTTTCACAATGTCAACGTTTTACCTTTTTCTCTCATAGTTTGTGGTGTGTTGACGTCAGCCATGTTGGATCCCGCAAAATACAATAATAGACTTTATCCACTTTTTGCTATTTAGGTAGAACCCAGTGAGGGCATAGCCGCAATTGTGGCATCCCACGATTAGATAATTAGATGATTAGATGTGTGTTGATGACTGGTGCGATGTATAAAAAAAGTTGTCCGACAGTGTTATGTCTGTGGTGCGATTGTGAATGTCAGATTCACAACTTCACATCCCCAGAATTCCAGCCTGTCTTTGATCTTTTTAAAAGGCATCATCCTGGTTGACGCACTATATCCCAAGATCTATACCTGGTAGATCCACTTGTTCTTGTCAAAGTTAGATAAATCGCAGATTGATCGGGCTGTGTGAAAAGGGGCCCTGGGTGGCCAGATTTTGGTTTTCCCCTTAAACTTGGAGTCTTACAATGTTCAGTGGCCACTTCTGAGCACCTTCCGTTTGAAGGTGATCAATTTTCAGGTGTCGTCTTAGTCCCATGATGTCAAAATGTGAAACAGCGATGATGGAGAGGATTATTTAAATGCCCATTCAAATTGAACCATGTGAAGTATTGGTTGATTCATGAATCAAAACACCACCTCATCTCTTTGTTAGATAAGAGCAAATTTTGGAGGGGCGGGGGTACAAAAACAAGTTTCAAGGTCAAATTTTACCCATATAGATAGTCGGGCTCTTTATTTTTTAAATTTCACGCGGAAGCCAAGTATCCCCAACTTTTTGTCAGGAGTGTATATCATCACTGTTAATACGTCACATTTGTTTTGCTTGCACTTAATCACTGTTATATGCTACATTGCAGGAATTAGCAGACCGGCCAAGTCATTAATGTATTGCTCATTAAGCAGCGCCTCGCAATTATAGCCTGCTGTTTTTATCTGTTGAAGACAAGCCACTCTGTGAGCTTAATCAGTCTTCTCGCGCGCTTCTTGTCTGTTTATATGCGATGAATGCCAACGCTCGACTTTACGCTGTTTGTTTGACCCTCGCTATGTTCTTTTGCTTCACTTTGCCATGGTTACTGAGACACTGAGATATAGGAGAGATGATCTGAGGAATAACAAACAGATTATTCTCTGTGAAGCAGTCCCTTTGAGGCTGCTGGCTTTACGCACTTAAATATGGGCTTATTAGAATCAAGCCTAAAGCTCTGCGAGGCCACTTTTTCAAGGCCGTGTAGGAGATTTCACTCGGTGATTTTGTGTCGTGCTGTTCTGAATTGACAGATTGAACATTTGAATGATTTTAGTTTGCGAACCTATGTGATATTTGACATTAATGTTTGGCAAGAAGGAGCACTGTGTGAAGGTAGACTGCGCCATTAGCTTCTTGTGCTAGCTATGTGGTGGTTGAGTGATGTGTGTGTGTGTGTGTGTGTGTGTGTGTGTGTGTGTGTGTGTGTGTGTCTGTGTGAGAAAGATGTGTGAATTGTATTACATTGTATTAGTTTATGATTTCATCAAGTTGTATGAAATTTAAAATCTTGAAGGCCAAACCCTTGTCTAAAAAAAAATAAAGACTTGGCGCCATGGCGTCAGCAGGCAATTTTACACCTTTTTTGGTAAGGCTCAATTGCGCTCAAATTTATAGATGGGCAACACTGTATTTTTTTAACGGATTAATTCAAATTCATATGGGCTGGTTAAATGCTGTGAATGCCTGTGTGACCATGTTAAAATGCGATTTAGCCAGCATCTATGGATAATTTGGAAGCAGAGTACCTGGAGAAAACCCATACAAGCATGGAGAGAACAGGCCCCACACATGAAGGCGTTAGTCAAGATTCAAATCCAGAAAATTATTTGATTTTAAAGCAGACGTGCTAAACACTAGGTAACCGTGCTGCACTTAATTGATCTTTATGAGATGTATTCTTTTAAAAGTCAAAACAAAGCATAAAGGGGCAGGTGATGGTGCAGCCGTGTCAACCGCACAAGTCATGCACAAATCTTTTTCCCCCACCGGCCTGCGTCTGGTGTTGCTGTCCTCTTATCATGACGCCACGCTACTCTGACCTGTCTAACACAGACACCTCCTCTGCGTCGGAAGACGAGGGCTCGCTGCGGCGAAAGGGACGTCTGACCAACTCCACTCCCATTCAGAGCCACAGCCACCCGACAGTGGAGCACTGGTTTAACCGGGTCATCCAGGGTTCGTCCACCTCATCTTCTGCTTCGTCCACCTCGTCCCATCCGGGAGGGAGGTCTGTCACCGCCAGCACCAACGCTAACAGCACCACCCTCAACGCCAACACCAAAGCTACTGCGTTGGCTGATCTTATGTCACACACCCATCTTGGTGAGTGCTTCTTTTGTGATTTGTCACTTTTGAACTGAAGCGCTGGTTTGTTTTGAGTTTCTAAATGGACTTTGTCTTCGGTTGTCATTGTAAGTCCGGCATGTAAACTTGCTGTTGGCGCAGCAGTTTTTGGGGCTGGATGAAGCCTGGCTCATTTGCATGAAAAAAATGAAAATAATGAACTCGAGACGAATGGGCTGATTTCAGCAAGACAAGAACTCATGTGTTGAAATCTTGAAATCTGCGTTATAAGTATATGTGATGTGTTGGTGTCTGTCTGCACGCTTCATAGGGATAACCACTTCATTTGCTGAATTCAGCAGATGTTTGAAGCATTCAATTATTTCCAGCTAATCAGATTTTTTATTCATTTTTTGTATGTATCCCAGACAGAAAGTAATGTCACCCCGCAAGCTACACACAAGCACTTAACGAGGCAAGACAAAGAACGTTGAGAGTTTTAATTGATGTCTTTGGACTAAGTAATCTTTGTTTGAAATCTCACTGTCATTCAGTCATGTGAAAAGGCTTTGGGCCACTCTGCTGTCAAAGCTACTCTATTCATAACGTCTGTTAATGCTCAGTGTGACATGATGGCGTCAAAACACTTCACCACACGCTTTTTTTTATCCAGAGAATGGCAAGTAGATGCTTAACTAAACTCGCTGAATCATTTCTTTAAATCTCATATAGTGCGTCTTGGATGCAATACATTACAGAAATGCAAAGGAACGTTAAATGTCAAAAACAGATCAATGGATTTGTTTTGATTTGATGACAGAGACACTGCAGCTCAAACAATACAAAACATTTCGGATCAGAGACATCATTAGCATAATTCCCTAAAAAGAAACTGCATGTCGTAGTAGTAGAAAGGGTCCAACTTATTATTACAAAGCAACTGTCGATTGTGGCGGCTGGCCACTGATGATATTATGACACAAATATATATATATAAATATTTCTATCATGGGCGATACATATTTCTACCTTTCAGCGGCTGACGCAAATCAGATTTTATAGTGACCTGTCGTCTGTCATTGTGATGAACGAGCGGTTAGCACGTCAGTCTCACAGTCCTGAGCTTCATTTGGAATTTACGTTTTCCCCAATGCTCGTGTGGAGTTTCTTCCTCCCACATGAGAACATGCTCCTCCCACTTAAAAACATGCATGTACATTTCATTAAAGACTAAATTGGCCATAGATGTGAATGTGAGTATGACATTTGCTCTGTGACCAGTACAGGGTGTACCCCTGCCTCTTGCCCAAAGTCGGGTGGGAGGAGGCTCCAGCTCACCCACCACACGAATGAGGAAAAGCAATAGATGGATGGATAGCTGACATGTCCTTTCTATCTCCTACTTCCATAGATAACCACGTAGCTCCCCCAGACGTGACGGGCCTCTCGGAGCGCTCCTCGCTTCATGCGGAGCAGTCCCACATTGCCTCAGTGCGAGGCGGGTCCCGTGGCTACAACCACCACACCAACATCATGGAGACAGCAGATGGTGAGTGTCCCGTACGCACCCCGCTACATGGTTTCCTCCGGTTTGCCTTTTCCCCCTGCTGTTTGTCCCTCTGTTTTCTCTCTTCAGTCAGTCTTGCCTTCAGCCCGGCGCAAGCTGCCGGCTGACCCTCTTTGTGTTGCTATGGTAACACCTCTCCTCCTATGCCCCTGGAAAAAAAATATAGTAGGTCTTAATGATTGTTCCGTGAGACACACTTTCTAATACTGATCATTGTTAAACATTATATTGATGACTCCTGCTTTAGCCATTGCGTGGTGAGTTTGCGGTGCTATTTAGGAGTTATAAAACAGCCTTCAAGGACCATTTTGTCATAGAGTTCTGGGTCACAAAGACGGCGATAAAACACATCCAAGAAATGTAAAAAGTGGTTTGCCAGTGAATAAAAGCTGGTCTCAATCTTAAACGTTCTGAATTGTGCCACAAGTAATGCTCTATATTCCAGCCAATGCACGAATATGTTTTTTCTTTGCACAATAATTGATCAATCACTGATCTCTATATGTTGGTTGAAAATATTTGGTTCATTTAATGTATATGCTATGGAACTTCTGATTTATTTACCGAATTGGTTCCCATAATAACACGGGCAAATTCTGTCAGGCGTGTTTTCTTTTGTCCGTTTCTTGTCTGTAACCCCCAAAGTAGATCCACATATTAGTAATATATGCTTTTCATGTTCTATTTAATTTTGGTACATTCCTGAGGGAACAGCCTGGTATTTATTATTGCTACCGTTGCTTCAGCTCGTCGGCAGTCCGTGCATGTTCCGCCCCGTCAGGTGTTGCACCCCTCCGCCAGTTGTTGTTCCTCGCCCAAAAAAACGGGAATTCACTCATTCAATCCATCCGTTTTGATGATGTTTGTGTTGTTGCTGGTCTCGTTTGTTTCATCAAAGGTTGAGCCTTTGATGAAACCAACTTCAACAGGCTACACTTTATCTTTTAAATGGTGAAACCGTCGAGTGTGGGACCTAAAGTAGGCAAATGAACTATTTGATGATCAACCTCGATTGGAGGGCGGGGGGGCGAGGGGGTTACCATTGTCCCCGTCAGGTGTTGCACCCCTCCGCCAGCCGTGGTTGTTGTTCCTCGCCCAAAAAAATGGGAATTCACTCATTCAATCCATCTGTTTTGATGATGTTTGTGTTGTTGCTGGTCTTGTTTGTTTCATCAAAGGTTGAGCCAACAGGCTACACTTGATCTTTTAAATGGTGAAACCGTCGAGTGTGGGACATAAAGCAGGCAAATGAACTATTTGATGATCAACCTCGATTGGAGGGCGGGGGGCGAGGGGGTTACCATCGAGATTGATTATATTTGCTATAGTCTTTGTTCAACTGTCCCCATTTAAAAAAAAAATGCTTGTGCACTAAAGAGGCATGGGTTAAAGTGTACATTACTGTAACATTATGAACGCTCATACATGTCGAAGCAGTGAAAAATGGACATGTTAAAAACAATAAAACACTCTCAACTAAATCAGTCATCCACATGACTGCTAGAAATCATGTCCAACTAAAACACTTGCTTAATGCCTGGCAAAAGCCCTTGGACAGTGTCTGCTTCAAATAAGTCCACTTAGTTCCCCAATAATATTCTTTTTGCTTCATTTGTTTTACATTCCACTAACTTCCAATAAAAACATATGACCTCACGCAGGCATCAGTTAATACTACACTGTGCGTGTGCGTGAAGCGCAAGAACACGTCACCAAACACAAACACTGCCCATGCCAGCCCTTGTCATTGACAACTTCAAGTATAGGCAGGCTAATCGAAGCTAATGCTGTTAGCTAGCGCTAATCTTTGCAGTCAGCCAACCTCAATGCAGCTCTATCTACCTTTTGGCTTTAACATGATAGCAGGGGTGCGTCACCCCAATGGGGGATGTGGGTGTTTTTTTTCCTGATTGTGCCCCTGCATGATAGTGTTTCAAACAGTGCAGTCTTACCGTCGCTTGAAGATGGCTTTGGATCCTCACCCATCCTATCCTATTATGGAAATCAGCCCCACTTTTATCTGACAATGGGGCTGTGACATTCAGGATGGATCACTCACAGACATTTTTGCAAAAATGATTACAGCTACTTTTTAGATAGTATGATAACATGTAAGATTTACTCTTTCATTTTTATACTTGGGTAGAAAGGCACTACAGAGACCCACCTACTGTAATTGTATGCTAACAAAGAAGGTCAATTTCCCATTAAATGTCCCCTTTACAGCATTCCAAAGTTGATGTTCCTCTGTGTAAACTAATGGTGAACATGCACACAGAAAAACCCTGTTAAAAAAATGCTGAACAGACCTCACCTGACACTCTAGGAGTCCAAAAATATTGCAAGACCGAGTAATGCGATGCAATGCTTGGGATGTTTTGGGTGTTGAAAAAGGTGGATTCCGTTTGCGAGCGCTAATATGCTAATTACTCTCCATGACAAGTTCTCATCTGCTGCTACAATACATTAATATATCACAGCTTTTGAGTGGATGGCACTCGGTGCAATCAGATGTTGTCGTCTATGTCTAATTGGTCCATTGGGTGCCACACTGCCCCTCGCATGTGCCATCCCAATGTGTGCGTGCGCCTTTATACAAGCAGACTGAGGCTGTGTGAGCCGGCCTTATTATAGAACAAAAACGCATCAGGCGGGCTGTATGCAGCTGTGGCGTCTGTCTCCCGTGGCTGGAATGTCTGACACTTGTCTCTCCCCAACCCAGAATGAATTCAGATGGACAAAACCATGGCTTATTAAATATAAAAGTTTTTATTTCCATGATGCAGACAGTCCGATACATTGACTGAGGCACGGTTTTTGCACTTTTCTGCATTACTACCTTATTTTATCAGGAAACTGAACCCAACTGGCTCTGTGCAGGGAAAAGCACCAGTACGTTCCAAACTAACCGTCGAGAAACAATTCTCGTGGCCTAAAGCCCCACCCTGTGATGTGTAATGTACAATTAAATCACCAGAAAGTTACATGTTAGGTCTTGGCTGGAGTATAGCAACTTACGTTGGAGCCGCTTGCCGTGAGCTGAGCACACACACCTCATGAGAGGCTTCATGCCTCAGACGCTGGAGAGGAGATGAATGGTTGCTAGGCAGCAGGCGGATCCTCACAAGCTGATTAGTCTTCCTGGAAGGGTTATTCAAGAGTTTGCTGACCTAAAATATTAACTTAGAAGTACCTGTGGGCCTCTATCTATTGTTGTTTAGTTGTTTGGTTGAGTGATCGCTGGGTGTGCTAACCAGTCTTCTGACGCTGTATGCTCTCCCCTCAACTATCTATTTTCCTCATGAATGGATCTTGACTAATCCTTTCCTCCGTTTACCATCCACGCCTCCATCAATGTCTTTGTTTTGCCTGTTTTGTTTTTTTTTCCTTGAACCACTTTTCTCATCATCCCATCCCCTCTGCAATGCCATTGTGTAGGTGTTCCAGTCAACAGCCGCGTCTCCTCCAAAATCCAGCAGCTGCTCAACACGCTGAAAAGACCGAAGCGACCGCCTTTGCGAGAATTTTTTGTGGATGACTTTGAGGAGCTCATGGACGGTGAGTAGCCCTGAAATGCTGTAGCTCAGGAATAAGAAGAAAGAATGAAGGGTGGAAGTAAAAAATAAAAACGAGAACGGAGCTGTTGTGACGGTCTACCGATTTACAAGTGCACATGTTAACGATCGCTGATATACCCTGCCAAAAAAATGGAAGGGCTAATTGTGAAAAAATGAATACAAGTGATCAAGGGTTGAATAGTACAATTAAAGGAGAATAGTGGAGCTTTTGAAACAGGCTGCTGCTGCTGCTTTTGTCCAGCCACACAATAAAACCAAAATAAATAAATTTAAAATAAACCCCTAAAGCTTATGGAAGAAATTAATCGACAAAGGCAAAAATGAAGGACAATCGTGCTATATTTATAGTTTTATAAATGTAAAATGTAATTTCAATCATGTTTTCATTTGTTTTAAACCATTGGTGTCAAACTCAAGGCCCAGGGGCCAAATCTGGCCCCCCACATCATTTTCTGCGGCCGGGAAAGCAAATCAAAGATGTCAACTTTCATGATGCTTGCTAAAATCTCTACCAAAATTTCAAATTCTCATATGTAATAAATAATAATGATACTGTAAAAATGTTCTTGTTACCAAACCCCTCATTACAGTAACTTCAACAACAGGTGAATAAACCGTTATTCTTGACTTCTTCATATGGTTTCAGTCATAACAGCCCTCCAAGGGAAACTGTAACTAAAATCAGGCCCGCGACATAAACGAGTTGGACACCCCTGTTTTAAGCACTCTTTTTTTCTTTTATTTTGTTTACAAAAAAGTTTTTCCAATGTTAGCCTTATTTATTCCATGTGTTTTTGTTAACTATAATAACCTTACTGCTGACTCACAAGCACCGCTGAGTCCAAAAACCCTGTTTCAGGTTCCATCGTTGACATATTAACGCTAATCCAAACTTGCCTCAGTACACCCCACAGTCCAGGGCAGTCCAAGGGGAACAGTAACTTCAACCTTGGTCAAGATTTGTGCTCGACTGTGTGCCATTCTTCTTATTGCTATACCCAGCCCTTTGCCACACCTCACAAATAAACTGTCCCAAGTACACATTTAGATAAGTCATTGTTTTTCTTTGTTGTTTCCACCCACACGTCCCACTGTGGATCACAGACCACCAGGTGTGCTCAGGGGATTCTAACACAGAGCTAGGCCACAGAAACACTGCCACACATTGTGAACCAGTATTTTTTTTCTCTTCCTTCATTCCTGACCAGCCCATCAGCCCATCGTGGCTTTTAGAGTGGTACTTTGCCAGCCTGAATAAACACTTTGCAAATGAAAACGCAGCAGGATTAGTAACACACCAGCAGGTACTTGTAAAGCTCTCCTCACTCTGGCAGAGTGAGGGGAGCGTCTGCAGACTTTTTGTGTTTTATCTGGAAAGCACAAAGAGTGAGGGGAGCGTCTGCAGACTTTTTGTGTTTTATCTGGAAAGCACAAATGGCATGGAATTCGAAAGCACAAGTTGGGCAGGCAAAAAAACTGTTCCGGACACAATATACGACTTTAATCCCCCACCCTTTTCTCGATCCCCACTATCTCGCCATCAAACAGTCCCCCTCGTATTACTTGTGAGCCTCCCTCTGCGAGAGATGTATAAATCACAGGTTTGCCGCTACCTTGTAAAACACTCCAGCTGAACGTCTCCATAGGATATGCTTGGAATAAGTGTGCTGAGGGCACTGCAGCATTGTCGCCACCAAGTGGTTATGGGTATAAGAGACATGGTTTGGGGGATAAAATATCCTCTCTCAGTCCCCGTGTTCAATTTTCTCATCCATCCATTCATTGTTAATAGAGCCTCGAACCGATCCCAGTTCACTTTGACCTGTTGCGATAGGCGGCGGGGAAACCCAGAACCAGTCACACTCACATTCATACCTAAGGACAATTTAGTTCCAGTGAACCGGAACATGTATGTTTTTGGAATGTGGAAGAAAGCCAGAGAAAACACACACAGGCACAGTGCAAACTCCACACACGAAGGCCGAGCAGATATTCAAATTCATAACTCCTGGTCTGCGAGTCTAACCACAATTCCAACATACTGCCACAGAGAATGTGGTCGTGTCAAAAACGTGAACTCCGTAAGTAGACGATCTATCCTGCCTTGTCCGCTTTTGTTGTATTTTACGACAGTAGATGATCTGCCGTTGCCATGGCAATGATAAGAGACCATGTGACCATATTTTCCATTCAATTCAAACCTTGGCATATTTTTTTAGGAAACCATGGCACCCGAGGAAGAGTGTTAGCGACAGTCACCTTAACGATAACAAATTTGTCCCTATTGCAATCGGAGCACCGGCGAAATAATTCTGGAGCAGAGATTCAAACCATCAACCTCTGAACTGTGGGGCAGACATGCTAACCACTGCATTGTCGAACCAATGTGTGCAATTTCATATCTTGTTGTCAAAACAAAGATTTGCTGCTTCATGTCATTTTCTTCTGTGTATTTAGTCCAGCAACCCAACCCAAACCAGCCAAAGCCAGAAGGCCAGTTGACGTGTCCCCTCGAGGGAGAGCCTCTCGGTGTGGTCACGAACTGGCCTGCCTCACTGACAGCAGCGTTGCAACGATGGGGAACCACCCAGCCCAAGAGCCCTTGTCTGACGGCGCTTGATAACGCCGGCAAGCCTGTTTACACTCTCACCTATGGTAAGGTATGAAGAGGACTGTTGCCCCAGAGCAACGTTAAAATACAAGCCTGTTGAGACAAAGAAATGCCTCAAGACTGATGCAGAAGAGTCACAGGGGAGACATTTTTCCAACTTTGCTATTTACACAGAACCCAGCAAAGCGAGAGATTTCCGCAGCTGGGTTCAATTGCTTTTTGTGCGTTTGGAGTGTTTTTGAGGTTCAAATCACAAATCACCGAATAAACTAATTAAATAATGTGTTTTAACCATTGCAGGCAAACTCTGGACCCGCAGTCAGAAACTGGCATACACACTTCTCAACAAGCTGAGCACCAGGAATGAACCTTTGCTTGTGCCTGGCGATAGAGTAAGTCTTAAAACATGTTTCGTGGCAGCTATTTTTTGTATTACAGCATATACATATACTTTTTGGGTGCTTAAAAACTGGCAGATGAAACATGAACATAATCAGAGGGAAGACTTGTGCCAAAAAGACGAGAGCAAAAAGTAGAAAAAAAGGGATTTGTAGGAGTGTATTCTCTGTATAATCTGGTTGTTGTTCTTCCAAAGAACATGTTTTGGCCTCATTTTTAACCACCCGACATATTTTTGTCCTCTCATCTATCATCTCAACCCCAGTATCAGGTCTGTGTACTCAGCAATGAAGAGAAATCACATAATATTGTGGCCAAACAACCTACAACAGTCTGTTTAATTCACAAGTGTCAAAATCCACGGGCCACATCCAGCCCTTATGTGGCCCAGTTAAACCCTTCCTCTCGCGCTCTACTTACATGTCTAATGGTCCAGAAACAATCACAGTGCAGCTCAGCTTATGCACTCCTCTCAATCCATCATTTCCTAATAAAATTAATAAATACAATAAAAATAATACAAGACAAACTACTGCTGTTTTTGTATATTTCCACAAAGCCTTTTGTTTTGTTCCCTTACTCGACTGACTTGTCGTGTAAAACCCAGATGTCCAAAACAGTCATTTTCGGCATACCATTACACCCCTAGCAATTGATGTGGTTTCGCTTCTATAACCAGCTACCTGAGGGCAATGAAGATGCGGCGTGTGATGTAAAAATTCTGACACCCCCCGGATCTGATTCATCCACAGGTCGCCCTTGTATTTCCCAACAACGACCCCGTAATGTTCATGGTGGCGTTCTATGGCTGTCTGCTGGCAGAGCTGGTGCCTGTACCCATTGAAGTGCCGCTGACCAGAAAGGTAAAAGTCCAAAAAATAGAAGACTTTGCACTTATTGATTCATTTTCCTCTGCTCCGCATGACACTTAAAAAGGAAGAGGTACCCCATTGGACATTAGAATCAAGTGGGCCGTATCCTTGCACACCTCCACCATGCTAACTACTCAGGACAACAAAGGCACTTAAATGGGAGTCGAGAGCATTCTAAATTAATTGATCCCCCTTTCAATAAGGGGAAATGATGTCAAATGCCCAATCCTGTTCACTTCCTTCCAGATCCTGCATTGTAGTTGTTCAATTTGTGTGTTTGAGCGGGTAACAAATGCTCCCCTCTCTGACTGCTCCAGTTATTGTTATTCAGGTGTCTATTCTAATCTCCACGCACATTCATTTGTTGCTGAAAAACATCTTGTTTTTAGCAGGCATATCGCTGTTATTTGTCGCAACGGCCTCATCTGTTTTCCGTGTTCTATTTCAAGAGCATTATAATACATTGGAAATGAGCAAGCACATCCATCGCAAACAAATTCGCCATCACGAGTTGTAGTCGCTGAATATTAATGCGTGTGCTTGATTCCCCCTTATCAGCATGCTGTTTGCGGAAGCTGTTCACTAACAAATGAGATTGGTGTCAAGTGAAAGGATTGTTATTCCAGTTCAATTATTACATCGGACGCCCACTGTTCTTGAGACTTAATTTATGAACGACTGTCTCCTCTCAGAACAGTAAAGTAGTTTTCTCAGCATAATGTCATATATGATGATCAGGTATTGGCTTGTTGTGCCCTGCAAAAAGAAGTAAAGAAACCGGAACCACTGTATGTGTGTGTCAACCTTTCTTTATTTTTTATTCATCCTGCAGGATGCTGGAAGTCAACAAATTGGCTTCTTGCTTGGCAGCTGTGGCGTGACGTTGGCTCTTACCACCGACGCCTGTCAGAAAGGTTTACCCAAAGCACAAACTGGAGAGGTAGCCACATTCAAAGGTACAGCCTGCTCATGTTTTCTCTCGATTTGACTGTGTTATATTTTGGGTTCTCAAGCAGTTTCATCTACCTTCCTCTTTAGGCTGGCCCCGCCTGCTCTGGTTTGTGACTGATGGGAAGCATGTTGCGAAGCCTCCCAAAGACTGGCATCCTCCCGTACGCGAAGCAAGCAATGACATAGCCTACATAGAGGTGAGGGATTTTTTTTTTTTGGCCTCAACATTGAAAGGCAGGAGGTGACAATGTGAAAGGCCCCAGCAACCCGAGACCGTGAATAATATGATTATTGTGGTGATAGGATTGGATTAGATTTGATACAAACTGCCTTGCTGCCCCCCCCCCCCCCCCCCCATACAGTATAAAACCAGCAAGGAGGGAAGCACCATGGGGATCACAGTGAGCCATTCAGCCATGCTGGCTCACTGTCAGGCTCTCACACAAGCCTGCGGTTACACTGAAGGTGAGTGGTGATGTTAATTGCATTCGATCAATTGTTATGATTTGCTTGCATCAGACATTAGATGAGGTCTTTTACCAAAGATACTATATAAGGCACCCTCTCTCGTCTCGTCTCGCTCTACGTGTCCCGATTTTGCTCTAAATAACTCTTTTAAGTTCAACTACCTCTGCATTTTTTTTACTATTTATGACAAAAAGTGTCTTTGTTGATGTACAACTTTTGTGATCCACAGCTGAGACCATAACCAATGTGCTGGACTTCAAGAGAGAAGCGGGTTTATGGCATGGGGTTCTCACTGTGAGTGCGTTAAAATCTTTTTATTATCAGTAGCCTGCTTGTTATGATAAACAGTATTTGGAAACAAAAACAAAATGCAAGCATAAAAATGCACAATAATAATAAAACAAAAACTCTGAGTTAGACCGGATGTGCAATCGGTGAACCGTGGGGAATCACTGAACTGCAGATATGCACTGACGTAATCAGGATCCGAATGCATGGCTACTACCGTACACCTCATTTGTTTCTATTTCTCATGAAGTCTTAAGTTTAAGCTTGTTTACGTTGACATGATGCCTTTGAAATTTAATTATCTCCTTGCTTGTCATCGCAGAGCGTCATGAATCGGATGCATGTGATCAGCATTCCTTACTCCTTAATGAAAGTCAACCCTCTCTCGTGGATACAGAAAGTACACGTATACAAAGGTGATGGTCGGTCGGTCTGTGTGAATGTGTGTCAGCCATCTTTAGATGGAGTTAGTGTCATTATCATGACAACCAAAAAGAGAAAAGATTTTGAACACCTTAACTGATTTTTCAAAATGTTTTCAAGATGCCCCCGCTAACACGATTGCCATGTTTGAAGAGGAGTCGCAAAACCCAGTTTAGTTCATCTTTCTCCATTGAAACAAAAGGAAATGCCAGGAATCTGTTTAAGAACATGACGTTGATCTGTCAGGTATGATTTCATCTGTTTGTGAGACGTGTCCAACATGTTTTTTTGTGATGTTCGCTGTCCAGCGCGGGTGGCCGTGGTGAAGTCGAGGGACATGCACTGGTCTCTGCTGGCTCAAAGAGACCAGCGAGACATCAGCTTGAGCTCTCTGCGCATGCTGATTGTAGCCGACGGAGCCAACCCGTGTGAGTCCGCGTGCAATAAAATAAAATACAAAAAATATCAAATGGCACACAACATCGCCTATTTATCCTCATGTTGGTACTCTTCATACTGACTCAAATTCGTTTGTGCATCTCTCTATTTTCTGTGTGCTGCGAATGATGCCATGCAACAGGGTCAATATCTTCCTGCGATGCCTTTCTCAACGTGTTCCAGGCACGTGGGCTGCGACCCGAGGTGATCTGTCCATGTGCCAGTTCTTCAGAAGCCATGACTGTCGCCATCCGGAGGTCAGACGACGTTACTGCAGCTTTTTAGTTTTGTTCTGCTTTTGGATATGTGACAGACCAACTTGCTATAAGTAAAAATGCAGCATTTTGAGGGAGATTAAACCACGAGATTTAAACACACTGTAAATGAATATTCATTTTAAAACTTAGTGTTTTGACCATAACAAGTAGACATGGGGGGAAGATGATTCCAGTATGAAACTGCTATATACGTTACCGTCCAGCAGTGTGTTAGTTCTGCGATTGTGGCGTGTGACTATGGTCAGTCTGCCTCTTGAGTGTCTGGGTGTGAGCTGTGGTCTACAGCAGCTCTAATTGGTTTTCACTGTCCGTCCACCTAATTAAGCGAGCTTCGGTTTGATTGCTAATTGAGTGAATACGACTTTGACCTTTAGACCTCCAGAGACGGGCGTCCCATCACCGGGCAAGGCGGTGTTGTCTATGGGTGGGCTGAGCCACAGCGTAATCCGCGTGGACACTGAGGAGAAGCTCTCTGTCCTCACTGTGCAGGATGTGGGACAGGTCATGCCCGGAGGTACCGTACACAATCGCATGTTAAATGACAGCACTTGAAAAATGGCCCCGATGTTTGATTGAATGTCATTTTACAGCTTTGGTATGTGTGGTGCGAGCGGAGGGGACGCCGTACCTCTGTCAGACAGACGAGGTGGGAGAAATCTGCGTGAGCTCAAGATGCACGGGCGCGGCTTATTACGGCCTTCAGGGCATGACCAAGAACATATTTGAGGTGGGTGTTTCTAATTATTTTGGAAAAAAATGCTTTTGCTGCATCACCATAAAATATTGTGAACAATATCACACCATCAGGAGCAGTAAAGTATTATCAGCAGCATATTTCATTAAAATACATTTTTAAAAACTCCTATTTTGGACAACTTTAGCACCGTAATTGTTTTTTTTAAATTGTCGTCATTTAATAGTGTTCCTATTTAGAAGCGGGTTTACAGTTCTGATTACGTCCACAATCGATATAAAAAATGGTGTTCAGAGTTTCTATGAGAAAGAGGTGTGGAGGAAATTAAAACGGCATCAAAACATGAAGTTTGTAATCCAAGGTTGTCTTTTTTTTTTTTTTTTTTGCCAAGGTCACACCAGACACTACCTCAATGCTGACGTTTACATGAAATTTTACTCGAAGCATTTTCTCATGCTACGCTTGAAGCAATTCTTCTATTTTGATTAGAAAATGGTATCAGTTTAAATACCGTAGATATCTAAATATATCAACCATCCTTTTCTTCCAATATGTATTTGGTTAATCTTTGTATCTGGATAACTTCCCTTCTCACTGGCAAAATACTGTGATCAAATATGAGTTGTTCTGCATTTGCCACTGCTAATGGTCACATTTTGGCGCAGACCACACCAGTCACGTCAACTGGAATTCCAGTCAGTGATCGAACCTTCACCAGGACCTCTCTGCTGGGTTTTGTGGGACCAGTAAGTTCTCCCTAAGTTTTTAAACCTGCATGTTTTTGTGTTCATACTTTTTGTAAATCTCTGCTATGTTTTTAATTTTTAATTCAACTAAAGTCACAATTGTGTTTTTTTTTGGTTTTTTTTGTGTGTTCATTTATCCGTATTCGATCTGCTTCTTTGACTTTCAGTAATATCAATTCTCAATAATTGTATGTGACACCTAGATATTTTTCATCCCAAACACAAACCAATGGTGATCGAAAAGCAATTCCACCACACCTCAAGTGAGCACTAAAAGACTTAAACTTGCATCCTGGTTACAAAAAGCCCTCATTAATGGTTCGGCTGACACAAATAACACCCTAAATTGAGTTGGGCAGTGCTGACCGCATCCTCATCACTTCGGTGTGGTCCTGAAAATATTCTGAAATGGAATATGCAAATAGCTCATTGAATGAGCCGTTTGGCTTTTTCCAAATCAGTGAAGCCGGGAATCAGAATTTGTGCAGCGCCCTTGACATCTGTCGCGTTGATTCGGGGCCAGGCCTCAGTGTGTCTCAGTTGTACAGTATGTGAAATATGGCAGACTAAACTCAAAAATACATCAGTGTTTTTGTCAGACGTTTACAAACACTCATTAAATAATAATACAGAACTAAAAATATTCATCATTACTTAGCATGTTTGGGAGGTGGCAGTATATCTGTAATGACTTGAGCTCAAGGTTCAAGTCACACTGTCACTGGAACAGTGGTTCTTAACCTGGGTTCGATCGAACCCTCGGGGTTCGGTGAATCGGTCTCGGGGGTTCGACGGAGCCTCTGCCGTGGAGGTTAAGACACACCCGACTCAACATGTTATTTAGTTACGACACGCTTGCTTGGCCATCACTGGCTTCAGATGATCACATGACATTGCTTGTCCAATCAGTGCTGCAGGAAAATTTAGTTCGCTCCGTAGTCAACGTGTGACTGTTGTGATAGTACGTCATGCGTGGTTCATTTTGTGCACAATTAAAAAAATGTATGCTTATGTCTTCAAATTTTACTTACGTTTTTATGGTTTTAATAAATGCATTTTTTTTATTTCTTGAATTTGTAAAAAGTCATATTTCTGTTTTTCACTAATGAAGGGTTCGGTGAAGATGCATTTGAACTGGTTGGGTTCAGTACCTCTAACAAGGTTAAGAACCACTGTACTACAACATTGGCAAGTAGTAGTTGGAAAGTCTGCTTCCTGACTGTTTCCAAGGTACTCTTGAGCGAGGCACGCTCCCTCGTTCAAAACGTACAGCAATGTTTTGAGTTCATCTTCACTCGACATGTTTCCTGGTAATCGTGTTCTTTGTGTGGTGTGCAACACAAATTTACAGCAGTGGTGTCAGTTGAATTTCCCCTTTAGGCATTACAAGTAGAATAAATGTGTTGGGGGGGGGGGCCTTGGCCTTAGTTGACGCATCCCACAGTTTATTTTAAAAGGGAAAATTCCTTATTGCGACACTCCATTTTCCTTCTTTAATGATGGAAGCACCTCTAATGCGGCAATTTGAGACCATATTAAAATGTTTATGCTTTTACTGTCGTTTATTTTGTCATTTTTTTTATTTTTTTTTTTTATGGACAGTATTTATTTGTGTTGTTGAGGCAGATGTGGGAGTCTTTCAGGGACATCAAGCTACCATTGACGGATTATATCCGAACTGTGCGCGTACGTCGCTCTAGCATTTACATATCAGATTTGAATCCACGTTCAGAAGAGTCGTAAAAAATCTGAATAGTGTCATTTGAGCCATGCAATGTAAATGCAGCCCCAAGACTATAGTGAATGGTTTCCAAATGTGTTCTTTGTGTTCTGCCACCAGGACAGCCTCGTGTTCGTCGTAGGGAAGATGGATGGCTTGATGGTGGTCAGTGGGCGGAGGCACAACGCTGACGACGTTGTTGCCACGGCTCTCGCGGTGGAGCCCATGAAGTTTGTTTACAGGGGAAGGTGAGAAGACCCGACAATTTGTTTGTCAGTCCCACCAGCCGCAACCAGAGGTGCACCTGCACAATCAGAGGAGATCAGATATGCTCGTCACGCACTCTCATTATGCATTATTAAAGGCATGGGTATAAGTACACATCCACCGTTGCAGATTCACTTTTCGACCCTTTTCAGTATCATGAGAATGGTAAAATACAATGAGCACACTCGCATTGGGCCTGCTATTGGCCACAGCTCATGCCCGAAAATTCCCATGCAGACTTGCTTGACGTCACACGCCATCCCATCAGACACTGCCCTCTTAAAGCCTCTTCAACAAAAAACATTCCAGTACATACAGTGTTGTCCATATATTTTATGCTCGCATTTAATTGTGTATGTGTTAAAATATTGTTTTAATAGTGTGTTTTCATAAGTTAGTAAGTCACACAGCAGATGGTGTTCATTTGAGGATACATTGTTGTTTTCTCAAAAGAATATGTCTCATCGAGCAAAATAAGACCGAATATTGAGTAAAGCTATCCTGTTGGATCTTGTTAGATTGCGCAGGTGTGATTGTTTTTGTGGCAAATGAGTTTTCAAATCCCAATATTGTTTTTACGAGGGTTGTTGTGCCCGGTGCGTTGCAGGATAGCTGTGTTTTCTGTGTCGGTGCTACACGACGAGAGGATTGTCGTGGTGGCGGAGCAGAGACCGGATGCCTCTGAGGAAGACAGTTTCCAGTGGATGAGCCGCGTCCTTCAGGTGCCGACTCTGCAACTTTTTTTTTTTTTAAACAACATTGTGGCAGACAATCGATGGGCCTTTATTTGAACTTGATCGAAAGTTTATATGAAACGATGCCGTGTACTCTCCGTAAATTCTTCAGCAAAGCCCATCAAAACAGTATCTCTGTATAAAGCTTTTGCATTGGATATCATTCTATAGTGCAAGTGGTTATAGCCGTGTATGAAAATATATGCAAAAAAAACAGTTCTCCTGCGTTTCTTCCAGGCCATCGACAGCATCCACCAAGTGGGTGTTTACTGCTTGGCCCTGGTGCCTGCCAACACGCTTCCCAAGGCCCCCCTCGGTGGCATTCACATATCAGAGACCAAACAGCGCTTCTTGGAGGGTGCATTGCACCCTTGCAATGTCTTAATGTGCCCTCACACGTGCGTCACCAACCTCCCCAAGCCGAGGCAAAAGCAGCCGGGTATACCGCCGTAAACCTGCCCGCTGGAGGAAGATACTTTGTCGGAACTGTTTTAAATGAGTGATGGATGGATGTGTGTGTGTGTGTGCGTTCTGCAGAGGTCGGGCCCGCTTCTATGATCGTAGGCAACCTGGTGGCAGGGAAGAGGATCGCGCAGGCCTGTGGGAGAGACGTGACCCAGTTGGAAGACAATGAGCAGGTACTCACCAGTGGGGTTGGGAGGAAAGGTTTCAGGGTTCATGGAATGACTCTTCATCACCCCATCACACATTTTGAATCACTGTCCACTATGGTGAGGTTGACTGTTGTTTTCCAACAGTAGTATGTGAAAATACTGTATTTTTTTTTTTTTTTGTGAACTAGCATTAGAGTAATAACACAGATGGCATTCTTCATTCATGCAGGAAAGGAAAGAGTTGAAAACAATTGTACCCCATTCTATATGCTTCATGTGTTAAACTCACATTTGTTTCTGTGTCCATGGTTCCTGGCACTGCTAGTTCCTCTACATTCAAGATGTGCTACAGTGGCGAGCGCAGGCCACTCCAGACCATCAGCTGTTCCTTGTTCTCAATGCCAAGGTACCTCTGCAGATCCACTTCTATCTCAGCTCTGAATTGAAAAGCGAGTCTCATTGTTGAATAAATAGCACATGTATAATTCAGAATGTATGTTTTCATCTGCGGAGCTGTGTCTCTGCATTTCTTTGAACTCAATTAATGCCAAAACGCAAAAAAATTGCATTTGTAAAAACCCAATTATTTGGTCCACACCCCGTGTGAGTGGGTGTGGGGTGTCGTACGGTGCGATCCCACGTCATGAGGTGACGTGCGGAAGCAGTGTGGTGTTAACAACATGGATGAACACCATCATCAAAGTGAAAGTTCTGCTTGAAATGTATCCTTTCACAAAAAGCCCTTTTTCTCAGAATCTTTCTTTTGAAATGAGAAACTTACCAATGTTCAACTTCTGTTTACTAAAACATGGTAAAAGCTACAAATGTACATTCCTATTATTTTGAATTACTTTTGATCTTATATGACCTCACTGGTGACCTTACTAAAGTTTAATTGATGGCTACCATGGGCTACCTAATTAAAACAACATGGACATCAATAAAACATAATTAACTTTGCATCTTCCACACTACACATGGATTTACAGATTGGGAATCGCTGAACTAGTCAACTGAAATGCCAACTGTTTATGAAGGAGCCATTGCCAGACATGGCTGCATAGATACATTTGCCATGTGATTCTGTAGGGCACGGTGGCCAGTGCAGCGTCTTGTCTTCAGCTCCACAAGCGGGCCGAGCGCGTGGCTGCAGCTTTGATGGCACGTCTCAACACCGGGGACCATGTTGCCCTTGTCTACATGCCAGGTACTCGAAACATAGCCCTGAGGTTCTCTCTGACAAACAGTCACGCCAGCAGCATGTGAATGGTAAAGCAGCAAGTCAGGGCATTTGTTTGTGCGCAGGTATCGACCTGATTGCCACCTTCTATGGCTGCTTGTATGCTGGCTGTGTCCCGGTGACGGTCAGACCTCCACACCCGCAGAACTTGGCCACCACCCTTCCCACCGTCAAGATGATTGTTGAGGTAACAACGCAGCCTGTCAACCAGACGTGGGTAAACTATTAACTACAGGCTACTGAAAAATGGTGTGGCTGGTGCCATGTTTAAGCGCAACTCGATCGCTTCTGATTGGTTCAGCTGGATGTGCGACCGAAGCTTTTTTTACGATGGAGGACGATATCGGACCACGATTGAGAATTCACTTTCAAGGTGTACTTTTCTAGAAAAACCGGACTTTATGGGGCTATTTCAACCAACACTGCTTTGCAGCAGAGTGGCTTGTGTTCAATCTGGATTTTTATTTGGGGGTAGGGGGGATAGTTATGTAGAGTGGACAAATTACCCTCCACAGACAGGTAGGAGCTTCTGCATTATCTCTGGTGAGTATGTCCAATGTCGGATGTTTAGGAACAGTTTAGTAACACGCTCTGCAGTCTGAATGTATTTTTCGTTATTTACAGTCTTTTTTTTTTGGGGGGGGGGGGGGGTGCATATTGTGATGTTATCGCATTATTAAGAAGTGGATTAAATCCCTTAATACCCACTGAAGGCTCAGGTCCAAAACTGACCACCCGCCACTGATTTATACGAAGTAGTAATGCAGTCAGTGTACTGTCCGCGTGTTGCAGGTCAGTAAGTCAGTGTGTATCCTGACCACTCAAGCAATAATGAAGCTGCTGAAATCCAAAGAGGCTGCTGCTGCAGTGGACATCAAGAGTTGGCCGATGGTGCTGGACACAGGTGAGTTATGATGTACAACACGGACGCCTTTATTTCATGCTGACAAATGTTTTTTTTTTTTTTTTAATCTGTTTATTCAGATGACCTCCCCAGGAAGAAAAGCCCTCAGATTTACAAACCCCCAACTCCGGAGATGTTAGCCTACCTTGACTTTAGCGTTTCCACCACAGGCATCCTGGCAGGAGTCAAGGTGTGTACTGCAAGAGTTGTTCTTTTTTTCACAAATTGTCATGATTAGACATTGGATGAATCTTTTCAGATGCCCTGCGTCTTTTTCTCTATCACAGATGTCCCACGCGGCCACTGGTGCCTTGTGTCGCTCCATCAAGCTACAGTGTGAGCTCTACCCTTCTCGCCAGATCGCCATCTGCCTGGACCCGTACTGCGGCCTGGGCTTCGCGCTCTGGTGCCTGTGCAGGTGAGCCATGGTCATACATCATATCAGAGTTTCACTCACTGTTGTATAATTATCAGATATATTAACCGCCAAATGTGACTGCGCAAGTTAAAAAGTACACAAGCTATTTTAATAAAACACCACGTTATATATTTACAGTGGGGCAAAGTATTTTTTTTAACCACTTCAATAATAAAGTGAATCCCTGGGACAAAAAAAAAACAATCAGTTCCAAAAAAGTTATAGAATGATTTATATTTTATTAAATTTGATTGAGTGAAATATTTAATCCAAAGCATAAGTTAATACTTGGTCGAGAAACGCTTATTGCTAAGTATGGCATTTCTTGTAGTTGGTCACCAGGTTTACACACAGTTCAGAATGGATTAGGTTTTTCTTTTGGGTTGAGGTCCAGAGACTGACTGGACCGCTCCATGACCTCAATATCTTCTTGAACCGCTCCTTTATTGCAGAACCTTCAGGGTCATCATAGTCATGCTGAATGACCTTTCAGTGACCCGTCATCAATGTTCGTTCAAAAAAACTGTGCTGCACATACTCATTCCTGCCAGTTGCCAACTTTTTATCAACCTTAATTTTTTTTTAAAATTAATCCATATATGTTTGTGCTTTACAGTGTGTACTCTGGCCACCAGTCCATCCTGGTTCCCCCTCTGGAGCTGGAAAGCAACGTGTGTGTATGGCTGGCTGCCGTCAGCCAGTACAAAGTTCGTGTCACCTTCTGCTCCTACTCAGTCATGGAAATGTGCACCAAAGGCCTGGGCTCGCAGACGGAAGCGCTACGGGTGAGTGTGACACTTTTTTGGGGCGGTATGGAGATTCATTTACTCAAACTATTTTGTGCTTGCCTAAGTGCAGTGTGAAATGAGCCACCGTGTGGTCCCGTCAACATACTGTCCTGTTAAACAGACCCTGTTATATTGATGTCGTGTGGCAGAGCAGACCTTTAGTTGTTAATAAAAGCTTGCATTGTGGAACAAATCTTGGCATCTGTTCAACCGTGATACGCAACTCGTGAATTGCTTCAGATGACCACTTGTTGATTACAGGTAATGAATTGCTGAGTCGTGTATTTATTTTTGTACCAAAATTGAATAGATGTCCAAAATCAGTGACAAAAAAAATTAAGAACAGAATCATATGAAAGCCACGCTTACACTGTAATTTAGGGGGGGGGGGGGGTGTGCTCTGGATTTTCTCACTGAACTGATCATATTATGACGTTGTGCTCACACCCACATTTTAGAAATACTGTTGGCAGATTACAAAAGACTTACTTGGTTGTTTAAAACGACTTCCTAGCAATTGAAAGTCAATTTTCTGTAGCATGTCAAGTCACCTATTTTCTGATGCTGAGCCATGTGTGTTGTTACCTAAACCCTGAGCAATTGCGATATCATTTTCAGTCGACGGCAAGTAGCAAAGTGGCCGCCTAATATAATTTGTTGACTTACTTGACTTCCCCTTTAAGTATGGAATTCATGGCTAACTCATCTCCCATCTTCAGCTGCGGAACGTCAACCTATCGTGTGTGCGCACGTGCATGGTGGTGGCGGAGGAGCGTCCTCGCATAGCGCTAACGCAGTCTTTCTCCAAGATCTTCAAGGACCTGGGGCTTTCGGCGCGTGCCGTGAGCACCACCTTCGGCTGCAGGGTGAACGTGGCCATCTGTTTGCAGGTGAGCAGTCATCAGTCAGGATAAGCTGTCATCTCCACGGTAATACAATATTTTATGTACACATGAACTGGCTACAGCTTAGGTACACCTGCACAATCTCAGATACAATCTAAGAGATATATGCTAAATCACACCCAGTTGTGATCGACACTGTTGAAACTGGTTGTATATAAAAAGTTATTTTTTTTTCTGGATGATGGATGATTTTATTTATATATTTATTTTAGTTCCCAAGACATTTTCGTTAACATTTTCCCAAGTTATACATCAAAAGGTGTCGTCATCTAAATGGTGAATATTAGCCTTTCTAGACCTGTTTCTTAACTGTGTGCGGCGGTGCGGGGGTAATTATTCCGCGGATAAGCTGTCATCTCCACGGTATTCAATATTTTATGTACGCACGAACTGGCTACAACATTAGGTACACCTGCACAATCTCAGATACAATCTAAGAGATGTATGCTAAATCACACTCAGTTGTGATCGACACTATTGAAACTGGTTGTATATCAAAAGGTTTTTGTTTTTTTTTCTGGATGATGGATGATTTTATTTATATATTTATTTTAGTTCCCAAGACATTTTCGTTAACATTTTCCCAAGTTATACATCAAAAGGTGTCGTCATCTAAATGATGAATATTAGCCTTTGTATTTAAAATTTAGTTAAAAGATGAATAAAGTATCCATCCAGTTTCAATAGCAGTTTTCTTCCTTAGGGTGGGGGGTGTGCTAGACTATCCCGGCTGACTTTTAGCGAGAGGCGGGTACACCCTGGACCGGTTGCAAACTAATCGCAGGGCACATACAGATAAACAACCCATCAAATTCAAATTCACACCGATGACCAAATTTCATCTTCAGTGAACAAAAAATGCATGTTTTGTTTTTGGAACGCGCAAGGAAGTCAAGAAACCCAAATAAACATAAGGGAGTACATGAAGGTCTCAACTGAGATTCAAACCCGGAATCGCACAAACATGAGGCAGACTTGTTGATTACTAGCCACCATGCTGCAGTGTTTCTAATCATTTATTTTTGAAGTATGTTTTTTTTTTTTTTTTTTTTTTGCATTGAGAGTTGAACACAATTCTATGTCAATCAAAACCAAACATTTTTGATTGATGGACTTTATCCCCCCCCAAAAAATTCTCAATTATTGTAAATCCAAGATGTATTATAATTATTAGATTGTGTAGGTGTACTAATGATGTGACCGTCCACTCTGTCCTAATGTTTAAATGTGACGTGTGTGTGTGTGTGTGTGTGTGTGTGTGTGTGTGTGTGTGTGTGTGTGTGTGTGTGTGCGTGTGCAAAAACGTTGATCTTTTCTTCTCTTGATTTTTTCTTTATTTTGCGTGCATGTATTGCATTGGAGTGTGCGTCCACATGTCTACATAAACGCATACAAATGTCTTTTATTTATGTGTCCCGTCAGCCCAACAGGTTAGGGAAACTGGTCGAGCAGGTACTGTCAGACAAGAGTGGTTGCTTGCTATTTTTGGGGGCTGTTGCTGTTTTTTTGTTGTTGTCTCACCATATGTGTGCGTGTGCGTGTCTCTTATGTTTGTGCCTTCATGGTTTTTGTTTCATTGTGGCAAGAATTCAGCTCCATCTTGTCACAAACATGTCTGCGGCCAGGTCTGCCATTCTCGATTCATCGGCTGCTTCTCGGATGCCTTCATGCCGCCTGCGCTGCTTTACATTAGAACAACGAATCGGCGGATGCCTGTTTCGGACTTTTGCTCATGTAAAATGTGTGGTGATCACACACGTACACAAATTAAATATTTGTTCATGGGATTGCCTGACACTGTGGAACCTCCCATAATTCAGATTAAAAGAAAATCCCTCCAAGGTAAAATTTCACGATTGTAAAACCTTAACAATGTTTTCAGTAACATTTGAACATGTTAACAAGTTGACCACTACAGGTGTATCTCAAAAAAATACTGCGGGAAAATTGATTTATTGTAGTGGTGCAAAGTGAAACTTCTATATTCTTAAAACCCCATTGGCTTTATGTGATGACGTACCGAATGAAGGCTCAGCTTTGTGCGAAGCCCTCCCGTGTGTGTGCGTGCGCGCTGGCGCTGGCTTTGCCGCCCTTAAGTTGGCCGTCACTCACCCTCATAGCTAGCTGGTGCTTTGCATTGACATTTGGCAGAGGCGTGAGAATGACGACACATCCAAAGCAAGCGCAATTCAATGTCGAGAGAAATGCAATGGAATTTGGGTGTGAGTGTTCATGTAGGCGACTGAAGCAATTGCTGCGTCTGAAATGTCCAGTTTTAATGTTCTTGTTGGTCAGTCATTTCTTGTTTTTAATAGTTCTCGGGTAGCTCTTGATGAGGGCAAGGAACCCTGTTACATGGAGTCAAAATGGACCCCCTAACCACATCACTATTATGCAGTAGAACCGAGCGATTTCACCCAGCCAATCAGCAAAGAAAGTTCAGGAAAATAATTGTAAATTGAAAAGACTCCAATTGACTGAGAAGAGAATTATTGTGAATTTAATCTGAGTAATTCAAAGTCAACGTTGATTTAATTGATTAAAAGATGCTCGAAATTGTTTAGGACATGAGAGCAGGGTGCAATGAATGAAACCGATCATACTAATAAAAAATAAATTAATTAAAGATATAAATGTGGTGCTGTACTTGTGTCCCAATAACGTTTTGCCTTTGTCAATGATACATTTGTTCAAAATAACAATTTTGAAGAAGATGTAACTTGAGATTTTACAAAACGGTCGAACCATATTATTTCTTTCAACAAGGCAAGTAACTAAAATACGCATTTTGAATATATTCTACTTGCATGTTATAAATATAATGAGATTTTAAAATGCAACAGAACCATGCGATCAGCAAATTCTAGCTAGCAGTGACAGGAAATGAAAATACTTTTTTGTTGGTTTTTTTTTCAAGCTTCAAAATTTAAAAGAATAACTGAAAAGCATGTTTTTGTTTTGTCATGTAGCGTCAATCTTCTTAATCTGAGCATCAGTAAAATATTTTCAAAAATCCTACGATATTTTCCCGGAGTTAAAAATGTTGCCGTCTAACAACTTATCGTGTTAATGGCAAACCAGAAGGACGCGTTCATGTCCAACTTGCTCATTTCTGCATCTTTGTTGTTCATCAGGGCACAGCGGGACCGGACCCCACAACGGTTTATGTGGACATGAGGGCTCTGCGACATGACAGGTGAGAGGCGGTGACCTCTAAAATACTTGTGGGAAGTCAGAGCCAACAAGGGCTTGGAAACGCTTGTCAAAAGCACTGACCTACGTTTACTCAACTCAAACTCAAATAATAATCGATCGTAATTCAGTAAATATTCAGTCTGAAGTGTTCCAGATGATGGAAAAGGCACGTGCTATGAGAAATTTGTCGTAATTTCTGTTTTTGCATCTCATTCAGGGTTCGCCTGGTGGAAAGAGGATCCCCGCACAGTTTGCCCCTGATGGAGTCCGGCAAGGTACAGTGTCACAAAAAAATAAAACAAAACAAAACAAAAAAAAATAAACACTCAACACGATGCAGAAGACTCAGTCATCTTGCTGTGATTGCAGATCCTTCCTGGAGTCAAGGTGATTATTGCCAACACGGAGACAAAAGGGCCCTTGGGAGATTCTCATCTTGGAGAGGTGAGCTGCAACCTCACTACAGCGGGCTAAACACATACCACAATAACAATAACCTCACCATATTTTTCACAAGCAATTGTCAAACTCCAAAACCAAAGCGGATGCCTGTTGTAGTACCAAAACTGACCTATGAGAGGCAGCATAGTACAAGGCCTTCAGACTGATAAAAAAAATACAAACAAAAGTAGTACAAGAAGAGTAGCACTCAAACAAACACAAATAGAAAAATCCAAGCTAACTGTTGGCAGATGGAGGTAATTACTTTGAGATTGCAAAAATCATCTTGTCAATTTTATTGTGGTGAATTACTTTGCCGGTGGGATACCACCCAATGTCTAAACACGTCTGTCGTGCGCAGCCTGTTTTCTCCTTTTTTGCAATCCACACACTGCCGCCAAACCTATTGGTGACAATCGTGTGCCGTTTGTGTGTGTGTGTGCGTGCGCGCGCACGTGAACCAGGTGTGGGTGAGTAGTCCTCATAATGCGACGGGCTACTACACCGTCTACGGAGAAGAAGCGTTGCACGCGGACCACTTTAACACCAAGCTCAGCTTCGGGGACACGCACACGGTGTGGGCAAGGACGGGCTACCTGGGCTTCCTGCGCCGCACCGAACTGACAGATGCCAGCGGAGGTGAGAATGACTCCCTTGCTGACTGTGTTCTCTCTCGCAAGCTTGGTGATTCTCAAACACTGTATGTGCGAGGAAATTATTGAATGTCACGTAATTGGGTAACAAATTTTGATTTAAGGTTCCTGTTTCGTGCTGGGCGATATGGCCCTTAATATTTAATCACATATTTTTTTGCCCAATATTGAATTCTCCATGACTATTTATTATATTAAAGCTTATACTTGTAAAAAAAACTTGATTTACGTCAACCAGAGCATTTACTTCACATATAAATATCACCAATCAATAAATAAAAATTTCCCAGCTGGGATTTAACAACATAATTTCAAAGGAAATGAGGTTGTAGCAACCTGACCTGATTCTACTTCCAATAATAGAAAGCATCTTGGACACAAATGTAGTATTTTATTAGTTACAATACCTCATTCATCCATTTCCTACTTCCTAGTTGTGTATTTATGGACGAGATTTGTTTTTCCTCTCCATGTAATTTTATTATGACTTAATACAATGACAAAATACAAAAAAGACAAAAACAATTGTAAATAGTACAGCCACCTTATCTATATCTATATTTATATTGCACTTAATTGAACGGTGTACATTGAAACTGTAACATTTATTTTGTGAATGCAAACACTTTGTTTTTCTTCTTTCTACACACAATCTTGCTGCTGTAGACTGTAAATTTCCCCAGTGTGGGACAAATAAAGGATATCTTATCTTATCTTATACTGCACTACCTCTTGTAGGTAAGTGAAAAAGCTGCCAAAGGAATGGAAGACGGTATTCATTTGTGTTTGTTTGTGTGTGCATGCGCACATCTCAGAGCGCCATGATGCCCTCTATGTGGTGGGCTCGGTGGACGAGACCCTCGAGCTTCGGGGAATGAGATACCACCCGATTGACATCGAGACCTCTGTCATCCGTTCCCATAAGAGCATAGCTGAATGGTGAGCCGCAAATCATCTGTCCACGTTTCCCCCCCTGTATTAACTCATTCAGTACCAGCCAATTCTGGACGTCTGAAAAGACGTTTCAAAACGTCTTTGGGAGTGAATGAGTTAACTATAGGCTGTTTACAACACATAGACACGTACGTACGTCCACACACACACACACACACACACACACACACACACACACACACCTTTTCAGTCAAAGCCGCTTTTTTGTCACTCCCCTTATAAACAGGATATATAATTCACGAATTTGCTTCCTGTTTTATGTGAAGCGCCGTGTTCACCTGGACCAACCTGCTCGTAGTGGTGGTGGAACTGGAAGGCTCGGAGCAAGAGGCCCTGGATCTGGTGGCCCTGGTCACCAACGTGGTGCTGGAGGAGCACTACCTCATTGTGGGCGTGGTGGTGGTGGTCGACCCCGGCGTCATCCCCATCAACTCCAGAGGGGAGAAGCAACGCATGCACCTGCGAGACGGCTTCCTGGCCGACCAACTGGACCCCATATATGTGGCGTACAACATGTGAGGGGCACAGCATTGGGACGTCGCGGCCATCCCCCGCCGTTCATGTGCCGCAGCGTTTTGTTTGCCGCGGACCAGCGGCGACACCGGTCGCGCTGCCGTTTTTTGACAGGGACTCTGTTGTGATGTCCCCAACCATCACCGTTGCATGTGTTGCATTAATTAACAGGACAGTGGCAACAGAGTTGTAGGGGAGTTTGTAGCTTGAGCCACCAGGTGCAGTGGATACCATAAGTCCACCCCTCCCCCCCGTTAAATGTCAGGCTTTGGTGTGAAAAGAAAAAAAATTACTTTCCACAATTAACGTGACGTAACCTTTACAACGCAATTGAAAAAGAATAAATCTATCAGACAAATTGACAGTATTTGCCCAAAATACCTGCAGCTCGTTCAGTATTGCTCATGGTCGCTTGGCATCTTGCCTGATCAGTTTTCCTCTCATCTTTTCATACCTTGTGAAGGGATGTACCATTCTTGGCCACGCCGCTTGTTGGTCCATCTTTTCTCCATTCGATGACGATGTTGTTGTAAGGTATATTTAATGCCTGGAAAATTGTTTTGTACACATCCCTTGAGAGACGTGATAAGACTCAGCTGATGCTAAGGACCGTGGCGATAAGATGTGATTACAGAAATGTCAGGAAAGGCCTGGAACAGCGGAGCTTTTTTTCACATTTTAATTGATTTGTACAAATAAGTCACATTTTATGGTGGTGAAAAAAGGTTTTGAAAATATTTATTTTGGTTTCATTTTTTAATTTTCACAAACACATGGCATTTGAACAGGGGTATGGAGACTTTATATCTACTGTAGGTTCGATTGTACTCTGCAAGTAGAAATGGGCATTTTGACTAACCAAGAACGTTTTTTTTTTTTAATTTAATTTTTTTTAATAATTGGTATAGGAAAATATGTCTTGCAATGTTCTGCTCCTGTTAGGATGCCAGTTTTTAGCAGAATAATGGAGCCTGGAAGAGTTGCGCCGTCGTCCAGGTCTGTGTCAAAATAGCCCAACTGCTCTTTTCTCTTCTTTAGGACACAAACTAATTGAGATTGTGTCCACAGTGTCCACAGCGCCCCTGCAGGTTGCAGTCAAGCGGTGCACTCCCATTTTTGCTTCAGGATACATGGATTGTTTTTCCCATCCTTTTGAGAGATGTTGTGGTTCCACTCAACTTATCATATAGTTTTGTGCGTTCCCTTTTATTTGTAAACCCAATGCAATATGACTGATGTAAAGAAAATGTGGCTTTGGAATTATGTGGTGACCATGCCTTAAGTGTCTTTTCTACCCCCCGGCTCTGCTTGGATTTCATGTAGTGCACTTTGGCAGCTGTCAGATAGAGAGGAAGTACAGGGAGTCTTTGGATTTACGATGGATTCACATTCCTGGAGGTTGAGGGGGAGGGGCACGACATGACTTGAATGTGTCATTTTTTTAACTTAATTTTTATCCTACGCTAATGCATCAGTAAGTCATAATTGCAGTCAACAAGTAACAGAAAAGAATCGGCTGCTCGTCTGATTGTTAGCTTATCTGATTACTACACTGCAGCGGTAAACACTCCGTAATTTTGAATTTGGGGAATGTCTTTGTAGTATTTGAGCTCCAACTTATTTCAGTCATTATCATTGGTTAATAAGTGCCGCATGTTGACAACAGAGTCTGAGGCTAGGCCCAACTCTGTGTTGACCTCACCCGTAAGGATTTGCCATCGTAAATATTAAGCATGGTTAACTTACCTTTGTCAGCCCCAACCGTATTTTGAGCAGATGGAGGAAGAAAAAGTACTCGTAACACACCCACACCACAGTATAATCTTGCTGGATAATCAGACCTATCTGACCACCCTATATCAATTATTCCTCACTGGTATTGGGCCGCGGATAGCAATTTCAATATAAAGGATTCAAGCGCAGCCGATGTTGGACCGTCGCAAAACGAGGGCACCCTGAAAAGAACTTTTTTCCCTATTGCGCCCACAGTCTAACAAATGAACATAATTGATCTTCGAACAGCTATTGCAAACAAAGCACTCATGTAGTCACTACGCACAAAAAGTTCTATTGGCTTTTGGGTAAAATGAAAGGACGAACCTGAAATGTGCGATGACCTTACAGGTGAACTGTCCCACTGATTAACGGTTTAGTACTTTTTACACAACTTGTTCTCTATCAAGGAGCTGAAAATTTGCAAGGGTGTCCATTTGTGTACGCCTTTCTGTGACCTTACCGGTCTCTTGTGTTGCCACCGCGTGAGAACACCCTGTTTGAAGTTGTTGGTGGTGTTTTCTTGGTCTCACAGTGTTTGTTTGTTTATTGTTTATTGAACATAAAATACAACAACAATTGACAAAAGGCAAGCAAAATTACAAAGGAAAAATAAAAATAAAAAATAAATAAAACATCATCACCGTTATATGTTCAAAGTGTCAAAAAATGAACAGCCTCATAGTTTAAATAACAATTCCAATTGAGTCAGGAAATGGATTGATCAAATTACGGCTCAAATGCTTGTAAATTTTGCAAATCAGCTCCTTGTTAAAGTTGTGCCAAAATTACTTAAGGCATGCACAAGTGGACATAGGAAATGAAAGGTTTCGAGAAGGTCAAATTAAGTTGACTTGGAAAGGTTGTAGGGCTTTTCAGGTTCGTCCTGAATTTTTAGAGGTTGTGTTTTTTTGTTTGTCCATCCTACGACGTGTGATAAATGTGTGCATTACGGCGCCTTTTGAATTTGATGCACAATATTCACAGCCTTTGTTTCCAGTGCCATGAGGTCAAGTGATAGACGCGTTGCATGTGCCTCCCTCGTTTGTCAGGATTCCCCTGACTTTTTTTGCTTTTTTGCCTCAGAAACAGGCCTTGAGCATGCTGCAAGGGCGTACAGGTTTGATGTAAATAACGGATGGAGGCGGGGGGAAACGTAACACAAAGGCTGAACGAATCTGCTAAATGTGTGCAAGCTGTCCCTAGCAAAGAATCAGAAATGGACCCAAGATTACAAGGAGAGGATACACGCGGTCTTCTTATCGGACAAATGAAAAGGAAGCCATCAAAGTAGCAGAGGACCATTCTGCTCAGGGGACTGCCGAGGTCTCACGTGTGTTGTATAACGCGGAAATACATTTTGTCCAATATACGGTAAGGTGTCATTATTTTCATAACAATTTCTTAATAAAATAACAATTTTAACTTAACATTGTTATGGTCAAACATAAGTCTGTTCGGGGATACTGGTCAACATTTCATTTTCTAATCCAAACCAGTGGGCATTATGAATGGGCGAGAGTGAGAATCCATCAAGACTAAAGAATTTTAACTTGTGGAGGCAGAATTATAACAAATTTTCCCACATGAACACAGGTTTGAGAGATTTCAAGTGTGTGTTCCCAAAATTCAAAAGCAAGGTTGAAGTTTTTGTCCATACGATTAAGAAAAACCTTTGTTTTACAATGCAGAAATTCGCAATCTGCAGCAGCAAAATTTGGAGGGAAGAAAGTAGAGGGGGGGGGGGGGACTTGCAAAAGGTGTTTGCACAAACGCGACACTGCCTATCAAAAGAACACCATACCTACAGCAAAGCATCACATTTTTCTGGGGGCTGTTTATTTTTCAGCTGGAACTGGTGCCTGAGTCAAAGTGGAGGGAATTATGAACAGTTCCAAATAGTGGTTTGTCTTTGCTCGAAACCTTCAGGCTTCTACTAGAAAGAATGACAGGAAAAGTCTCCTAAAACAGATGAACCTTTATTTGGGGTTAAACGGGCGGCACTTGAAAAGGGGACAGATGTGTGCTGAATGGTAACCATGAATATGATTGGTTAATTCTGAATATAACCACATTATCTCAACTCATCAACTATTGTACCAAGGATTGGTTAATTCTGAATATAACAGAGGGTGAGTACAGTTATGCAACCACATTATCTCAACTCATCAACTATTGTACCAAGTTTTAGGTAATATGAATGGTGGAGGAAAAAAAAGTTTTTAAATGAATTACCTTGGTCTCTCTTTTCTTTGTAAGAATACATAAGGGTCCCAAAAAACAAGTGGATTTGGCTTTTGCAAACAATGGGTATTTTGTCAGGTGCTGCATTCAATGAAGTAGTAGTACATTTTCAGTATAACAAATGACAATCATCTGGATCGAAACATGGAACAGAAGAACACCTAAGAAAGCCACTGATGATGACAATTGGACAAAGCATTATAACATTTCTACAGTCACACAAAACATAGCTGTGGGACCACGATGAAAGGAATGCAATCAAACCCAAGTGGGTTCATTAGTAAATGTGATTGGCCCACTGAATTGAAAAAGCGTAAACCAAGTTTGTCCAGTATATGGCGCGTGTTTGTTGCAGAGCTTTAATTCACATAGGTTTCCACTGCAGCCAAAAGTTGAGTTGCTGCTCTCAATGCCCCGCCCACATTGTCCAAATGGAAACATTCATTTGGGATGCTGGGGAAAGGATGGCAGTTGGGATATTGCGTCTTTTTAGCATGCACGCCAAAGGCCTGCAGTTGGGCCACCCTCTTCGGCAGGTCTCTCAGCACGGGGCTGTAGAATGAGACTTTTGTAGCCATGGTTGAAATGGTGCCGCCAAGACGTTGGCCGTTTGTTTTGTACTCGACAGCAATGAGGGACTTTTCTACCGCCTGGTGGACTTTGAACAGGCACCACTCTGCGCTCCCCCCGCTGCTTTCACTGTCCGCGGCATTGAGGTCACATCGGGCCTGCCGACACCACCGTCGGGCCTCCCCTCTGTTGGGCCTTGGGACATATTTGTTTTGGTCCCAAAAGTTGTAGGAATGATATTGCAGGAAAATTCGTTCTCGCCCACTTCTGTGGTGCAAAGCCTCCTCGTCCCATTGCGAGTAGAAAGGTCCAAATGAAATGCAAGTTCTGTGTCTCACATATTCGACTGCCTTTGTGACATAGCGACACTGAGGGTTTTTGTCATGGTGCCATTTGAGGTACAGTCGCTTGCCGTATTTTATCCTCTCCACCTCTGGAAGAGTCCAGATCTCTTCCAAACTTTGGTCAATTTCCTCCACTGCTTCTTCAAAAGTTGCCGGTAAACCTCTTGTGGATGAAGAAGCTGAAGAGTGTTGGTATGTCGCTACTCTCAAATTCATACTGTCGGCCTCTATGGGTTCGTCAAACTCGAGTTGTGGCATGCCTTCTGATTTAAACTGATACAGGTCTGCAATGCCGACATCAATAATCTCATTTTCACCGATCCTTATTTTGTATCTCTGTGAGTGAGGTCCGTGTTGTGAAGGTAGTACCTCCACTATGACTGCATATAAGTACTTGTTGTCAATGCAGTAAGCGACACATTCTCCCTCTTCAAAGTTGTTGAGGACATTCATGTCTAAGGAATCATGCCACTCCTCTGGAATCTCTCCTTTCGGGGCCTGCGTGCCGGTGAGAAAAGTTTCCACATCAACACTGTCACGGATCCCGGTCTTGGCCAGAGTTTTACGAACATCTTCCAGACTGTCACACCAGAGGAGCTGCCCGAGGATCAGGAGGTGCTCTGACAAAATTCTGTTTCCTAACATAGAGCTGATCACCTTTGTCAAAGTCATGTTGACCTCATTTATGACCTTTGAGAGCATGGCGTCATTGTGTTTCATGTAAAAGACGCAACCTCTTTGTACTTGCTGGACAAAAACGTCGGTCTCGCGGGCCGTGTTCTCCAGAGCTCGCTCTTTCAGCCACAGCTCCGTCATCAGGCTTGTGCAACACACAATCTCTATCCTGCCAAATATATTTTTACACATATCGGCAGCCTCCTCTTGGGTAATTTTCCCTTTTGACTGCTCCCTCATAAGACAAATCAATCCATGGGTGAATGCGCTCGAAGTGAGGTGGTTGTCAAACCAGCCACGAAAATCACAGGCCGGACCAAGTTCACAAAGTTGCATGTGTGATTGAACGACTTTTTCTTCAGTGACCTGCGACAGCATTTTAGGTTGGAGCCGATGGGGCAGCAACTGCAGCAGACGACAGTGCTCGTACATGTCTGTGCCCAAATGACATGTACTGAGTTTCTCAAGCAACAGGAACTCTTTATCCAGCGCCGCTTCCAACCGTTGGAGGTCAAACGCTGTGTTGTTGAAATACAGTTCACATGACGGGTAGAGTTTTCCATCTACAGCAGGCAGGTACAAAGTCTTTACACTGTCTGGAAGAGACTGGTGGCCCTTCTTTTGAAGTAAGAGGAACAACTCCCCCACAGCACGTTCAGCCGTTTTCTTTTGGTTATGGTTCAGACGGGGTTTTGCAATGGAATCAGCGTTGACCGCTGCCAGAACATTGCAGTACTGCACTGCAGTTGGTGCCTCCTTCACACCAATTTTGCTGAAGAATTGCCAAAACGGCATGTACTTGGTTGGAATTTTGTACAAATATGGCCTAAAGTCAGGTTCGTGGGGGAGTGAAAGCACAACATTTCCGGTCCTCACCACTTTTTTGTCATTTTCAACCAACACGAGCGGGACACCATTCAGTGATCGGCTGTCAAAATTGATCATTTGCAAGTAGGCATAAGAATATCGAAGCACAGTTGCACGGGTTTCCATCTGAATGTCTGTTTCACAAAGTGACAGGCAGACATTTGACAAGTTTCTGGTTACGCAATTTGCAGGCGGTTTTTCATAAGCTCCCGCTTGCGTAATCCTTTCCAGATCCTCCTTTAACTTTTCTGGTAGATGTATTATTGGCATTGAAGACCAAACCAGTTCTTGATCCCTGTAATGGCTTTCAATTAAAGACCCTTCGATGTGAACCGTGGTGGTCTCTGGAGCAAATGGCAAATGATAGTCACACAGTTCTTTTTTTACTTTGACAGGAAAAATGAACTTGATGTTGGTTATGCTGGCCAGCAATGTTTGCTCATCACTTGCAACTCTCAAGGCTTCTTTGAGAACTAGGCTGGATTTCTGTTGCAGCTCCTGAGAGTGACCATTCGCCTCAGCTTCCGACTCAACCTTCTTTGCAAAACATATGATATCGTCTTTGGACACAACGTGTTTCAATCCAAGCTCCTGGAGTAACTGCCACGCTGCTTGTTCTTTGTATTGTTTTGCTTCGCACAACTTAGCCCAAACACTCTCAGGCACAAATTTCTCTCGAGGCAACATCACCTGATACAAGGCAACTCTGTGATCATAATAGTATGAGATGGGTACCACTTGGCCCTCGGCATTTTCAATCATTGGTACCGTCTTCAGTTTGGAAATGATGGCAGACTTGTGCTGAAAATAACTGTCAAGATGTTGCTGTGAGAGTAACAGTTTGAGGCACTGAAGCTTCTGACGCTTCGAGAGTTTCTGCACGACAGGCAGAATGATCTTCACGAAATACTCCAAATCATTCAAGGTCTGAATGTTCAAAGCTGGAGCCACACTGATGTTCTCAGGATTGTTTTTGAGAAAAATACTGTTGCACTTGGGAGGTTTGAACAAGTCTGGGAATTGAATCATTGACTGCGCGCTCAAGGTGAGGATGTAAACCACTTCAGGGCCATCGATCCTCACTCGATCGCCATGTATTGTTTCAAATAATGGCAGCGATCGGAACTTGCTTTGATATGCTGGACAATTTATGGACTGTCCGGACTGCAGAAAGGTTTGAAGTTGTCTCATATCATCTGAAGAAAGCTGGTAAAATTCTGAGCGCTGAAGAGTGACGACTTGGTCCAGCACAGAACTTTTGTCATTGACATTCAATAGTTCAGGTGGCAGAAGTGAGAATTTGTGACGATCAGCCTCTATGAAAAAGGCAAAGTCAAGTTTCATGAAACCCAGTTTGAACAAAATGTCAGATATATCGTCGTCTAATCTGTAGGCAATGACACTGGGCATGTCTTTCATTTTTTGAAGGAGGCACATGTTTGACCTTGGGCACACAACAGGTAAAATGCAGAAGTCGCTGAAGAGCTGCTTTACGTCAGTTAATGACAAATGTTGATCATCACCCTGACTTTGGTCTTTTACATGGCTTAGTAAGAATTTCCACAGCAATTTCAGCCATGCTACCATTTCTTTCGTCGGAATATAAAGACCGTGCTTTGGGTCAAGCTCACATTTGTCAAGATTCTGCTGAATCAAGAGCTTCAACCAGTCGGAAGCACTGGGAACTGTCAAATTGCTGGCAAGCCTCAGGGCTTTTAGCACCTTCAAAAAGTCACAGTTTGTCTGGTAATGGACAAAATCATGCTCGTAGCCAGAGAACAGACTGCTGTAGATGGATATCAGCTTTGGTGATTTGTTGTCAAACACCCTAAGAACCCCGTCCGCTGTGAGAAGAAGAGGAAGGCCATTGAGTAGAGCGGAATGCTTATCTGTGATCTTTTCTAGCAGGTAGATATCACGTAGACAGAAACGCAGGAGCGTTGAGCATCTTTTTGGATTTTGGATGAGCGTGTCCTTTATGGGCAGCGGTAGCGCAGCGCTTGTTTGCTCTGGATTATGGACAGCCTTTGCTCTTAAGAAGGTCTGAACACTTGAAGGGTTTATATCTTTAACGGCAATGCCAGCACTTTTGAAACCATCCCATATCCTCTTGATTTCACTGGATAAGGGAACCACATCCATGCCAAGGTCCTTCAAAATGTGATTTATCTCCCAGTCGGATGATTCCAAGTAGGGTGCTGCTGTCGGTGTGCTTTCTCTTGCATCTCGCCACTCAATAGAATATTCAGTGGTAGTCGTCAGTGGCTTTGTAGTAGTTACTCGCTTTGTGCATCTTAACACTGGAATGACATCAAGCCCTCTTTGAATAATTGATCTGTATACCTCGTGTATCATTTCATGCCATTCCTGACCAACATCTTCAGACACCGTTGGCCAGAAACACAGGAATGATGTAGATAAAAACGACATAATTTTTTCACGACTAGCTGTCGTCACTGAAATGGTTGGCCTGATGTAATGAAGAAGATCCGCATACAGTGGTGCAATGATGTTGCTTTTCAACAATTCGTTCCAGTTTGCTTTCAGACTCCGTCCGTCTTCTTTCCAAAGGCTTCTCCTGGCAGAGTCGACCTCAAAATCTGCATTGATGTGCACAGGCAGACCAGTGGTGCCTGGTAGAGGAAGCAAACAAAAGGCTCCTCCCTTAAAAGGACTGCGGCTGAGTGGTCTTTTTGAGCTTACACGTGCTGCTACTGTTGCTCGTGAATATTTTTCTTCTCCGTCAGTGCACTGCAGTGTGCTAAACTGCTCTGCGATGATCCATTTGCTTTGTCTTTTGTCTGAGGTTGAAATCACCGTTTCATAAATTGCCTTGCATGGGACTGAGTCTTTGCTTGGAACAGCATTTGGAGGACACCGTATGCCAGCCTCTTTTTCTTGTCCTGATGGTGGTGTATTCTTCTCGACTGCAAAGATTGTTGTGATTCCATCTGAATGATCGTTGATTTCATGGACCTCAACTTTGCAGATATTTTTCAAAAACAAAATAAGCCCTTCGGGGTCCTCGGATAGGGCAGCACACAGGTCTTTCATGTCATAGTCGGTGACTTCCCTTTGTGATATTTTTGAGATCCCTGCCATGGTAAAAGTCCTGAGAGGCAACCTAATCATGGTTCCGTCTTTAAGGGAAAATGTGTCTGGAAGATAGGATTTGTAAACATCCTCGTACATTTCCTTGAACGTGTCACCAAGTTTATAGCCAATGCCCGCGCGCACATGTTCATTGTGGCTTTCAATGTAATTTTGATTGGGATCGGAAATGCATAGCAAGTCATCTCCAGTGAGGATCGAGGGGCAGTCAGTCAGATGGTAAACAGAAGTGAATCCGAGTCCATATTTTCCAATCTTGCCTGGGTCGTGGCGCTTTCCTCCAGTTCCCAGCTGCTGAATGCCAGCCAGGTCCGTGTCTGAAAACAAACTGTTGTTGAAGACGCAGAGCGCTGGGCCCTGTAGCATGTTCCATTTCTCTCCAAAGGTTTTTTCAGTGCCGTGCTGTCGTCTATCCCAAACAAAATGTATTTCCGTAGCCTCTGCATCATCGGCGTTCTGGATGAGTTCTTTGAGGATATCCTTCTTTGACGGATAGGCACAAATGATGTTTTTAATTCTAACAGTTAAGTGCTCTTTTTGTTCAAACTGGAAAGAATGTGGAAAGAGGCTGTCGACGGCATGGCTTTGCAGAGTATGATGCCTGGTTGTTTTGATTCCAAAATGGAGTGCCATAGCACGTGGGATATCCTGATGACAGAGAGTAACATCCGTCGTAACTGGCATCCATGGGCTGTCATTAAAGAAAAGCTGGCAGGCAGGTACCAAAACCCCACGCTCATTGGGTATGAGACAGTCGCTTGTGACATTCTCTTTGGCAGAGTATATGCCTCTGTTTAAAATTGTAAGACAAATTTTGAGATCATTCCTTGGCAAGGGTTTGTCGCCATGTTTCAAATGAACTTCTTGAAGTATAGTAAGAAACTGGTGAAGAGTGAATGTGTCTTTAATACCTACGCACTCCCAAAGACTCCGTAAACCAGCAAAGGCAGTTGGAAGTACATGCAGATAGGGCGTGGCATCAAATTGCACGTTGACAGCCACACGATTCACGTTGACAAATATATTGCCGTCAAAAATGAATGGGAATGATTGAGCCCCCTGAGATATGATTGTTGATGTATTTGACTCGCAGACATATCTATCCAGAAAGCTGTAGCATTCGCAGGCAATCGTATGAAGCTTGGATTTGTCCATGGATCTTGATTGCTCCTGTGTTTTTTGCAGCTGCTGGAGCACCATGTCAGGTGCAGGGGTATCGCGAATCCCTAGCATTTGTAGGATCGGATCAGTAACATGTACGTTCAGGCCAGAATGATCCAGCACAGGTTGGGTTCTGTCAACCAGCAGTGCGCATTTTTCACTGAAAATGTCAATTGGCCTTCTCAGGCCTGTCTTTGTACTGCAGCAGCAAAATGCTGGGAGAAATGGGATCTTTCTTAAATTTTGCCAGTGGCAGGAGTCTTTGTCATTCACGTGATCCTTCATGAGTTCAAGAAGGCACTTCAAATATCCGTATGCTTTTCTTTTGTCAGCCTTCCAAAAGGTTAGGGTCTTTTCTGCTCTCTCGACTACCGCTTCCAGCGGAAGGTGGTCATTTGCCATCCCAAGCTCCAGCAGACGTTGAATCCTCCTTGGGGAGCAAAAGTCACTCTCTGTACCTCCCAGTAATCTCCCCTTCTCATCTTCAAATAGACGAGCCAGCTTGCCTGATGGATTCACGAGTTTCTTGATCTGCTGCAGGTGTCCATCCATTGTGGGGATGCACGGATACTTCATCAATAGATGGTCAATTTCCTCTGAGTTAAGGTCAATGGCATGTAGCAAAAGAGTATCTCTACTCTGAACGTCCAAGGTGGCAAGGTTCTCAAACACCACGTCTTGATAAAACCTTTCCCAGTTCCACGTTTTCTCCTGCAAAATCTTCTCAAGGCCACCCTGTTTGAAGCTATTTCGCAACCAAAGTGGAAGAGGAACTACACGGTTTGGTTCTTGGAGATGTTTTTGGCACACCTGCATGACAAGTCGATGCATCGTTTCATCCACTTCAATCGTTTCATGTAAAAATATGGCATTGTTCACTGAACACCATTTTTTGCCATCGCAGAAGACCTCTGGGGCATTGACGTCCTCGGTGATGGTGGAGTAAAACTTATCAACTAGAGGTTTGAAAGTGTCAATCACATTTTCCCTATCAGGCCAAAAGGTGTGATAAGAGTAACTTTTCAGTTGGCCATTTTCCGACATGCTCTTCAATACCAAAAGTGCGGTCACATATGCTGTCACGATGGGATCCTGAAGTAGAGCCTTGTTCCAGTCGTTTTTCAGCCCGCTTTCCCACAGACCTTTGCGATTACTTGTTACAGCGAATGTTCCATTGACATTGACTGGGAGACCAGTGTGAATGTGAAGTGGGAGGAAGCAAAATGCCTGGCCAGCCAGCTTGGTTTCCAGGATGGAAAATGTTCCACTTCCTGGATCTTCTTGCAGAGGCACAGCTATTCCCCCAATCGGCAAGGAGAACTTGACTCGGTTGTCCTGTTGCTGGGCCATTTTTAAAGACTGATTTGTGCCAAAGCAGTTGTGCATGAGCCAAGACTGACTTTGTCTTCTACCGGATTGTTCGCTGCTTATTTGGACCATGGTGACGATACAGCAGTCAATCACTTCTTTGCGATTCTCACCTTGTTTCAGCAATGACTTTTCAGCTCTAATTTGCGCTGACTGACGACTGTGACCTGGAATTATTATCTCACTCAGGGTAGTTTTGGTGACAGTGAGGACGGTTTGTATTTCATCATCTCTTGGAGGAGTTGCTGCATGTTGCGAGAGAGTTTGCAAGGACAACGTCTTAATGTTCTTCAGGAACAGGGTATACATTTGAGAATAGTCGATGAACTCTTGCTGAAAAGAGACAATGCCGTGTTTGTCATATACTCTGGTGCTTATCTCCGATTGGAGAGCTTCTTCCTTAGTTCGAAAAGGAAGCTTGATGAGGGTACCCTGATAAGGGTGTGGAAGACTTTGTGTGGTGAAACTGCAGTTAAAAATGTTTTCATATGGTCCAAACTGACCAGGGAAACAATGAAACTGTTGCGTTTGGGAGAGGTCCAATCTGATTCCAGGATTGGATTTGTTTCTGATTATCTTTTTCAGGTGAGTCACATTCGGATCAAGTATAAGGAGTTTGTTTCCACTTAAGACTGAAGGAATGTCCGTCACATGATAGACAGTGTTGAATCCAAGTCCAAACTTGCCAATTTTTCCCACCATGTTTTCTTTTGAGGCAGACCCCACTCTCACGATATTCTTCCAGTCCTCATCTGTGAATGTCTCATTATTGAATGCCCAAAGGCAAGGGCCTTGACAAAGGGCCATACTAGGATCTATGAGATTTTCAGTGGGATTCGTGTGTACCCTGAAATCCACTAAGAATTTACAAGCGTCTGCTCCAGCATCTTCTGCATTCTGAATGAGCTCTTTGAAGATGTCGCTTTCTTCATCGTACTCTTTGAGAATGTTTTTAATCCTCATTGTTATGGGCTCAGATTGTCCACACTGCTCAATTCCCACAAGCTCAGGATCGAGGATGTACGTACTAAGAAACTGGATGTTGAACCATTCAGCAGCAGCTTTTGGAATCTCCTCGTGTAAGACATGCACTTTTTCCTTGCTGTATTGAAGCCCTGGCAGACTTTTTTTGCTCAAATCGCAGAAAACAGCCGTCGACATTGATTTCAGGGTATACTGACCTTCATGTGTCATGACTGGCACTGGGATGTCCTCCTGAACAGTCATCTTCTCCTTCCATATCCATTTGACAATTTCTATGGAGACTTTAATCTCAGAGAGCCTTGCAGTTGGCGGCTGTCTTCCTTCAAGAGTTTTCATGATGGAATAGAGAATGTCAACAATGTCATGCTGTGAAAGCACTGACCTCAGACCAAACTCCTTCAAGAGCTTCTTGTATGGTAGGAATTCCTGAGGCAATTTCCTCACCCACGAGCTCAGATCTAGACTAGGCGGGTAGTCTAAAACCAAATCCCGAGGAGAAACAAACTGGTCACTGCACCACAGCCAGCACTCGTTCCTATCCATTAAAGTTGAAAAGTCATGAATTTGATCTTGCATGTGTTTGTAAATACTATGCAACCTCCTTTTGAAATCTCCATTTGTGTCAGGATCATCCATGTTGTCACTCTTTGCAATCAAGACAAACAAATTGTCTATCACTTTCGCTGGCGGGGGGAGGCATTTGAGACCAAGTTTGTGGCTAACTCGGTCACTCAGGCTTCCAATTAGAGGCATGACATGCCCAACAATATCCTCATACTGAGAGTGTCTTAGTTCATGTGGGCGAAAGAGGGAAATCTTCTCTTTATTATTACCAGGGTTAGCACACGGAACCCATTTTAGCATTTTGAGGGTGTGAAGCTGTGCGTCAGAAAAGTTGGCCAGGAGACTGTGAGCATCAAGCATGTTTAAGAACACCTGAGCTCTGCTGAAAGCCTGCGAGTGAACTTGCAGCTGGCCGATCAACGCAGCAGCGTGCAGCAAGTGCTCAGGGGACAGATCTGCTTCTCTGTTTAACATACCAAGGTCTGTTAGGGTTTCGAGCATCTGGTCTGTTTGAAGGTATGGAGAAGGTGGGAAGAAATCGCTGTCAAAAATGTCTTTGAAGATTGGAACTCTTGGATGAAGAAAGTGTGAGGTCTTTTTTAGCACTCCATTTGCCTCCATGAAGCTTAATTCTTGACAACGGCGTTTCAAGGTCTTATTTTGGGAGAAAAGGATACTGCCATGCTGTAAAATCCAAGTCATGATCTTTTCAGTGTGCTCTTTGCTGCATTCTCCGCTTTCAATGTTATCAATCAGGAGATGAGCTGCTTGAGCAGTGTCCAAAAGATTAACATCGATCATTTGCAAGAGTCTGCGATCCGCCTCAGTTGTACATTGTAGTATTGATTCAGGCATTGGTAGATCCATTGGAACTTTTGGACCGCAACCTAAAAGTATGGCCTTTTTTGAGTGTGCTGGAAGAGGCACACCTTTTGTGTTTTGAAACAGAGGCACCTTTGAGAGAAGATCCTTCTCGTTACTGGAGAGAGAATCCAGACAAGAAAGATATTCCTTCAATTCTTCTCGAGTGTCGCGACACATGTTCTGGAATTCTCTGATGAGATCTCGATACTCGACGTTCATCAAGATAGTCACAACGCTTCTTGGTGACGGACATAGAACAAAGGAATCAAGGTCATCATGCTTAAGCCATTCATTTTCCCCCACCACGATGCCACCGACTTTTTTCACCAAATTGGCTATTTTATCTGGCAAGCTGATTTTCCTTCTTTGTTGGAAAATAAGAGTTGTGTTTGGATTCAGTTTAGCAAGTAATAATGACTGACTGGAAGACAGGGGCCCCACTGGTATCAATGGAATGTCAATAAAATGGCTTAACTTTGTAAAGTGATTGTTGAGGAACTTCCAGATTTCTTGAAGCCAATCCAAGGGTGGATGCCGATCGTTGTTGACATCCCAGCTAACGAACGCTGTGTTCAACCGCTTCCAGTCTTCGGGCAAATACCTCCTAGTGTACTCTGCCACCTGATCTGCATCGATGTCCTTTATCTTGAATAATTCTGTGGAAAAACAACAAGAATATTGATATGTACATTGGAAAGATGAAAGAAAAAAAAAGTTAATTTCTTACTTTCACCGGCCACTTGTTTCAAGTGGGCAGTGCAGTCCGTGTTTAAGTCATCTGGGATGAAGAGGTGTTTGCAAAATGGCAGCAAGACTCTGCAGAGAATATAGAATTCTTGTTCACAAATCAAATAGAATAAATTGACTCATCGTGAACTTTAACAGTAAACAAGAATTGATGCAACATATTTCTATGCGACAATAAACTACAGCTGCAGTCATAAACATATTGTCAAATGAATGGATCTCTGAGTGTCAATCATAGTTAAACATTATTCTCAATGTTAGTATAGAATTTGATTTTTTTTTTTTTTTTTTACTGCCGTCATGCAGGCATTTATTGACTATCCTTCATCAACAATGCAACATTACCAATTATTTTTGTGATTTTTTTTTTAGGCTTGTGAGAATCTGAATGTTCTTAGCTCCTATCTCTATGCCACTTGAGAACTATAATGTGGTTCATCAGGTTTGTTGGCCACAAAATAGTGAAGAGACTAAATCAACAGTGCCTCTGTTGATCACAGCCATGCAAGTACACCCAATTTAGGCTCAAGTGATTCAAGGCACAATTAATATCCATTTCCGCATTCTTATCAATTCACTCCCAATTTGTATTCAAAACACTTGAGAAAAGCTGCCATAACTAACTGGGCTGCATGCATCCACGCATCCTTTCAAAGACGCAGTCCTAAAATTACCTTGGAAATTCCTTGCTGTCAATCAAAGCAGTGTCCTCCTCTTTGTCTGTGAAAGCTCTGAAAGAGCCATCACTGAGTGGGAGAAGCTCAAGATTCTGAAGATCCCTGTATTTTCCATCACTCAGAACATACTCCAGAAGACAGAGTTTGTCATCTCTGGACAGGTTATGCATGTCCACCCTATGGAGGGCCTCCCTCAGGTATGCCGGCGTCGCGTATGTTAAGTTGTTGGCCTGCGGGTGAACTGATTTTATGGCTCTTGCGACGTTGCACGGAAAAGTCACAAGATTCTCTCCACAGGAAAGCAAAGTTCTTTGAATGGCAGTCAGTGTGTCAGGGTTCGCTGGGCCAGTACAGGGGAGCACAGCTTCCAACGGACTGATGAACTCTCTTTCATCTCGAGCGAGGGAGAGCACAGCCAAATTTTCTTGGAACAACTGATGAAGGACATCTACGGCAATGGCGAGCCATTTGTCCTTGTGTTGAAGCTGGTCAAGATCCGGCCAGAGATCATACACGGAAGACACGGGGAGCAAAGCCTTTTGAGCATGTCGGATGGCCGCTTCAATGATCATTTTGTACACTTGTGGGAGCACCGCCTTCATCAGCAATTCGTTCCACATGGCGTGTTTGTCATGTTGCTGATCTTCCTCCTGCCACTTGATGTGTCTCCTGTTATCTGTGAGGCCAAAGCAGGCGTTGATATAGACGGGCAGTCCTGTCTTGTTGCTTTCGTTGTTTGGCAGCGGGAGAAAACAGCAAAGTCGGCTCTCGCTGGTGCTCCTCGTCTCACTCTCACCGCATGGGAACGCCAAGTCAACTTGTGGGAGGAAGCTCAACTTTTGTGCAAGCGTATCCAATTCCGCCACGTTCCCTTCCTTCATGGTACACGTTGTCACGAGCCACTTTGTTTCTTTGTGCTCTTCGGAATTGATGGTGAGCACTTTGAGTCTGGTCAAACCCTCGATGACGGTCTTGTCTTGGGGCTCCAAAACGAAATCCGTGTAGGCCGAGGACTTGACTTCAAGTCTTGTGCTCACAAAGCCCTGAACGTCAATGTGCATCAAGGTCACCGTCGTCACATTTTTCAAAAACAGCAGGCTCAGTTCCGCATCGACAATGAAGCTATCAAAAAGCGCAACAACCCTATCCGTGTTGTACAAATTATCCGAAATGTCTGACGCCTCGGCACGCAAAGGGAATCTGAAAATTGTCCCGTCAAAGTGCTGATCTTCCATAATGACTTTGGACCACTCTTGTCCGCTTACAAGCCTAACAATGTCCCGAAAGTGATGGAACTGATCATCAATCGTCATCAGAGCTTCTTGATGCTCGGCGTCATCCAGCGACCAACGGAAACCGCCTTGTCTTTCCCCAAATGTTTTTTCTTGGGGATCCAAAATGCCAAGGTAGCCAGAGCTGAATATACTGGGAAGATCTGTGCATGTGAGGAAAAATATGATCCCTTGTCAATAAACTTGCGTGAAAAATCTAAACAGAGGTATGCAAAACAACTGGGAAGGGCATTACCTGTTATGTGGTAAACGGAGTTGAAACCAATCCCAAACCTCCCGACTGTGTTGGGGTCATTGCGCTTGACGCTCCTCCCGACAGCCTGAATTCCCTCCCAGTCTTCATCAGTAAATGGCGCGTTGTTGTAGCTGTACAGAGCAGGCCCTATACAACAATAACGAGGGATTTTTGGGTGAATTATTGACAGGCTTTGGGAAAGGTTGCATATGCACAAAACGGCCTGAAAGTTTGTCTGGAGTGGTCCCAAGTACATTTTGGTGGGTCAAATGTGGACATGATGAAATGAAGCCAAATGACTCGCATTTAATTCTGCTTTATAACAAAGCTAAATCCTTGACCGTCTTCCAAAAAAAAAAAAAAAAAAAAAAAACAACAAATGTGATATTTTTGGATTATGGTTGGACTTTGTGACATGTCAATAGCTTTTCACGAAGCAACCTGAAGTGGTTGTGTTGAGTGTTTGTACAGCACACCATACAAGTCATTCGTCATGATGACACGTGACAAGGAGAGGGGCTTGCAACTGCAATGTAGTTATTAAATAAGCTAGTTTCTTTAATTTCTTCTTCTACTCCTCTACAACTACAACTGTCTGCAATCTGGATGCCCTATGGGTCCGTGCATACAATTTAGAATATGACCAACATTTTTGGGAAGAATCCAAGCGAAAATCACACAAATAGAGAACCGTGAGCATCTTCATGTTTACCTTGGAATGGTCCCAAAGTGTCCGTCCAAAGACTTCTAGTTCCGTAGCTTCTCTCGTCATGGATAAAAGTCACATTGGTGGCTTGAGCATCGTCTGCATTTTGAATCAGCTCCTATTTTTTTTAAAACCCAAACTCATCAGCAATCAAGCATGTTTATTCCTCATACACAACTAAAATATGTGTTCCAAATTATTATCCAACTGATGTTTTTCTGTAATTTTCCTAAAGAGTGGATGCATATAAGACTCAGCATCATTTGCTTCGTCTTCAATTCTCTGAGTACAATTTTCATGTCTTTGACTAAATTTCCCAATAACAGTATATTTTGCAAAAAAAAAAAAAAACAAGACAAAAAAAAACAGTAAAATATATTTTCCCAAATGTTCATGCACAGCTGAGTTTAAATATATATTTTTTAGGTTGTTAAGAACTGAAAATAGTCATTTGTGAAATTTGCAGCAGTATAAGGTCATATTTCCTGATATCAAAGCGACTGCAATTCAAACCACCTTAACAGGTCAAGTAACTATATATCTTAATATGGCAACATAGGAGCTTGGCACAGCACATTTGTGATATTCGTGTATTATTAACCATGTGCTGCAGTCGATGTAAATAAGTTTATATAACGCAACATACAATTTTACAAAAATTGTAAAAGTATTATTCCTGAATATTTATTTTACTTTCAACCACTCGACATGTTCAGTGGCACCAGTGCTATACATACACATATAGTTCTTATTTTTTTCTTTGTATTTTTGCCCTCTATGGACAATAAAAGCGGTATTGTGCTATGACCAAAACATAAATATAAATCTATATAAATAAAACATGAATTGGAATATTTCATATCACACAATTTTTATGCTTTGTCTTTGATTTAAAGATGACAATACGCAAAAATCTACAAAAATTGTAGAAATTGTAACACATGGGTTACGAAAAAAAATACTGTTATCATGGTGTGGTTTGTTTACATTAAAATTATTCCCTCAATGGTTGATAACATGAAAATCATTTGTATTGACTAATTAGGAAAACCAGAAGAAATATCTCTGGCACAATGATTTGGAACATGATGTATTAGTAGAAAAAAATGCATCAAATTACTGTTTCTAATCATGTTGCCTTTGACAAAATAAGTACTAACACCCACCTTCAAAATTTGTCCGCCATCCGGATACCGACGTAGGATGTCTTTCAAATAGTCAATGAAGGGTGGAGCGGTGGCCCCAAAGGAAGTCCTTCACCAAACAAAATAAAAAAATCAAACGAGACATATTATGGCATTTTCATTCCAATAATTAAAACAGTTCCCAGGGGGGAAAAATGTCTGCACCAATGATCAAGAATTACAAAAGACTTATTCCTCCCCCTCTAAAAACCTTTGTCCACAGCAGCCAAAATGACCAAAACTATCCAGAGACAGAAGCAAAAAATGGAGGGAAATAAGAAGAGGTCAAGTTGTTGCTCCTTTTGGTTTGTCCAATAAGATGTTGCAACAGCAAGTCACTCACTTGATTTATTTGACTGGAATGAAACAGTCATGAAATGATTAAAATGTTCCATTGAGTTATATTATTAATTCATTTCAATTTGTGAGTGTATGTAAATCGTGTGTGCGGGGCGGGGGGCACACCATATAAATTCTCTTCTAGGGCACAACAATGGCTAGAGCAAACCTGATTGGACACCATTTGTAATGTGAATACATACATACAATATCATTACCATCACTTATTAAAATGTTCACACACGGACCACTTACCGTGTTTTTTTCTTGGTGCTCATCTTTATTTGAGTGGTTTCTGGAAGAAAGTCAGAATATTATGTTGATTACAACTTTTAACTGGGAAATTTTTGGTGTGGGTAAAGATTACGTTCAGCCTCATGCAAGGGGAGTAGCACCAACAGTAAAAAGGAAATATTTGGATCACGGTAGTGCACACGTCTCTGTCCTCAGAGTAAGCACAAAAGCGCACAGAGGGAAATGGTTGAGTAAATTGATTGTAGACCCACCCAAGAATCAAGTTGTTTATTCCATTGCCATCAAGCAAAAGCTCTGCAGGATATCATGACATGAAGATGATGCCTGAAAAAAAAAAAATCAAAATAGGCAGGGTGGCTCAAGAGCAGGTGTACGCTTTAACATTTGACCACATTGACACGTATCTATATTTTTACAATTTCAGAAACTAAACACTAAGGTTTTTATTTAAAAATAGGGTTTGTACTTTGGTTTAAGTTTTGTAGCTATCTTTTCAAATTACTATTTTGAAAGGGAAGTCTAGTCAAAACATTTCTTAACAATATATTCTATGCGCGCCCACTTGTTTCTGATGTCTGAAAACAGAAGGCTGGAGGGAGGGACAGACGGAAGAGCAACGGGTGGATGGAAGGAAAGAAGGAAGAAAGGAAATAATCTTGTGTAAAATCAGTTACACCCCACCAGCATTTCTTTGAAAATTTAAAATATATTTATAAACTTCTTACACAGCCTGTGTATGTATCAGTCAACCCACCCATACAGAAAAAAATCCTGGAACCGTCACTGGCTCAGATACACAGATGCTGGGACTTTTGGTTTATCTCAACATACAGTAATTGCCCTAAATGTGTCCCTGTGTGTGTGTGTGTGTGTGTGTGTGTGTGTGTGTGTGTGTGTGTGTATACACATATATCGTGCTTTACTGTATTATGTTTTTATACAATGTATTTTACTTTATTAAAATCCCAGAACAAAAATTGTGATGGTTTTGAGAGCACAATTCATAGATTTTCATTTATTTTCAATGTATATTGTTGATTTGATGATACGAATGAATACAGTCACGGTCTTGATCACGGAACGACTTTTTTACTCACACTGTAGATCGAGGTACTGTACATACAGTACAACGCTCGTTTCAGTAGACCATGTAGTATTCAGGCCGTCCACGGGTGGCGCTGTTAGGCCAGAATGAAAGTTACCATTTTAAAAGAAACGAAACTGAAATCTTGGCAATCATGATATTGCGATTATCAAAGCAGGCAAAGCCGTGGAACAGTGTTGTTTTTTTTTTTTTTTTGCTTTGCATTTAAATTCTTAATTTTTACTTCTTCCACACGGTCAGACGAGGCGATTTTGTGTAGTTATTCCTCCGGCAATGTATTTGTTGAACATGCTCACCCTTCCCCCACTACGCTACGAAAAAAAACGGGGTTCAAGGTTGAGCAACACAAATTACTGTATAGTAGACAACAAAACATAAAACTAAAAAGCTATGTTCTTGCGAAAGCAGGATTGAAACGTTATTAAAAGTATTGAAAAAAATATATACTGTATATCATAATTTTCTAAAGAGCACCAACGAATCATCATTTGATGGTAATGCAATATAATCACTATTAACAGCATCAAGTTAAGCATCATAATAATCATAAGAGAAATAGACATTACCTCAGTCTTGGTCTTTTCCCTGAATGATCTGATGCGCTTCTCGCTGCTCTCATATTGATAAACTCCGGGTGTGGTGACGTCACGCAGCATTTTTTTTGGGGGGGGAGGGACAATCTCGTTTTACTAACTTTCATCTTCTGCAAAAACGAAACCATCCCAACACTGCCAATGTGAGTAGATATGACCACAAGGGGGAGCCTACTACTGCTACATAATGAGCGTCAGGAAAAAGGAATCCATCCACTCTATTCATCCGTCCATCCACCAGCTAACTTTCAGCCAGCGAATTTCGTTTTCTGCTAAAACAACAAAAACGTCACATCCCTGCCGGTGTGAGTGGAGACCAAGCTAGCCACAAAGAAAATTCTAGAGTTAACCGATCAGTTCTTCCCAATGTTTCAGGATCTCCCTCATTTCAGGTGCATACCTCATTTTGATTTTGTAAAGCAATTTGATACTTTGAAAATATGCATGTCAGTGAATCAAAGTAAAACGTTTTGGAAAGGTTACATAAAACATAGCATAAAAAACAATACAAGTGTTTATTTTAGTCATAAAAACAACACAAGTGTTTTTTAAGTGCCTTTCCTAATTTTAATCTGATTTCACAATCTTCTACGAAAGCCTGAGAATGTTTTTTGTTGGTTTCATAGTATTTATAGTGCAACTATGCAGAGTGTATAGTTTTTCATTCCATTTTAAACATTTACAGTTGAAAATGTTAAGGCCACAATTTCGCTTTCATTTGAAGTTGCACCATCATTTACAAACATGTCAGCAATCTTGGCACAAACTGCAAAGTTTAATAGAAATTGAATGAACATCTTAATTGTCTTTTTTTTTAAGGTGCAACTACTTAAGTCTGCATTCTGCACATATTCAGTCATGCTGTATAACTTTCCCATGCCCACAGCGTAGCTTGGCGTCCTTGTAACAATTATCACTTAAAATTGGAATACTGTACTCCCTGCTGGAGATGCACAAACATTGGAATGCGCTAAACTGAGAATCGGTTTCAGAGAAACGAAAGTTATGATATCACACCTTGTGTCTCGGTACTGCCCTTCTGATAATATAAAAGTGATGTGAATCTCTACCTGCTTCGCACTCGTGACATGCAGCCATTGTCTGTAATTCACTGATGCCCGTAATATTCTGTTATTAAAAGCTTTGAAGAAACGGTTCATCGATTCCATCCTATATTTGGATTAACAACATTCTCCTCGTCCGAAATTAAACGAACACGCGGGGGAAAGGAGGCGGCTTTCCCCCAACACTACCTTAAAGAATTCAAGATGTAAATTAATGATGGGTATTTAATTAAGAACGACAGGTTGCGGATGCAATATGCTGCGATTTACATATTGTGGGCGCATTGGTTATCAAACTTTTTTCACTAAGTATCACCTAAAACTCTCCAAGTGCCATCATGACCAATCTTAAAATACATCAATAGAGTAGGCGTAAATGTTAATCAAAAATCATATAAAACCCGCTTGTTTGGTAATCTCTCCAACCCCACCCGCACCTTGATTCTCACGCATGCGCAGAGGAAATATGCAAGTGGTTTATGATGTCCGTATTACCTCCAGCCTGTAGGTGGTGCTGTCTCCCACTGCGTGCTACATGATTATCTCCCGACGGTGCCGCAGAGACTTCCCGGTCGCTTTTTGATATTTGGTATGTAAAGAAATATACCAAACATGCTCGTTGAAACGCTTATTGAAGTTGATCTTATTGTGTTTAGCACAGGGTGGTATGATTGTTTGTTTTGTTGTTACTGTGCGCCCCACGTTGATTGGTACAAGCTAAGGCGTCCTGTTGTTTTCTAAACGAGGTTCACGCTGCATGAATGATGAATGTATCCAACTTCAGTCACTGACCACTTTATTTGGTACACCCACGCGACTAAATGAGATCCAAAAACCTTTATTAAAATAACAATGCTCCATGTTTACGTTTTAATTGGCGATCACGTCATTTATTCATGTTGTAGTTGACGGTGTTTGCCCCGCTAGAATGCTTTGTTCTCAGAGTCGGGTGAGATAGAACCTTTAACCCATCTTATTTATAATGTACGAGGTGGTATCACGGGCTTTTATCTGGCATATACTGTATATGTCCGTGTGTGGCGTACACCCTAGACTGGTCACCAGCCAATGATAGGGGTAGGAGTAGTTTCGGATTGTAAATAGTCTTAAAATTCCAAATAAAATCAAATTCTTTAAATAAAATACCGAATGACTGTGCGGTAACATCACACCATCATGACAGAAGTTTGTGCGCGTGACTTTTTAGAGTAGATTGGACATTGGGAAGTGGGTTTTAAATTTCATTTCAAATGGAATTAGAAAGTTTTTAAAAGTGTTGAATTTAACTTGCCTTAAGATGAAGAAACACGAACATAAATGAAGTAGGCACACTTAATTTGCCTTCGTGGGCCATATGTGTGTGGTCACATTTTTGGGTGTTATGAAAAAAAAAAAGTGTCTGTGCTCTTTCTAGGCAACACCATGCAGGAGAAAAGCAGCCCTGAAGGTCAGCAGCAGTGCTCCGAGTGCGGACACAGCTTTGGGCTCCCGCAGTCAGACCAAACCAAGCAAACGGACAAACCCGACGGTGCGTCTCGATGTCCATCTTGTCGGGAAAACAGCAACCCCCTCAGCCAAGGACAGGCCCAAGGGAGTGTCCAGATGGACCCGCACAGCTGCTCATTGTGCAGCAAAACCTTCATGTCTTCAGCCCACTTGACCCTACACCTGGCCTCCCACAACAAGGAGAGGAGGTTCCAGTGCACCACCTGTGGCAAGTACTTCCACCAGAACTCTCACCTGGTGGCCCATGAGGCCATCCACAGTGGCGACAGACCCTTCAAATGCCCCGAATGCGGCAAGGCATTTGGGCGAGCCGCACATCTCAAGACTCACCGTCGAATCCATACTGGCGAGAAACCCTATAAGTGTTCCTACTGCGACAAGGCCTTTACACAGAAGGCAGGCCTGCTCTCGCACGCCCGCATTCACACTGGCGAGCGGTCCTACAAGTGTGATGAGTGTGGGGAGACTTTCAGCTCTCTGCCCCTGCTCCTCTCTCACAAGGCCGAAGAGTCAACTCCGCAGGGGAAAGCGCCCCCCGCACCTGCACCCCAGCCTGACTCCCGCGCTAGCACCCTAAAGTGCGGTGTCTGCTGCCGTACCTTCATCAGGTCATCCTACATCAGATTGCACGTCCGCCTCGAAAAGGGGCTGCGGCTTTATCACTGCAAAGTGTGCAACAAGACCTTTGCCAAACTGGATACATTTATCAACCACTGCGATAAACACTTGAGGCAGAAAGGGGGAAAAAGCGACGACAGTGTGGTGAAACCTCCATTGTTCATCCCGCTGTCAAAGTCGTCGCAACCCCCGGAGGTCGCACAGCCAGTGTCCACTGAAGTTACGATGGGCTCCGGGGTCAAATTGTGATGTAATCTTTTCACTGGAGTCCCAGGTGTGCTAGAGCTTATCCCATTTTACTGTTGGGGGAGAAGCTAGGTACAACCAATTTAAGGGCTGGTGCATCTCTACAAATTGGATTATCATGGAAAGCTTAATTTATTTCACTAATTCAGTTCACAAAGACTTTGTATACCATAGTACTGTATGAGTTTCCCGTTTTTAAATCAACTACAGAAATGATATTCTATGAGATTTCCATTCATTGAGATGCAAATGTTGACAAACAACCATTCCCAACCCTGACCGACAACTTCTTCAATGGACCTAACATACATGTTTTGGGAATATTAGGAGGAATACCTGGAGAAAATCCCCACAAGCATGGGAAGAATGTAAAAACTCCACTCAGGAAGGCCTGAGCAAAGATTTAAACCCTCGACCTCAGACGAGTGAGTCAGACATGCGAATCACTAGCCATGCAACCGAAAAGATGCAAGTGAGTTAGTTAAAAACATCCATGACTAAGCAGAAGCTCAAATTACTGATGACAATTTCATTCAGAATGATTTTGTGATGGAGTACCCAGTAGTATTACATGGCAGTTGTGGTCTGAAATTTTTGCACCATTCCTTCCACTTCTATTATAACTTTGAGCTTTCTTCTCAACTTGACATTTAGAACGTTGGATATGACCTATTGACAATGGGTAGGACTCATTTTCAACACTGAGCTTTTTGTCAAAATGATTCACATTTTTGTACCAGTGTCTCATATCATCTTGTGCTGGCTTCCTGAGGACATTTCTTAAAATTTATGATATACATTTCCAAAGTACTGTGCGGTAAATAGAAGTGTAACAAAAAACGTGTTAAATCGGTAAACCAGTTCATTCATAAGAGTAAAAAAACAAGAAACTCATTGCATCAATTCCCTCTTGAACTGAGTTGCATCAAATTGAATTGGAATCTCACTGAATTGTACAGACATTCTACTTTGAAATTATTTAGATTTGTATTTTTTCCGATGGGGAAAACAAGAAAATCTGAGGTTGACTAAATGGACTGTGATCAGCTTTGGAGGTTCCACTATTGTATTTGTAAGAATTTGTAAGACTCTTCAGTGGATGTTCCACTATTGTAGTCATAAGAGTTTGTAAGACTCTTCAAAATAAAAAAAATGCATGTCTAAAATTTACTTCTAAGGTTTCGTAATCCGTGCCTGTGACTAGGTCGTCACTGAAAATGTCACGTATAAGTTCTGGGAACCCTCTTCCACTTAGTGGCCTGTACCAACTGGAGGCTGATCCCAAAGACCCAGAAACTCAGCAGGCAAGCATTTGTGCCAGATGGTGAGAAGCTGTCAGCGCCACATCGGGAAGCTCTTCATACCAGCCTAGAGATCAGAAAAGGGGAAGCACATCATCGTATTAGTGTAGTTCCACTGTCATATTATAATGACCATACACCGCAGAAGACTAATTTGCCTGGCAGGTGGCCGCCTCCTGTGTGTGGCCACTGATGTCCCAGTGGAGGGTGACAGTCAAGTGACGCCTCCACACAGGGTTCCTTCGCAGAATAATGCTTCCACTAATGCGGTCGGCGGCATGCACACTGACGGGCTCATCCAGCATGAACAAAGTCTGCTTCCAGTGTGTCGGCCTGGGACCAAGACAGAAGACTTGAGTTCATTGAAGACAGCGTGAATTGTTGTCTGTAGATAAGAGACAGCCTCGTGACTGACAAGGCAGCATGGTGGTAAAGTCAAGAGCACACTTGCCTCTCACTCGAAATACCTGACCTGAAAAGACGGTGTGCCTAGATCAGTGGTTCTTAACCTTATTAGAAGTACCGAACCCAACCGGTTCAGATGCACATTCATCGAACCCTTCATTGAAAAATAAAAATTCAAGAAGTGTTCCTTCAGTTTTGCCGGTGCGAGACTGGAGTTGCTCAACTGGGCATGACAAATCATGCAGATAGGATACTGAGTCCCATCATGTTCCATGATGCATGTGAATCCATGTGGTACATATTCGTCCGATCACTGTTTTGTTTTTTTTTTGCTCCACAAAGCGTGTATTAAAACATTCTAAAAATAAAATCACACAACGTAATATCACGACAGTCACACGTTGACTACTGAGCGAACTAAATTTTCCCGCAGCACTGACTGGACAAGCAATCTAATGTGATCATCTGCAGCCAGTGATGGCCAAGCGGGTCGTAACTAATTGACAAGTTGAGTCGCGTTTGTCTTAACCGCCATGGCAGAGGCTACATCGAACCCCTGAGACCGATTCACCGAACCCAGATTAAGAACCACTGGCCTAGAGCAATAATGTCACCGATTAGTGTTTGTTACGTATTGTTGCAATTTATGAGTATTGTGTCTGTCCACAGGTAAGATAAGAAGATGTCAGTACTGAACTGAACTGAATGTTTAACATGGCTGCTTGATCAAATTGTGCAGTGTAATTGATATTTAATATTACTTAAGTATTGCTTTTACTGCGCAGCCAAACGCATTTTTAAAAAAAAAAGACAAAACAACCAAAAAAAAAAAAACATCTTAAATGTGTATGTAAAATTGTTTTCTTTGAAATTTAAATTTGCGGAAAGCATTTTAAAATCTTATTGGGAATTGATATTATTTAATTGTACCGTATACATAACATTGTTTACTTTTATTATTTACAATAAGTAAAATACAGTAATTATCCATCGATTATCTATAGTGCTCATCACTTTTAAGGTTGCACATGTGCTGGAGCCAATCCCAGCTACACAGTTTGTGGTCTGCAGGGCTACCCCCGTTTGAAAAGCGTAGTGAGCTGCAAAGAAGTTTTGTTTTACTTCCACCATATTATGGATTGCAGTTTTGTTCTTCTTTGAGGGTTCTACTTTAAAATACTACAGTAAATGGATGGATGAATTATACTCTGAGTCAGGTCCAGTGTTCAGCTCCACTGGCGCGCCGCCCTCCTCCAGGCTGTTGAAGCAAACACTGAACCAGGCGGTGAAGCCGTGGAACACACCAGACTTGTCCAGACGAAACTGAAACTTGCCCTGCATTTCCTTAAAAATGAAAGAGTGCGGTCCTGTGCTTTACAAAACCAATTTCACTTGAGACTACTGTAGGAATGAAAGATAGATTGTTTGATGTTATACCTCCAGGTCTGCCACCTGCAGCGTATGCATGTCCAAACAGATGACATCGGCAGGAGAGGCGAGGCGGTCGCCTGGCTCCATCAAATGACTGAACTTGGGCTTGGCGAAAAACTCCTGCAGTGCAAGAGGCCTGCGGGAAGAAGCATGATGCCATTTGTACACCCTACAATACAAATCAATATTAGAATGAGAAGCAACTGTCATGGTTCATACTTTTGCAGGGTTTCCTCTCAAAATTAAGACAATGTACTAGGTGTGTCAGACAGCTTTCACGACCAGTGTCACAAAACATAAATAGTTGTTTGTCAATATATGCCCTGTGACTGAACCACGAACAGTCCATGGTGTAAAATTCCTCTCGCGGACAGTCAGATGAGATCTGTTCCAGCTCAACCGCAACTCTGAGGACGAGGGCTATGGAAAATGGATGTACTGTAAAACCAAATCTTTTAGTTTACAGGTCATAACTGATGTGCCTTACTGAAGCGGGGTGAAGTCCAGGCCGTAGGGCTTTTCCCAGAAAGCCATTTTCTCGCTGTAGTATTGGTGGGCTTGACATGGCACCAAGGTGAGGGCTGCGGACGAGGGCCACATCATGCCACCTTCCCTCAGCCAGCGGTCCCTGGCCAGCAGGACAGACTCCACCATGAACTCAAACTACACCCACCAGAAAGGAAGGGGATAAGGTAAAGTTACAAATCCCCACGCCACACACAGTAGTGACACATACAAGCTTTGAACATCTAATTTGGAAAGAGCCCCCACGCCCCCTACATAACGAGTTAAAAAAAAAATGTAGTTGAGCCAACCAACAAAGCACACCAGAAATGTGATGTAAATATATGTCTAAATTCTCAGTTGTCCAGGTCATGATACTCCGCAACATCTGGATTCTTGTTTGTTGAAGATGGTTCACCTTTACTCCAAAAGGACTCTCAGGTTTGTAGTCTTCCAAATTATGTTTTATTTCAAGTACCTTTCAAGAAATCCAAGAACACTGAACAACAGTGGATAAAGTTATAGGGACAAAAAAAAAAAAGGCCATCATGAATGTAATGAAACACGTGTGCATAAATACATGTACAGTATACGTACATGCATATGCAGTAATGGAAAAAAGTCAATACAAGACGACCATGTGTTGTTTTTGTAACACGACAACCGTGAATGGCAACTGAACAGTCCTTTGAAATGTGATAAGTACAGCCTTTTCCTCACATTGAGAGTAAACAAGTTGATATTTGCAATTAAATTGTATGAAGTTGTTTGAAAAAAAAAACCCCATCAAGATGGTAATGTACTCAATGGCTTGCCTTATTGAGGTTTATAAGTGTGCTCTTTTTGCTGATCAGGGAGCGTGTTTCCCCCTACTCATGTTGGGGTAAAGGTGGCAGAAAGTTGGAGGCCAGTGTGATTGAACACTGGGCATCTCATGACACTTTTTTTGGCATACAAACTAGTCACTACCGTGTATTGTGTTCAAAGATTTTCTCAAAAGTATTATTTCTCAAAAATAATTTTTTTCACTGACATATCCAGTGATATATACTGGTAATATCCATATTACAAATTCCAGCTTCATTCGAGTAAGTTTATGGAAATGCTGAGATTCAGACCAGTTGACGGTATTTTGTGCATCCTGCTTTAAAAAGTAATTTGGGCAGGGTGATTCTTACCAGCAAGCAGTTGCCCATCCACTCGGACACAAGAACGTCCACCTGCTCGGGTAGTTGGATCTCTTCGGCCCGTCCCTGCAGGACTGTGACCACCTCCTCGCATGCGTTCTGCTTCACCAGCTCCCTGGTGTGCTCCACCATCGAGCTGGCCTCCACGGCATACACCTGCTAGAGCACAAACCGACATTGCAACACAATAATCTGTTGCCTAGTCATTGGTCGCTACTCAAAAATTCACCTAATTGCTGCGTTTTTTTGTGGTAACCTGGTCTGGTAACTATGTCTGGTCCCTACTTCTTCTTGTCAAGTGTCCATGTGCTTTCTTAAAAGGGTGCCGGGTCCTCCTCACCGCTGCCGGTTGTGCCAGCTGAGCGCAGAACAGACTCATAATGCCGGTCCCGCAGCCGAGGTCCATGACAACCTTCCTGTGCAGAGAAGCACTGTTGTCGACGATGACTCGCCTGTACGTCTCTGTGCGGCTCTTGTCTGACAACATCTCCAAGTGAAGATTCTGGTATGGTGTAGAAATATTCCAAATTGTTTACTGTTCCTCAACAAAAAAAAAATTGCACAGAAATTGATCTGATAACACTACAGGGATTCAAAAAAACCGACCAGTGTTCCGTAGGTGGAATAGTACTCCTCATCCTGCCATGCGTCCTCCTCCTCCTCCTCTTCTGAGGCTCCCTGGCTGAGGTAGTTGGCAGGGACATAACCAAAGACCCCTCGCAGCTCAGCCCACCACCACTCTGGGGTAATCTTGGCATGGACCATCAGTTGGTCTCCTTTGCTGATACTAAGCTGCTGAACACAAGAGACACAGACAGGTTTAGACAAGTTGGATGAGAATCTAATTCAGACAGTACCCGTCATCCATTTTCTACAGTGTTCGATCTTTTTTTGGGTTGGGTCAGCTGAAGCCTATCCCAGTGAGAGGCAGACTACACACTGGACTAGTTGCCAGACAATTGCAGCGCATGTACAGTATAGGAAAAAAAAATCCACACTCACCATAATGGGTAGTTTAGAGCAAGGTGGGCAAACTATGGCCTGCGGGCTACGTACAGTTATTTAATCCATACACCCGATTACCATACTGTCCCTTTTTAAATATTTATGTCCTCCTCGGTTTACAACATTCGGCATTTAGAGGTTCCGAAGATTGTCATATGACACAAGAAGGCACACTCAATTACAATTGTTCTTATTGCTATATAGTACGCAGTTATTTACAGACCTTTTCAGCCACATTTCATAATTGCCTAAGTCGTATTTCAGTGTTTTGGGAAAACAAAAAGAAATTTAAAAAAAAAAGAACACACAGTGGCATTTTTTTTTTATTGATATGGTAACAAAAACTGAAGGGTGAACAAGAAAGAGGAAGAAAAAAGACCCAATGCAAAACAGTAATGTGTCTTCTAAAATATTGTTCTCGTGTTCCAAAAATATTAGAATATCACTTAGGCAATTATGCTATGTGGCCGACGATATTGTGAAGGAAAGTTTTAACTTCATTTGCACCTAGCGTTTTAGCCTATCGGCGGAACTCCATTTTGCTCTTTCGTACGCGTAGGTTGTAACATGATACATTCATCAGGAAATTTTACGGCCGTTGGGACGGACAGACAGACAAACATTTAACCTCTTCACTGCAACGCCCAGTAAAGCTCCAGAGAACAACATACTCCTCAGGTGGCACCAGATCCATGAGCGGATCCTCCATCTCTACAAAGGCAAATCGAGCTGCTTAATGTTGCTCTCAAAATACATTTTTATTCATGTTTAAATACATTTTGGTAGCTACATGTAGTAACGTAGGGCAAAAGAGCTGAAACGATAGTGTAACTGGAAAAAAAATCACTGAAAAGCGCGACTTCGGCAAGCACTTCCTGCAGCCTACGTCACGCGTGCTGCGTTAAAGGCAATTGGAAATAGTTATTTTGCGTTAAAGGTAATCGGAAATAGCGAAATCACTAATTAACCCCAACAAGTATTTTACGCCAAACAGATGCATTTAGATTTCACATTTTTGAATATAAATGGCACGTATTTCATCGTAACAACTAGGGATCTTCAATGTGTGAGTGCTCGTTGGCAGCACCCAACAATTGATGTGAACAAAACCCAAAATCCATCCGAGGCACCGAGGTGGCGAGCGTGCTGGAGCCTATCTCAGCTATCGTCGGGCAGTAAACTGGGTACACCGCAAACTGATTGCCAGCCAATCGCAGGGCAGCACACATTGACGAACAACCATCCACACCCACCACCTACGGACAATTTAGTGTTCCATTACTTGCTATGCCTGTTTTTGGAATGTGGGAGGAAAAGGGAGAACTCGGGGAAAACCCATACAGGCATGGTGAGAACATGCAAATCCCGGAGCCGGAGTCAAATGTTGCATCTCTGCCTGCTTGTATGAAACCTTTATGGACAAAATCACTCCTTTATACCTACCTGCTATACTAAATACAGTAATCATGAATTACCACCTCAACGTCAACATATTGTAATGCCCTTCAATAGCGGAGAGAAGGATGCACGCAGTCGCTGATATAATTCGTCGGTATTTAATAAACAAGTAAGGCAGTAAACACACGCATTCAAAGGAGTTGCTGTTAGCCACAACTCACGCCCATGCGCTCTACACTCAGACTGACTACCGGAGCCAATCTTCCCCCAACCTGGCTCCTCCCCTTTCTATGACGTCACACCAATACAAGAAACAGATACTACACTGCCCTCCCCTTTATGAAACCCTCGCCCCGAGGGTTCAACAAGAAAAATTCTCCAGTCGTCGTGGTCTTCGTCTCCGTCTCTGTGGTCGGCCTGGCTCTGAGTCGATACCACCTTCAGCCGGCTGACTCGGGACAACATTGGTGGGATCTGGGGAACAGGGGTCCACCACATGTTCTGAACTGGCGGATGAAGCGGACCCCGCCTCAAATACAGGAACACCGCTGCCCCGGTAGGGGGCCAACCTGTCCCGATGTAGGGCAACCTTTCTGCCCCTGGGGGGGACTGCCACCCGATAAACTACCTCCCCCACCCGCTCAAGTACCCTACATGGCCCGTCCCAATGGCTGTCTAGCTTGGGGCAGCGCCCTCACGGAACGGCCTCTTCCTTCACCTTCCGCCGAGTATCGGAATCGCCGAACATCCTTCGGCAAAAAAACGGGCGTGCGACGGTGAATCCAAAACTTCTGACACCAATGTAATGCCCTTCAATAGCGGAGAGAAGGATGCACGCAGTCGCTGATATAATTCGTCGGTATTTAATAAACAAGTAAGGCAGTAAACACACGCATTCAAAGGAGTTGCTGTTAGCCACAACTCACGCCCATGCGCTCTACACTCAGACTGACTACCGGAGCCAATCTTCCCCCAACCTGGCTCCTCCCCTTTCTATGACGTCACACCAATACAAGAAACAGATACTACAATATTGTTAGATTATCCTGTGTGCAACATTTTATCTATATTTCATTCTTTTTTTAAAATTCATTTTCTTTGTAAACTTCGATGCTTTTGTACAGGATTTAAATTCATAGTGCAGGTGATCGCACAAAACTAAATGAGGTGCTAGTATGATTCCTCTATCGTTAAAAATCATAGTTTCAGATACATTTTACAATATTTTACTCACGTGTCCTTTTATAATGATTCAATAGCATTAACACATGAAAATGTTTATTCATAAACAGCACTGTAGCACACATTATAACAACAGTTAAAATGTCCATGTACTTTCCAAAAGTCAGCTATCTTTTCATTCCACATACTGCAGATTCAATTTCCTCAATTGTCACTTTGTCTTGGACTTTAGGAAAGGTTTATGAAGCACATCATAAAGTCGTCGTGCCTGCAAACACAAAATTCCAACACAGTCATTACATACATATTGCACTTCCGTTTTCTTTGTAACAATATAATAATGTGCACATTTGCCCTCACTTTTTGTGGACCGAGGCCTGGACAGAGAACCAGGTCTTCTTTTGATGCACTGGTGATTCCTTCCAAAGACTGTAATAGAACAATAGAAACCAAAAAATTACTTATGGACAAAAGTCAACATTTAAATAGCAGCGAGAAAGGGATCTCACAGAAAAGGTTGACAGTAATGTCATAGCATCTGTCTTGTTGATGGACTTCACGGTGGTCAAGCAGTCAGTCACCTTCAGAACAAACAGTATATTTTGTGTGAGATTCTTAAAAAAAAAAAAATGGATGTGACTGTATGACACAAAGCTGAAAGAGGTAATTAAGTAATAATATGATGAAAATGCGTTTCACACCTTCAAAAAATTGAATTACAAAATTACCTTTGCTAAATAATTTGTTTCCACTTGCTCTTTCAGGAGGTCTGCTGGTTTCTTCTCGTATGATTTGTATGTTTCCAGGTAACGTCCTGCCTCCTCTGGGCTGCCAAGTCATCAAACAAATAAATTATAATACATTGTAAATAATAAGACAAGAAGTATTTAGGCTACTTTAATTTGTATTTTCAGGTTGGGAGACGATCACTCTACCACTGAGCCATGCCGAAATGTGCATAATTCAGTGATTTGTTCATTTTTCAACCCAGTTCAAGTGTGTCGACCGTTGACGGTTGAACTGGTGTCACTGTCAGGGAGTAGAGGTAGTTTTGTTTGAAATGATTTGGCTTCTAGGTAATAAGTCGCAGGACTTGCCTCCATGCCAGAATAAGAGTGCAGTCAGCCAGAATGCAGATGCGAGCCAGCTCCTTCAATGCATGGTGGGGGTCTTTCTGTGAAAGGGGAAAACCCCCAACAATACACAAAATGCTACAAATATACAGGGGATGTAAGAAGTCTCAAAACAATTTTAAAAAAGGCCGGGTTTTTCTGATATCAAGAAAAAGACCAAGATTATCACTTAAACACTTTTCTCCTGATAGATCCACTGCATGTATTTTGGGCTACTCATTCCATTTTGACAGAATTGCTTCAATATTAATCAGCTATCCATTCGGTATAACTGACCAAATTTGACAGACTAATTATTATTATGGCCCTTTATACTCACCACATCCACTTGAACTAGTAAGACGCGAAGGGTGAAGCTCTGACCAAGCTGCTTAAGTCGATCATGAATATAGTTTGGATTCAGACTGTGATACCTCAGACTTTGAGCCAGTTGATGTTAAAAAAAAAGAAAAAAAAAGAAAGGGAAAGAAAGTCAAAAAAAAATTGCAGGTATTTAAAAGAATATATGAGGTAAGTGTAAACATCCACCTGAGAAAGAGAGCACAAGTTGTCTGGCCCAGAACATAGTCTGGGACAACTTCTCCAAACTCCCATGGGACCCTCGTCACAAACTTCAAAATAGGATTCCCCCTCTGTAAGCATAAAAACATAAACTTCAGTATGTTGAGGTAAAAATTCAAATGCTAATTTCAAATTGAAAAAAAAAATCATTCAAAGACTTTGGAAAATGTACTCTTTATTAGGTATACAGTTTACAGCGAATCCACAAAACAACCACCTGCACAGTTTCTCCACCTTGGAAGCTAGGCTATCTGAAGATTCATAGCCACTTTCGAGCGTCTGACTGCCAGACTACATTGTCGGAAACACAATCATGTGGAAACACCTACATCCCCTAGGTGTGACACCTCTGCTATGAAGTCAAAGCCAAAAGGTAAGTGAGCGTACAGAATGCCGTTGCCGTCTGATAAACAGCACGTATTCGATTGCACAGTGTAAGTGGCGTAGACGTGAAATTTGTGTTTGGACATATGTCCTTGTTCCACAAACACTGTGGAGTGTATGAACTGCTGTCTGCATGAGTTAAAATATAGACGTGTAATTTGTGTTTGGACATATGTCCTTGTACCACAAACACTGGAGTGTATGAACTGCTGTCTGCATGAGTTAAAATTGTTGTCTTGTCTTCATGGGCACTCCTTTTCATTTTTACCCCCCCCCCACACACACACACACACATGTCTGGGCACTCTGTTCACCCCGGTTGTCATGAGAACGCTCTCTCAAACAGGCTGATTTCAACAAGACAAGACTGTGATATTTCTTCATTTTTGGCTTCTTTTGATTAATGCATGTCAAGAGACACCGGGGAACTTAAAACACGCAGGAGGAAAAGGCAAATATTTCTCATATAAGGTTGTGACGATGTATCTAATATTCCTCCTGATGCATACCTGTCTGGGACTGACAATAATGCTGCTCCTGGACCCTGCGGGTTTTGCACCGAGGCTTGGACAGTTTACTTCTCTTTGACCACAACCGGACCCCTGAGTCTCCTCGCTCTTCATCATCTCATCACCTCCACTCATTCCTTCCCCGGGAGGCACTGCTTCAGGTTCGCTTTGCCTGAGACGGGCATTATTGGGGGCTCCACCAATTTCAGATGTGGGCATTTCATTGGACCCATCTCGTTGAAGCGGCACAGCCCCTTGGGCTTTAGCTTTGATGATATATTGAGCATAGGACAAAGGCTGGCCCTCCTTTACTGGTGAAGAACGTGCATTGGTTTTGCTTTGTCCCACAGTTGTTGATGATTGAAAATGCTGCTTTGGCTAAAAAAAAACAAACAAACATGTCTGACTCAAACGATTGTAAACAGAAACACACAAAAACATGCTGAGAGAATCGCTTACTGGTGTTCTCTCTTTGGTAAAGGCAGAATCGTCCAAATTGATATTAAACCTCTTTTTCATGTCTCAGCGAGGGCTGTTTTGAACAATGCACGAATAAAAATGTATTTCTAAAAATCCGACAAAACAGAAACTAGCAAACAAAAGTCAGAGTCTCCAACAGAGTGCAAGAATGCGAAGCTTGTCTACATCTAATGTTGATTCGTCGACCGTGGGGACGACGAGTAAATTGACACACTATGTACTGGACTGGCAATTGAAAGCTTCCATTATGTGCATGTAGTAGAGTTTAAAGCAAGAAAAAATATTCAACAAGCCTTTGCAATGCTCCGGAGCTTCGTACAAAACAAACGGGTTTTATTCAACGACAACTCATTCGCCGAACAACACGCACTTCCTGATTCCAAATAGCTTCTTCCTCTACATGGCTTATGGGTAATGTAGTGATTTGTCAGAACCAAAACCACACCCGTGATCTCATGAATACTGTACTGGCTTTGAAGCAGTATGTGTATGGGCACTGTGAAATATTCATATTTCGTAATGTAATGTAGGGTGTCGCTCTCCTAAGTACTAAATTACGTACTAGCGCTGTTGGAGCGTTAAATTCTTTTTAGCACGTGTAACATTATTTTTCTTTCTATTGCTGTCTCGTGAAAAAAAAATATATATAATAAACTTCTATACATACACACACACACACACACATATATACATATATATATATATATATATATATATATATATATATATGCGTCGACCTCACAGAGAGATACTGTACTGGGTTCAATTCCTGCTCCATCCTCCCTGTGTGGAGCTTGCATGTTCTCCCCGTACTGCGTGGGTTTTCTCCGAGTACTCCGGTTTCCTCCCACATTCCAAAAACATGCATGGCAGGCTAATGAAAAGCACTCTAAATTGTCCCTTGATGTGAGTGTGAGCGTGGATGATTGGTCTATGTGTGCCCTGCAATCGGCTGGCAACCAGTTCAGGTTGTACCTCGCCCACTGCCCCAAGACTGCTGGTATTGGCTCCAGTACGCCCGAAACCGCAGATAGATAGATAGATAGATAGATAGATAGATAGATAGATAGATAGATAGATAGATAGATAGATAGATAGATAGATAGATAGATAGATAGATAGATAGATAGATAGAATTTTATCCATCCATCCATCGTCAGCACCGGGAGTTGCCCGGGCAACTGTGACGCTAGCACTCAACGCGCGCAGCACTGCATGCTGGGATACCTTCCTGTCATGGCGGAAGAGTTAGCTGGCTAACGTTGTCTGTGCGTGATTGTTCGGCTTCGCACGTTTTGGAAACTACGACCGCGACCCTTGAAAAAATTCGACTCTCCGGCTAGTGCCTCGCGACTTACACGGGGTAAATATGCGTCACAAAAAAATTGGCAAATGTGATGAAGTTACCAAGTTGCTTTGTTGAAACGAGCAGTCGCGACTAGCGAAAATGGACTTATCGCTAGGTTGTGAAACAACTACGAGCATGCTAGCCAAGGTAGCTGGATTAGCAAGACGAATAGGTTGTGAATGGCCGCTCAAGGCCGCAATCTAGTGGCATCTTAATTATTTTATTATCACTGCTGAGGTATAAGCCTTGTAAGCAAATTAGTCGGTTATTATTTTTTTTTTAATTTTCTTTTAAATGTTTTATGTGTCCGATAGTAGCGTGACCTCCGATGATTTTTGAATGAATGTTCAAGCTAGCTTACAGCCACGCAGGCCCGCTGGCGATTAATAACTTGTAAACGGAGTTGTTTTTGCAAACTTTGTTTGAATTCTCGTTTTCTTCGCGAACTTTTCCAACATGTTACCACTCATCAACAAGAAGATGAGTGCAGATATGACTGGCCAATGTCACAATTTAAGCGTCAAAATAACACGTCGCGGTTGGCTGGCAGCGCGGCAATGTTAACTTGTCGCCATTCTTGTCACCGAAAGCCGACCTCTTTTCATTTTTGTAATAGATATTGAAAAAAGACTTTATCGTAAATTGAATAGCCAGATTTGTCGAAAGTGGTGTGATCACGAATCAATTTCCTAATTCCGAAGAGTTCTTACTGTTGCAAAAGAGTATAATTACAATAGATTTTTGAAGTATCTAGTTTTAACAAGTACGTTTTCTTACTCTGTAGTTATGTAAAATCCAGGTGTAGAAGCACTGCTTCGTACATTAAGATTTTATTGAAGTTGCATTAAATTGCAGACTTGTGACTTTTAGGCAGTGCACTTTGTTAAAGACAACGGTTTTGTTTGATATTCAAATTATTTTAACTGCTTAACTATCATCCAGCCATTGTCATGGTGATGATATATATTATTTACACTCGTATTAGCACGTTTCCCTAAATTTAGGGTCAAGGTGGTCACACTGTCACAATTTTTTGGGCTTTCTTGGGGTAAATTCCTTGATGTACGTTGTCATTTATGTACTTTGCAGTATGATTGAATGTCTGCAAAATTTGAATCAAGGCAGCAGATGTTGGAGCCAATTCATCTCTAGTCCATAATGCTCAAAGATGACAACCATGAAAGGTGCAGTTGCCTTGATTCAACGATTGCTTATTTGTAGAAGAATTTTATGGAGTCTGGTTCCTGTCGTGAATTAACTTTTTATTTTAGTTCCTGGGCTGAAAATGTGTGGAAAAGCCTCAGTGATAATATCTTGATTCTTCCTCCGTAAAGGTACGCTTCTAACGTTAAGAGGACCCTTTACGACAGCATCTTCAACAGGGCAAATGGAGTGTGCAGTGGATGTTCCAGCCGGTGAGTGATGGCGAGGGTACAAAAATTTGTCACAAAACTACATTCTGTAAATATGCTTTGCATAATTTGAAATTCTGGGTGTCATGTTCAGGCGAGGATGAGACAACCGAAAAGGATGACGTGAATTGCACAGAAGGAACTGAACCACCTCATAAGAAAAACAAGAAGCATAAAAAGCACAAGAACAAGAAGAAGAAAAAGAAGAAGAGGGGTGAAAGGGAAAGCAGCTCGGAGTCTGGTGCTGAGTCTGAGGCGGAGACGGCTCTTCTGAAAACTGCACGGACTACAAGAGCCAGGTCAGAAAAAGTTGCTTTCGCTGTTACACTTTGTGGACACATCGTTTGCCATGTTTCAATTAAATGCGGAGTGTGTCGTCCATTTACACAAACAGCGTACGTGTAGTGATGGAATACTCTCTCGCACTGCATGCGTTGACCAACCATCAGTCGACTACTTTATCTTTTAAGCGGACCCATTATTGCCATAAATAGTCCATTCATATTTTACTTGCCTGATTTTGACTTGAACGCGATGCTAAGGGTCGAACATAGCTAACACTCGTGCTAGCACGTCACAGACGGGGACCTCCTTACTTGTACACGATGTATCCATTCACAGGTGTTTGATCGGGTTAGTAGGCACATTAACATGTTATTGAAAGAGTTCTACTGAGTTGACTGGTCGTTTATTTGAATGACATTACGCCATGCTCTCGTTTACCTTGAGTATGCCGCACGTACGTGCACACTTCTTCATTGTCGGTCTAGCTGCTTCTTCGTTGGATTGGATGCTGGTTCTTTGTTGGTATAGCGGCTTCCTCTTTGTTGGTCTAACTGTTTTTTCTTTGTGATTGGAGCACAATGCTGCGATCGGAGGTTTGCTCTCTGATTTTTTTTTTCTCCCCACCTCCCACCAAAAAAATCTTACATGCTACCAACTATAATCTTGAGATGCAGTGCTCCAACATCATTGCTCCTGGTATCAAACGCTGAAATAAAGTTGGACATTCAATATTATTAATTAGCTAACTAAATTAACAATTACTGTGTTGCTATTTGTGGGGAATATCTGAACCCATTTGCCCTTGTTTTTGCAGTGCAAGGCTGGCCGCAAAAGCAGGGGATCATGCTGGGCAGAAGGAAGAGACTAAAACAGGTAGGTCGCTTGTGAGGATGATTAATTTTTATTTTTGATAGATTTTTCTCTGATGCAAAATAAACAATATAAGAAAAATAGAATAAAAAAAGCTCATTAATTGTCTTGTCAGATTGTGTGGACAAGGAGGGAGATGCAAAATCTAAAAAACACAAAAGACATGCTGCTAAGAAGAAGAAAAAGAAGAAGAAGAAGGATGAAAAGAAATCCCAGTCTCGCTCCTCATCTGATAGCAGCTCTGGCTCAGGTTCTGAATCTGAAACGGAGGGGCGTGCAGGGATAGGTGATGGCAAATCTTCTCCAGCGGTAGCACCTGGCCAGCCTGAGCCAGTGACCCTCATGTCAACACAAAACAACAAAGAGGATGAGAAAGGTGTTCCCAGTCTGCTGAATCCTGAACCACTTGAAGAGAAGAAAGAGTGCATGTCTGAAATGGATGTTCCACAAATCACAGAGAAGACCACAAACGATAGTCAAACCAATGGAACAGAAAAGGATATAAAATCTCCACTGCCTAGCCTGGATGAGGTAACACAGACAGGAACAATTCAGATTAAGGAAGAAGCCAGTGTAGGAGATGGTACTTTGGGTCATGCCAATGAACTTCCTGACATTATTCCTAAACAGGAAGGTAATGCACCTAGAGATGAGCCAATACCGAAAGATGAATTCATTTCAATGCAGCAGCAGCAGCAGGCACCTGTAAAAGAGTCTGATTCACCCAGGCCAGCATCTCCCCTCCCTTTTATGGGCCCAGATATTAAGCAGTCTGGGTCGAGACGTAGTCGATCACCATCACCAAGTCCACCGAAGCAGCAGAGTGAGGAACAAACAGTAGCGGCAGTGGTAGAACCACCTGAAAATCATTCAAGATCAGCTTCAAAGGACAAGCAATCTCCCACTCGTCTAAATAAGCGGCAGCTGTCGCGCTCAATTTCCCGCTCTCAGTCTCCTAAACCGAGGAAGAAGGCTGTCTCCCCACCCTCAAGATCTCCCAAAAGAGCTCGCCGTCGGTCGTGGTCCACTTCTCGGTCGCGTACGCCCAAGAGGAGGTCATTCCGGTCTCCTCGCAGGTCCAAGACACCAAAACGCCGGAGAAGCTCATCTTTGTCTCCGAGGCGACGTCGAAGTCCCCCATCTACAAAAAGAAGATCCTCAAGATCGCCAAAACGTGGCGGACGCAGGTCGCGCTCTTTATCTCGCTCTCCAAGGAGAAGCCGGAGATCAAAATCCCGCTCGCGAGGGCGCATGAGGCGCTCCCGGACACGCTCGCCCAGACGTGGTGGTGCAAGCGGTAGGCGGTCGCGGTCTCGCTCTTTTGCCAGGGCCCGTCGTTCCAGATCCAGGCGTCCTTACCGGCGCTCCAGGTCACGTTCCTTGGCCAAACGTACTGGTGGCAGGCGCTCAAGGAGTCGATCTTTGTCGCGACATAGGAGGTCACCACCTCCCAGAGCACGCCGCTCACGCTCCAGGTCTGCCCGTAGGCGCAGGCGGACTCGATCACGCTCCATCACAACCTACAAACGTCAGCGGCGCTCTAGATCAAGGAGTGCCCGCAGACGCACCAAATCCCGAACGCCCACTTCTCGCTGGCGCTCCAAATCCAGGTCTCCGGTTAGAAGGCGTTCTCGTTCCCCTGCCCGGAGAAAGCGGTCTCCGCCAAGGTCTAGCAAACGTTCAAAATCCCGCTCGTTGCCTAGAAGGCGCAGATCAAAGTCACGCTCGCCATTGCTGAGCAGAAAGAAGTCCGAATCACCAAGGATCTGCGTCAGAAGGTCAAAGTCAAAATCTGTCTCTGTTGGCTTGCACAGATCCAAGTCCAGATCCCGGTCTGGGTCAAGTGATAGACCGTCTGATAGGTCCTCCCATGCCAGATCCGCCTCACCCCCTCTTGAGAAGGCGTCATCTTCTTCCCAGGCGGTGCAAGCATCTCCAGAGAAGATGGCATCTCCAGAGATGATGGCATCTCCAGAGAAGAGGGCATCTCCAGAGAAGATGGCGTCTCCAGAAAAGATGGCGTCTCCAGAAAAGATGGCCTCTGCAGAAAAGTTGCCGTCTCCAGAAAAGATGGCGTCTGCAGAAAAGTTGGCGTCTCCAGAAAAGATGGCGTCTGCAGAAAAGCTGGCGTCTGCAGAAAAGTTGGCTTCTGCAGAAAAGATGTCTCCAGAAAAGATGGCGTCTCCAGAAAAGATGGCCTCTGCAGAAAAGTTGGCGTCTCCAGAAAAGATGGCGTCTGCAGAAAAGTTGGCGTCTCCAGAAAAGATGGCGTCTGCAGAAAAGTTGGCGTCTCCAGAAAAGTTGGCGTCTGCAGAAAAGTTGGCGTATGCAGAAAAATTGGCGTCTGCAGAAAAGTTGGCATCTGCAGAAAAGTGGGCGTCTGCAGAAAAGATGGCGTCTGCAGAAAAGATGGCGTCTGCAGAAAAGTTGGCGTCTGCAGAAAAGTTGGCGTCTGCAGAAAAGATGGCGTCTGCAGAAAAGATGGTGTCCCCAGAAAAGATGGCGTCTGCAGAAAAGATGGCGTCCCCAGAAAAGATGGCATCCCTAGAAAAGATGGCATCCCCAGAAAAGATGGCTGCAGTAGCTGAAACCATTCCTACAGCAGGTGAGAGTAGTTTTGCCCCCGCCTCCACAATATTGTCATTGTGTTTTGACATGAATTTTTCCTTCATGGTCCTCCTTTCATATATTTTTCAACAAACACAAGCAAGTTAGTCTCTGTTACAATATAAATGATCCTACTTATTATACATAAAGCTTTTGGTCCTATAATATAGGCTTATGCTAAAATAAAGGCAAATGAATCATGAATTAATATGGAAGACATGAAACGAAGCTCTTTGGTTGACTGCGCCGGAAGATAATTGAAGTGTGGGGGCGTTCTGCATCAAAATGAAACAAAATGAAGGTTGTACGCAAAAAGTCCCATGTCCTGATTTCTGATTGAAATGCTGTGTGTTAACATTTAAAAGGTCCTCCGTTGTCAAAAACTAACCAGTGTGGCTGAATTAAAGCAGTTGTGCAAGGAAGAGGGGGCTCAGATATCTCTACATAGATGTGGAAGACTCACTCTCAGTTATAGAAAAGTTTGATTTTGGTTGTTGCTGCTGATCGTGGCCCAACCAGTTATTTGGTTTCGGAAGTGTTAATCCCTTTTTCCACACAGGAAATAATCAAGCTTAATTATAAAACCCTTCATTTAAAATTTACATTTTACAAATATTTAAATATATTTGATGATGGGCAACATTTAAGTGTGCGACAAACTTGCAAAAAAAAAACCAAATCAGCGAGAGGCCAAACACCACTGTACATATTTATCCAAATTGCAGCCTTTGCAGTTTGAAAATTGCCTTCTTCTGTGTTGCGATTTCAATTTGGATATAATTTAATAGTCAGCCTTACTTTACAGATTAATTTGTAAATGCCAACAATGTATTGAGTTTGAATACATTGTCTACAATCACAGGTTGCTGGAAACCTGTGCCCTCACTGGTTGTTTCCAGTTCTCCAGCTGTTGCTCCAGTGGATGAAGAGCAGGAGCCGCCTCCAGCACCTGAAGCGATCCCCGAAGAAGAGGAAACCGAACCGAGGGAGGAGGCCAGCATATGCCCCGAACACGATGTTTCAGGGACTGTGTCTGGCTCTCAAGAACCTGTCACTGCCCCAGAGGGATCTGAACGCTCCGAAGGCTTAGATGAAGAAATAGGAAGTTCCCCCCCGCCGGGGAACACGCAAGTAGAATCATTGAAAAGCCCTTCACATTCAGCATCTCCAGAAAGGCAGAGCAAAGAGTCTTCGCCTTCACCCACAGATCATAGGGAACCTTCCCGCTCAGCTTCACCCCGAAAGAGGTTTGTACTTTATGCATACAGGAACGCCAAGATTAGTTTGTGAATACAGTCAACCCCCAACTATTTGCAGCTTGAGCTTCTGCCACAAATTGGCACCGCAGCCCTGGCTAATAGGAAAGTAGTAATTGTGACAAAGAAGTATGTTAAAGTGATCAGGGTTGGGAGGGTTACTTTAAAAAGGCCAGAGGTAGCCTGCGCAACTGCAATTCATCAAAAGTACAAGTCCTGTGAGGCAGATGCCTAAACTGCATGTGCGGCATGCTGCAGAGATCGATTGGATGGATCGCATACACACGCATACACACATGCATGTGTTCATAATTTTGATACGATGAATGAGATTTGACGTCAACTGCAGGGGGAAAAAATAGTTTCTATGGTTTTCTCAAATTTCCCATTTCGTATTAGTAAATGGCATGTAAATAGTCAAGCTGTGTGTGATTCGTGACGGGAATTAGTGAATTTATAATTGCGGGTGCGGTGTTAGCCTGCTCGCTGCTCCATGTTAAAAAGCGGGCCAGATTATTTTGACAGCTCACATTTTTCTTAAATATGATTTAAAATGAATGAATAAAACCTCCCGTGAATACCATCTAAAACATGCTCAATCATCATCCATTCTCGTTGTGTTCCTTTTGAAATTGACCCCGCTAAGACCACCCTGTCTCATTTACTTGCTCGGTAACAAAAACCTTTGCTGTATTGATATCAAAATTTGCATTACCGTAATGGTTTGAGCTATTAATATAGCCAATTATGAAAAATTGATCGCTGTTCTTTGCTCTTTGCCATAGAGTTCCCTCCCCCCAAAACGGGGGTTTGCCGTATTGGTTGGCTAGTTGTATGACTCGAATCAAAGGTCTTAAGTGTGAACCAGATCGTCATTAATGTAATCCCGCTCATCATCCTCTTCAGGTCAAAGTCTCCAGTGAGGAAGAGAGAATCTGTCTCACCATCTGAAAAAAAGAAGCGCCGGTCAAAATCTCGGAGTCCTGGCCGGCGCAGAAAATCCAGCCCTTCTCGTTTTGCCACGCGGCGCAAGCGATCCCGTTCCAAGTCTCGAACCAGGGCACGCCGATCCAAGTCCCGCTCTCCAGCCCGGAAGAGACGCTCCCGCTCTCGCTCGCCCAATGCCAGGGGGAGGAAAAGATCCAAATCCACGGACAGGAACAAGCGCTCCCGGAGCCGATCCACTGGCCGCAAGAAAAGGTCTCGGTCAGGAGACAGGGGTCGCAGGTCCAGGTCTCGTTCATCTGACCGAAGACGCAGGTCAAGATCCAGAGGTCGAGGGAAGCGTCCGGTGTTTCGCAGTCGCTCATTTGATAGAAGGGATAGGTGGAAAAGGGAGCCTAGCCACTCCCCCGTTCTGATTCTCCGCAAGCAGCGCCGCTCAGGGTCGCGGACACGGCGCAGCGCCAGCAAGTCGCCTCCGAGGCTCACTGACTTAGGTAAAGCCTTTCGCAAGCTTAGATCACAGAGAAGTGAAAACATAGAAGAGTGCTTATGTGATTTGTCTTATGTTCCCAGATAAGGACCAGTTACTGGAGATAGCCAAGGCCAACGCAGCTGCCATGTGTGCCAAAGCAGGCGTGCCCATCCCAGAGAGTCTGCGGCCGAAAGCCATCCTCCAGCTTCCCCTCCCGACGCCGTCTCCCGGCCCCCTCTCGCTCCCACTGCCGTTACCCCTCCCCATGGGCATGGGGATGCCAAATATGCCCAACATGGGTCCAATGGGGTTGCCCGGTATTCCAGGAATGCCCAGCATGTCCAACATCACCATGAGTGCCGCCATGGCAAGTATGACGGCGGCCACCATGACCGCCGCCTTGACCAACATGGGGGCCTTGGCGGCAATGCCTCCCCTTGCCCCTCTTCCCACCATCACAAACAAACCTCCCCCTTGTCTCGCGCCACCAACCCCGTCGCTGAACCTGGACCACATTGAAGAAGCGAAAAGGAAAGTCACGCAGCAAGCGAACATCCACACCATAAAGGAGCTGACAGAGGTAAAGGATGCTTGTTTTTAATGCAGGCTGCGTTTGAGCACCTGTAAACCGTTTTTCTGTTTTTCTCTAGAAATGTAAGATGATTGCCAACAGTAAGGAGGAGATGGCTGTCGCTAAACCTCATGTCTCGGATGATGAATTCTAAACCCTTCAAGGTAAAGACAACAATCTTCGTTCGAGCAATTCATCCATTATCCGAGCCGCTTCCCCTCACGAGGGGTATTACAGATAAATTCCTCAATGTACTTTTTCCATAAGGGATCGGGTATTTGTCTGGATTTCCTTGAAAGATTATGCGAAAATTAACACTCACTTGTAAAAGAAAAAAATGACCCAACCAAACATGAATTACTTTACCAGAAATGCCTTTCTTCTTTAGACTAATAAATGAGTTCTCAGTCATGTATTGTGCCATCAGAAATCATCACTATGCTACGGGACATGTTCTCATTTCACCAAATAGGGAGGAAAATTATTCATTCCCTACAAATTCTGTGTCTTTGATCAACTATCTATGCCAGTGACCTATGGTGACTGGCAGAACAACTAAATGCTCTTTCACTAGATGGCAGAAGGTATATACAGTAATTAAAAACCCGTCCGTGTACCCGTTTTTGGTAGCACTTGTTTGGTGGGGTGTTGTGAGGTTCTAACATCAAATATGTGCCCAGTAATTTGTGAATAAATAATACAAAATACAGATGCCATATTTGGGAAATGTTCGTGCAGCTGTTTCACGCTTTAATTTCATCTCACTCATTTATTGCATCGAACTATCAGAATTGTTATTGAATGTAATGTTTCTTTCTCTGCAGGCGCTCACTGACTAGAAGTTAGACAAATTATGTGAAGATACATTTTTTTTTCACCTCCCCTCCTAAGACCCGCACAGGAAAATCTAACAAAAAAAAAAAAAGGATTTTTTCAGGACCATATGCCCACTGTAGTTCCAGTTGGAAGTCACGTGGTGTAGCTGAGCCTCACAAAAAAGAGAGCATCCGAGTTGCTTACAACTCTTCCCCACGTTGCTTCCGTTGCCGTGGCTGGGTCATATACCACTGAAGAAACTGGACACGTTGACTTCTCGTGTGCATGATTGTAAAACTATAGTGCGAATGTGAGTGTGTGTGTGTGTATATATATAGTGATTTTCACCAACACCATCCCCTCAGTGTTGCTGCTTCCTCAAGCAGTCACTGTTGTAAAGACTGAAACCAAACTTACTAGTGGCGCCCTTTTTTTTGTTTTGTTTTGTTTTTGTAAAAGCTTAGTTCGTCTCAATTGGTTTTACTTAAGATTTCTTAAAGGACCGTGTATAGTGGACACTGCTTCCTTGTTCTGCTGTATTCCCTAGTTTTTGCGTTTGTTTTTTTAAAAACATTGTTTCAGTTGATTTTCATGCGTGATTTGTTGACACGAGCTTGGGTAATGCTCAGTTGCAAAAATTGTGGGATAACCGAGAGAAGCAGATTAGACGGAGCAACGTCTCCCTGTCACCAAACACATCAAAATTCAATTAGTTCTGCCCCGGTTGTGACTCTTATTTCTTTAAAAGTGGCAGCTAAATTTAACTCGGAGATGCACGCACAGAGGAAATAATTCATTTTACAAACTGTAGGAGTACTTATTTGGAGTGATAGTGGATTTGAAAAGCTTGACATCGCTCGCTGTGATTCCAACAGTGGATCAGATTCAGACAATCACTTCTTGTTTTTTGGCCGACCTATTAATGTCGTTCATAACCATAAAACTTATATTCATGTCAGTTCACTACAGCGAAAATGAATAAGCTGCCTTCCTCTCGTGACCAAGGCTGTTTTAGTGGCGGAACATAAGATGTTCTTTTTCGATTGTGTCTGCTTCTCGATCAGCACATGAGTTTCCTTGAGGTGATCCTTATCGCTATTTTAACGACAGGAGAAAAAAGAGGAATCTGCATTTTAGGATTTTTTTTTTCAGGGGGTCATTTGAATAAGACATTGCTTGCTCTGTATATAAATGTGATAATGATTATTAAAAACCTCATTGATCTGTACATATTTTTGTCCTTGTGTGTTATGTTCTGAGCATATGACTGCACATTCACATTAAGTTTTTTTTTCATCTCACATGAAGCATTTTTAATGCATATATTAGAGTAAAATAATTAACCACAACCAGAATATAATAACCTAAAAAAAAGTACTGTGTGAATTAGTGGGACAATCAAGATAAGAGAAAACAAAAATGAAGCTTTTCAGATCATTCTTTTGTTTTTGTAGAATATTTTAAAAAATACCACTTTAATTATTGTGACTACATTAAATATATTTGTTTACATCTCCCAAAAATCACGCTCACTTAAACTGTAAGAATTGCGTTGAGTTCTCAGAGGCCTTTTAAATAATTTGTCCCTACTATGCTATATTGTGATCTTAATGTGACATTTGAATGATTACCTTTTTCTTCCATTATCCTCAGACGTGAGCCTGTTATTTCACCACTTCCTCATACTGCCATCTTGTGGTCAAATTGAATAATTGCAGGATGGTATTGAGGCGAGCAAGTTCTGAGCTCTGCTGTAATGGGTTAAATTGACTCATTTTCGCTTATATTTTAAAATTATAAGATAGATTGAAAGATATATAGAGATAGTTTTTGCCGAAACAATTTATAAGATAAGCAAACCTATTTGTCTCACAATGGAGAAATTCCCAATTTACAGCAGCAAAAATTATGAAAGGGAGAAGTAGAAGAACAAAAAGTATATCAGTAAATATAAATTATAGAATATAAATACAAGCATATTCAGAAGATGTGAGTGGGGTTTATAGAAGAGCTGTTTTCCTTTATCCTTCATTACTGAGGCTATTCCAATAAATTATTTTGTTACTAATGAATGGATGCACCCGACAGCATTTAAAAAATGAGTGATAGTCTTTGTGCATGCTTTTGAACTGGATCATTTGATGGTGTGTGTGAAAGTGTAAGAAAGTGGGCAGTGGGCGTATCATGCTCAAGTTAAAAAATGCTAGAATGATGTACGTTGACCACTGTTATTTAGAATGTCTTATTAACACAAGGGTCATTTCCACTATTGTGGCAAACCGGCTGGTAAAAAGTCAAACCATTTAATAAATATATGAAGGGGACATACAGGTATGTCATCACAAAGCTCAGGTAGCATCTTTGGTAGTTGTGCTGAAGAAGTCAGAGTGCCATGAATTTAGCAGTATCTGGTGAGATGTGGACTGTCTGACTTGCAAGAGCTGGCAGCCTCTAAAACCAGGGTGATTTCAGAAAGTCATTATTTAGGCACCTGGACACAGAAAAAAAAACGCGTAATTATCCCTTTACTTCCTTACAGCCAGAGTGTAAATCCTGCGTTTATTTAGATGAGCTCCTCAACTAATTGGAAGTGGCACTTGTCCTTTCTCTATTTGCATTCTTCAGACAACCACATTGATACATCGCAATTAAAGAGATGCCAGCTTTCATCAGGCAGGAACAAGCGGGGCTCTAAGTGCAGAGCCAAGAGGTGCAAATTTCTATTGTTCAATGTGACAATCAGGCCCCGGTAGGTATAAATGGGGCTGCATCATAAATGTCAACTAAAACCCAAAGTGACGTTGAGAGGTTGTGCAGCCTCGAGCGCCCAGCCGCCTGGCTGCAGATCTCCTGATGAAAGCCTCTGCTGCAGTCAGAGCCCATCAGTCGAACCTGGCAGCAAGATTTAACAGCTGTCACGATCACCTTATTGTCAGCGTGTGCCGCAAAAAGAAGATGAATGGTGAAATACTTTGGGTTCGAGTAGCAGTGTCTGATGGGCTGTGGAGTGGTCGCGTGCCTCGTTGCTTTTCGAATTGCTCGATTCATTTCAATTAGCATAGAGAAAGATGGAAGAGCCAGGGGGAATTTTTATGATTTCCACTTGATAGCTGGTGTGGACGGAGGCTATTGCACTAGCGTGGCTGCATTAGAGTGCCTTGTTGTTGTGCTGTGGAAAAGTCCTGCGATGACCATGGTGAAATACATTCTAGTCACCGGAGGCTTTGATCGAATCCATTTCGGTTTTCACGGCGGCTCAAACATGTAGTTATGTGTAGGCATTAGAAAGTTGCTAGATGAGGTAGCATCAGGTTGTAGAAGTGGTAGTTATATGATTCACCGTTGAGCAGGGTGTGGCTTCAGTGCATTCAATAGAGAATGGAGACAGTTTGATTTTTCATCAAGCCTCATTTTATATACTTGGCTTATACTCCCTAATTTAGCAGGAATGATAAGAGCCCTCTTCTCTGGTGTGTGAAATTTAGCAGACATGCTCCTGCTTCACGGGCTTTAAAGCATGAAAAATAAATTATAACTGAAGATTAACTTGCCTAAAGTGAAAGAAACATGAATGAAATGTGATATACATTTTAAAGCTGTTTTTGGGGATAGAGGATTTGAACTTTTTTCTCATAAGGGACAAATCAGTGTGGCTATTGAAAGAAGCTTTGAAAGGGTCATTTCTGTGTTGCTGTACTTGTGTCTTCAGCAGCACGGCATAGACTGCATCCCATTTGAGCGGCGTTTGCATGCATCCCTACATATGCGGGCTACAACTTGCATACTGAGCTTCGAGTGAGTCATTGGCATTGGCAGATCAATGGCTGGCGGTCGATGGACGCCTGAGTGCTTTGCAACGACCACTCTGTTGTGCAGCCACTAAAAGGAGGTCACATGCACTAATTTCTCCTCTGTCCTCCCTCCCTGCACGTCCCATTTTGCTTTGCCATCAACTGCCCACCCATTCACACATCCACACACACACACACACACACACACACACACACACACACACACGCACACTGGAGCTTCTTTCTCCACAATCTGAGACAGGCTAATGAAGACAACGGAGGCAGTGAAGAGAGAAGGAACACAAGGATTTGTGGGAAAGTGAGCTCCTCTCGCAGATAAGAACCGAGCACAGGAAAATGAAATCGAGTCCCAAGATGTGCGAAGAAGATTCCGCTGAGAGAGACTTGGTCAAAAAAGTAAACCGACGAGATGTGATGGTCCTTCTATAGTGAGGGAAAGAAATGCAGGGCTTGGACTGTCAGTTCAGTCGACCGTCATAAGTGTGTATGTGCGCGTGTTTGTGTGTGTGTGTGTGTGTGTGTTTCCTTTTAAACAACACTGTGTGTATTTCAATGTCCTCCATGCGACAGTATCATTCCCAGCCAAAAATATTTAAGGGCAGGAGAGTATTTTACAGCAGTAATGGAGATGGCATAAAAGCACGAAGGATCATTAGCACACCGCAGCAACTCAAACAAACTCCACATGTACTGGGGCTAATTTGAGCTTTTTCTCGATTGTTAGATGTCCCCAAAAGATTATCCTGAGTGATTATCATGTGGTGTGATTTTTTTTTTTTTTTTTTTTACCCCCTTCCTGATCTGCTCAAATATGATTCGGGGTGGGCAGTCACGCACTGTAATAAAATACATGTTTCATGTTAAATTGAAGAGATTTATGTACCTCTCAAGCACACGCTGTAATCCTCCTTCTGCTCTTCATGTGTCATCACGGTAAAGGGTGAGTACGCAATTTCATGTTTTTAAATTTCCGCAGACAGCTGTTAACGTTTTACATTTTCTCACTTGTATGATATCTGTGATGTCGTCTCTCCTACAGCAAGCCTACCCTGAAAAATGCTTCAGACCTTGGTGCTTAACATTTACGTCGCCTGTGTAACAGATGAGAAGAAAAGACAAAAATGGTATTCACATGTAGCATGATGTGGTTTAAAATACAGAAAACAAAATATTGCAGTTTAAAAAGTCAAATATTCACATATTTTTGGCCCTGTATGAATTTGTGATGCTAGGCAATGGTGAATAAATACTTTTGCACGTTGCCAGGGGAAGATGTAATGCTACTGCATTCTCTGACAATGATAGCCTGTGTAGTGTTGTGGCTTGAGCAGTCTGATTTGCTCGCTGCTGGGTCGGCCCGGCTTCGCAAGAGCACCCCAATTGATTCATTTATGAGGCTAACAGGAATTTTATGGGTCACATATGATAGGGTCCGTGTGGAGACCTTGTGTGTTGTCCCTTTTTTCCCCCGTGTGCGCGCGAGTGACAGTGAGAGACAGCCGCACGAATGTATAAGTTAGTTCCAGTCCATTGCATGTGAATGAGAGTTGAGATAGGCCACGGTGCTCTTGCGCATGTGTGCTATATTTCAAAAGAGTGGAAAGATAGAAGTCATCATGCTGTTCACAAAGAAGATCAAGGTTGTTGGCGATGTAACAACCCCCCCCCCCCCCCAATCCCCACCCACTACTGTCCTCCTCCTCGGCCAAGCATTGGGTGACACTCAAGGCCTCCAGAGGCAATAGACTCTAGTGAGGATGACTAATGAACAATATGTACTGCACTTCCTCATCATCCTTAAAGGATCTATTTTGCAGTCTGCCCACAATTTGAAATGGTTCCCGGTGGCCTCATTTATCAAGTGTGCGTAAAAGCGTGCTTACGAACATTCCCATGCAAAGGATGAGATTTAGCAATTTGGACTTGTGCGTGAAGACGTGCGCAAATTTATGCACAGCTCTGACTCTGCGTACAGACAAAACCTTGTGGTAGAACAGTGAAAGTACAGACGGAACGGCGACACAGACATCACCAACAAGCCGAAATGAAACAAGGGGCTCCCAAACGGTTGTAGCCATACATTGATTGCCGCCACTTTTATTGAAAGCGCCATTGCACAAAGAATTCCGCTACGTGAACAGGAAATGATTTCATTCGGTCAGTGTATTCACAATCTCCAATCCACATGGCCTGAAGGAATTAACGCACGATTCATTCATTCAACCGAAAATATCTGTGTGCTTCCAATAAGAAGCTGAGTTGTGCTTGTTGCGCTGCATATGCCGTCGTGATGTCACATGTCCCCAGTTTGCATTACGGGGATCCAACCTTGGTTGAGCAAATGGATGGGCAATTGGTGGCTTCTCAATACGTTTTTAAATGAAATTTTTACAAAACATTCAGTCGACCATTTTCATATTTTCACCGCGAATATGCATCAAATGTTTTAAGTTGTAATATCACCATTGTAATATCACTATTCGCCACTAGATGGCAGACAGATCTTGCATTGGCATTGAGTTTTACTGCCTGACCTATTCTACAACATGAGTAGGCCAAAATATTTTTTTTTTGCAGCTTTGGTATGATATGCAGGACGAACAAGTGAGTTGATTTTTGTGAAAAATGTATCAAATGAGCTCTTGCACTTAATGCTGGTTTGCTGTTCAGCAGTTTTGTGCCATATATGGGAGATCATTTTTATGCACGAGAGCCCTTTGCACTGAAAAAAACAATCCTCAAATAACAGCATGTGGTTATTTTATAGTTTGCCTCAAACCCTTGTGTTTGGATACTGGATCTTTTATATATGCATTGAGAATTGTATTATGAAACATGAAGTATATTAAGAGCGCATATTTTGCATATATGCACATATATCTTCAATATCTGAAATAGCTTTTTTGTCATACTGGTAGCGAGTGGCACTGATGAAAAACGGTGTACCCTTCCAGTTTTTAAGTAGCCCATCCCTAGTCAAGCAGTTTTAAAAACGCATTTTTCTCAAGTCGCAATGCATCCACTGAAGTCTTTTAGCAGAGGTACGTCTCGCACATATCCAAGCCCGCCCAAAATGGATCCCTGAGGTGTTTGTATGATTGAGGCACAGACGTTCCGCTCCATTATCCTTGTGCTGACTCATGTTGAAGAATAGGTCGCAATGACCCAACTTGTAAGGTCATGACACTACAAGACGTTTGTGGCCGTGTCAGTGTGTGTACGCTTGCCACTTCAAATTCAGCTCTGGGCTCTTTCTCAAGCGCATTCAAAGGATTTCGGGCGTATGTGTGCTTGTGACTTTATTTGCCCAAAAACACACTGTTCTTGGCACTGAATCGCAGTTGTCATTGTGGCGGCATCAACAGGAATACTCGACAGTGTTTTACTCCGTCCCACCTGTAACGTTGTAATCAAATATTGAAACCTGCAATGCGCTAATTAAACATTCATACTTGCCACAAGGCTTCAAGGTGCTCACATGGGTTAGCAGAGTGGCCCTCTTACTGAGACATGGCAGCTTCTATTCCTGGCGCAAAACACTAGAGGCATTTACATTTCAACTCCAATCCTTGGTGCCGACTCATTTAAAGTTGTTGGTGACTTCTGTGTCAAGTTAGTCAATGAACATTTGATGAACGTATGAGGAACATGTCCAAAATTGTATTAATACATTAAATAGATTTGAAAATGTGTGAGAGCAGACACCAGCCTACCTTGATTGTTACGACAACCAGTTGTCGGCGTGGCATGGCTTTTAAAGCAGGAGAAATGTGACTCATAAGGGAAAACGCCCACACGCCTGACTGAGACTGAAAAACAACACAAGACAAGACAGAATCATGACTTTGATAATTCCTTGTGTTTGTCTACCAGGACAAAAACATGAATGCAGCTGGAACAGTAACCCTGGGCGGCCTGCCACTGTACCAGAAGAATTGGAGCAGAACTTACAAGGTATTTTTGTGTTCTTTTCCCACATCCAATGCTCAACACCTTGATTTTTCTTGAAGAGAAACAACTTTGCAAGGCAGCTTTAATTAGACAGCGCATTTCATACACAAGTTAACTCCGTGTGCTTGACATGATAAAATGTCAACATTTCAAAGAATTAAAAAAAACAACTTAGAACATAATAAAATAATGTTCCATGCAAGTAAAAGATTTCCAAAAATCAAAAAGGCTTTAAAGATGCACAAACTTAAGCATGGTTAAAAAAAAAAAAAAAATCTTTAACCTGGACTTAAAACAATTCACACTTGGGGCAGGGGGCGGGGGGGGGGCTGATTTCACTTCTGTTTGGCAGCATATTTCATTGATGTGCAGCATAACAGCTCAATTCTGCTTCATCATGTTCCACACAGGAAGGCCAGAGCCAAGATTTGTTCCCTGAACCTCAACACAGTGAGGCAGTGATGCTACCCAGAAGTCCACACTGTCCTAATATAACCAAGTACAATAGATTTAAAATAACAATTATTAGATACCCCACCTGGTTGTTGGTTATGTTTGCCTTGTGTTATGGTTGCCTCTCAAACCATCGATCGGCTCTGTCTATGAAATGTTGACATTGTTGTCCTCAAAGGAATGGCCCTTTTCTTTGAGATGCAAATGAAGTGTAGACTCTGGACGCGAAGAGGCTGCCCTCGAACGCAGAGGTCACTGCACTCCTCGCTACACTGCACCGCATAAACAGCAGAAGTGAGTTTGCTTCTAGGGATTTTGTCTTAGGGGTGATCCTTTTTTTTTTTTGGAAGTGTTGCGGGATTTGAAGTGCACTGCAATACTTTATTTGGAGAAAATCCTTTGGAGTTTCTCTGACAGACCAACCGCCATCTGTTTTTTGTTCTCACTATGGGTGTAGTGGTCCTTTTTTTTTCCGAGCGGATTTGACAAGGGTGAATAGACCCTCCCTGATGTCAGAAGTGAGTTTGCTTCTAGGGATTTTGTCTTAGGGGTGATCCTTTTTTTTTTTTTGGAAGTGTTGCGGGATTTGAAGTGCACTGCAATACTTTATTTGGAGAAAATCCTTTGGAGTTTCTCTGACAGACCAACCGCCATCTGTTTTTTGTTCTCACTATGGGTGTAGTGGTCCTTTTTTTTTCCGAGCGGATTTGACAAGGGTGAATAGACCCTCCCTGATGTGTATGCTTTTTATGTCTTCTGTTCTTTGTGTTAGTGATCCCCTTGGCACTGTCGTTGAGGTTTCGGATAAAGCCGAGCTTGAGTTCCAGTAGGTTACGCAAATTAGGCTACATTTACAGTGCATGGTTGAAGTGGCATAATTCAGATTTCTTGCTTTCAACTGGCACAATTGGAATATGAATCATGGCAGTGTTAAAAAAAAAAAAAGCACAGATGGGATACACCCTGGCGAAGCAAATTGCAATTCATTCAGCTACACATTCTCCTCTGCCCAAACAACACAAACATTCCTTTTAAGTCTAAACTAGAGCTTTTGCATAAGCTATTAAATATGCTACATTAATTCTCATTGAATTTAACTAATTTATTATTTATAATCCCTCAAGGCGAAATTGAATTTGTACTCTTCGGTATATATATTTTGTGTTACACACTGCACAGAGAATCACAACACTCCCATGCAGGCACACACGGAGAGAGCAGTTGGATTTGAATCCGTGACCCTGCTTCTGCTAAGGCCAAATCCTTACAGATAAGCTACTGCTGCCCCGAAGAGGTGTGTCTATAATTTAAAAGGCTAAATAATTGCCAATGGCTGCCAGTGGAGTAATGCCGATGTTTGCTTCCGATAAATTGATAGAGGACAAGTCAGCCCCTAGGCCATTTAAACGATTATGTTTTTACCGTATTCATATTATTTGTGTATTGTTATTTACTTATGTGTTGCCTCTCCTGTTGATGTTGCGTGATGTGCAATTTGGTTATTTGTGCATGTGTGTTGTTTAACCCCCGTGCAATACAGGTACACTTCATGTACACCTGACATGCGTTGTGTTGTAAAAACGAATGCATGCAACAGTTTTAAAACCCATGCATGGCATGCATTTGTTTTTGCAACACAACGCATGTCAGGTGTACATGAAGTGTACCTGCATTGCACAGGGGTTTTAATATGTCTGCCAATCTCATCTGGAGGTTACTGTCAAACTAAACGTATAACAAAAAGAATTACGTTTGCGACTGCATAAAACCTGTTTCCTTAATGCCAACATACAATGGCGACTTTATGCTAGCAATATGCTTGAATTTGAGAGTGTTAAATTTTAAGCGAAGGATAGATGAACGTAAATGATGCAGTAACACATGTAGACAAAAGCCAAGTGTGGGTTTTGGAGAATAAAAACAATAGAAAAAACAGAAACAATAGAGACAGGCAGTGGGTGACTGGTTAGCATATCCCCCTCACAGTGCAGAGTTGCAAGGTTTGATTCTGGCGCCGGCCTTCTGTGTGGCATTTGCATGTTCTTCCCGTGGTTGCGTGGCTTTTCTCCGTGTACTCCAGTTTCCTCCCACTTTCCAAAAACATGCATGGCAGGTTAATGGAACACTCTTAAATTGTCCCCAGGTGTGATTGTGAGCGTTAATGGTTGTTTATCTGTGTGCCCTGTGATTGGCTGGCAACCAGTTCATGGTGTACGCCACCTACTGCCCGAAGACAGCTGGAATAGGCTCCGGCACGCTCGCGACTCTTGTGAGCAAAATGTGGATTAGAAAATGGATGTATGGAAAGAGAGCACCGTCTAGTCTTTATTCTCTGTGAAGAATGACGAACGTACGTTGTAGCTGTATGTATGTCTTATACTGCCACCAGTTGGCCAAGATGCGAATAATGAGAAGCACAACATACAGCACAATCTGCACTGAAGTGTGACAAAAATGGTTTAATTTTAATTATGTCATTGTTGTTTGTTGATAAAATATAATACAGAGTGCTATTTTAAAATCATGTTATTTTTTTAAGGGAGACTGGAATGGATTAAAGGCATTTCCATTCATTTCTATGACAAAAAGATGATCTTAGATATGAGTGTTTTGAATTACGAGCATTCTCAAGGAACAAACTTAACTCATATTTCAAGGCACCACTGTACTTTGTCCAACACATGTCTCCAGTGCTCAAATTGAATGTCAAGCCCCTGAAGACAACTTCCTGCTATTGTTTCACTGAGACTACAATCGCTTCTTGTTCAGGGATGCGGCCTTCTCAATTTCATTATGTCCAATATACAGCGTGTGTGCATCTATGTAACACATAAGTTGTGTGTGATCAATGTCATGAGATTTATGGCCAAAGGTACCTAGCAAACAGCAGCAAAACAGTCTCTGCCATTTTTTTTCTCCTGAATGGATATGGCAGCTGGTAAATCAACTGCAGGCACATCTCAGGCACAATTCTTTTCCCAGTTCCAGCAAAATATTGCACCCCCCCGGGCCCCCAGCTGGAAAATCCCTGCGCGCTCTTCATCCTGTCTGTTTCACTTGTCAGCCCACCCTGTGTTGTGACTGTGCATGAGCTGCTGCTTGAGGAGGGTGCTCAATCCATTCCAGTTTGTCAAATCAGCCAGAATCTATGCACTATTGTGACTATTTGTCCCCAGCCTGCTATAGTGTTGTTTTTTTTTTTTTTTCTTTAAAGGGTCAGGACGTTGAGAGCCTACAGAGGTGTTGTGTAAATCTGTAGTCGTCCCTAAAATGTTCAAGGTCTGATTATATAATGCACATAATTATTCATGCGATGAGCCTCACATTGATATACTGTAACCCAACAAGATCGTACGTGCATTTTGTAAATTATAAATGCTAAAGTATGAACATCAAATTCTGATTGCTTCAAAGGTATACTGTGCTTTGCATTTTTTTTTCCGTAATTCGTTTCTCAGGTATTGTGTTAAGAATTGTATACTGATTTTAAGCCTCCTGGAATATAGCCTATTTGGAGCATAGGGGGCCGTTTCTTATGAAAATGAGCCTGTGCTCACCCTGCTCGCTGTCTGAACTACTGCGACAATGTCAAGTACTGTACGGCTTTCATTATAATGATGACCGGGGTGCAGTGCTTGCAGGTTGATCACAGCAAAAGGCTTCTAATTGAAGCTGAGTCTCAGGCATAAAGAAAAAAGAACAAGCGCCTTAAAAGACAATATGCCGTCAGCATTTTCACTTGAGAAGTCCGAAATGCATACAATACACAACATTCCATCCATTTGTCAATACTGTATATGCAACAGATCAGTGTAGGTGGCGCATGCAGCGGACACATCACCCAACACACATGCCGTCTTTGCCTCACATGTTAATGTTGTTAGCTCATGATGATAACTCGCAAAACTCACGTTAGCTTGGCTTACCTTTTTAGCTTTGACACCATGATGCGTTTCTGGCAGTGTAGTCTGACCTTTGCTAAAAATGGCGAATTTGTGGATGGAGAAACTCGTGGCCCATTCACGCAAAAATCCTTTTTTTCCCCACACTTTTCATCTAACAATGAGTGGGCAAACACCAAGCAGGCGTGATTAATTGAACTCTGAGGCCGGCTCTAAATCATGGTACATGGCGTTTTCCTGAAAGTCATTGAAATCCTAGAGGAAAAATAAAGCACATTTTAATGATGAAACTACCTTAAGTAGCCAATGTTTCTGGCCAGGCGAGACCTGAGCGCTGCTCCTTCTTTCTAACAGATTGAAACAACACTTTGAAAGTCAGATTATTATTATTTTAATTCATTCTGTATGAAATGAAGCTAATAAAAACGAAAAGGCTTGTTTGAAGGTCCCACAATAAAAAAGGGGGTGTGGTGGCCCTTGTATTGATTGCCACAGATGAGTCTTCTGACACACATAAGAGGAAAAGTCATGGAATCGTCGAGAGAATCAACCCAGAGCGCGTGTCTGGCAAAAACGATCCTAAATGAAAGACTTAAGTATATGAAAGAGTCTGCGCAGCCAGAAAAATGTGCCTTTTTTTCCATTTAAGCAGAATATGGTCCCATGTAATAGGCCCTGTCGTTCTGTACGGCAGACGCTTGTTCAGAAATGGGGAGATAGCGAGATTTACGCATTTGTGTGATGTCAAACTTGACAGGTGGACAGGCACCCAGAGAACAAAAATATCTGTGTACAATTAAAAAGTCACTTTTTCATACTAGGCCTGTGATAAATAACGCAACCCGCATTCAAACAACAGTGATGGGAAAATGCCAATGTCTGCATCATTGTTTACAAGTACATTATTAGTCAAAACAAGGCAAGGATTTGCTGTTTGCTTGCTATAAATTTCAGGAAAATCGTTTTAAATTAATGAAGTCGAAGCTACGTTTGTCACATTTGAGTCATTTAAGCACCTCCAAAGCAAGACAATTGCTTCACTTGAGCACTTTAGCGGTGCCGCTCTGGCTTGAGAAACATAGAGCAAGAAAATAATACTCTCTGGTCAGTGAATGCAAAACAATGTGATATTGAGGAGGTTCTTGCTTTTTCGTGTAACTTTGTTTCTGTACTGCAACTAGAGTTGTTAACTTACAAAACCCTTTGACTTGCAGTTTTAAGTCTATAACTTCTCAAATAATGTGGTGGGTGTGAAGAATAATCAGTAAGTCACAAATCCGATGGCGACAATAATGCAAATAAATTTGTGACTATCACTTAAACTTGTCATGTTTCATGAAATAATGATCTGTTAACATGTG